TATTATAAATGCGAAAGTGACTCTGTCTGTCTGTTTTTTCTTCATGCCTAAACTAGTGAACCTATTTATGTGAAATATGGTATAGACACAGTTTGGGACTCGAGAAAGGACATAGGATAGTTTTTAAACCAAATATCTGCAGGAAGTCACTCTTCCAGGCGAACAAAGTCTCGGGCAAAAGCTAGTTTTGTAATAAATTTTCATTATGTCTAGTTATAAGACCCTTTATTTAACTCATAGATTCCCAAAGTGGTCTAGGTGGACCCCCAGGGGTCCACGGGAGCCCGACAGGGGTCTACGCTTGCGTGGAAAAAGAATGGGGGTCCACAACTCGTTAACGGGAGTCTATAAAAATGTATTAGATGACCCAACTTGACTTCTCCTATGAATATAGGGAGACAATAATATAGGCAGACATAGAAGCTTGACTTTTCCTATGAATATAGGAAGACAAAATTATAAGAAGCTCAGCAATTGTTTTAGTTAGAACTTGCATATTGCATATTCAGAAAGAGCGTGTCAAGACTCGCCGATTCCGCGCCGCCTGCTCGCTTAGTTAAAGTGGTATCTGAACTTACATGAACTTGTTGGATTTTCCCTAATATAAATAGTAATGTGAATAATAAACATCACTCAGTTGTTTCCGGAATATCAAAAAAGAAAGTGTTCAAAAAAATGGATACGAAGCATTGCTGAATATAAGTAAAAGTGTCGACAATACAGTGTTGAATATTTGAAATTTGGTTTTGCTTCCATCAAATACAGACAAGCGATTGTCCATGTATGTGTCTTTTATGCAACAAAGTCTTGGATCTTGATCTCAGATTACAATGGTAATTTGAGATAAATGTTAACATCAAAACTAATAATGATAATTATGTTAAAAACAGTCGCAAAATTTCAATATCAAAATTTTGATTATATTGCGACTGTTTTTAAAATACTAGTGATTATTAGTTTTGATGTTAAATTTTGATTCTACTAAGACTGTTATAACAACATAATTTAAAGTGTAGTAATTTTTGTGTTTGGAGAAATAGTTAAAAAACAGGAAAAGAAATATTTTTACTTTTTACCGCTCCGAAGTGGCAGCTTATTGGTTTCTTATATTGTGAGTCAATCTTAGAATACAAAAAAGTAAAATAGGAATCTGTTGGATGAAGACGCTTTTTAGACTGACCTTGAACTCACTACATAATCAAAGCAATATAAATTCTCACCTTTTTTCGAAAACTCATATTTGATTGAAAAAAAAATAGACACAGATTTACATAGACATATACTTTTTAGGGTTTTGCAAGTAAGTTAGTAAATGTAATAGCTGCAGGGGGTCCACCAGATCCAGCAAAATGTTTAAAGTGGTCTATCAGAAAAAAAATTTTGGGAACCTCTGATTTAACTCGATGAGTAAAATGTCGCCTTCTTCTACATATAAGTAAATATGTATTATCATTTACTATGTAATTTACATATGACTTCTACTCACCGTACCTACGTAAGTTTTTAAGAGACCAGTTTTTTAATGAAACAAATTATATTAGGTATAAAGTATAGAAAAACATACATGTCAGATATCTACATGTAGATATATAGGTACTTAGGTACTTAAGTACTATCGCCAAAAGCTGCGGCTGACCATTTTAGAGGCGATTTTCATTTGCAAGTCCGTTCTACTGAGTGAGAAGTAAAGAAGTAAATTAATTCTATTCGACAAGTTATAGGTAAGTAAATTGTAATTTGTAAGTAACTTGTAGTAGTAGTAAACAATGGTTCGACAACAATGACTTAAAATATACCTACAAATCGGACTTGAATAATGTCGAATTGATTACCTACGACGTGTTTATTTCATTTTCAATTTAAATTGTGTTTTTAACATTTTTAAGCAAGGAAATAATAAAAGTGAAGGGTAAACTGTATAAGTAAGACTCGTTAATATTTTTATATCGGACTTGTTTCTGCCAGCGGCTTCGTCTGCAGTACCAGAGTTTATGTAGATTGCCTATGTATTATTTAAAACAATCTAGACTTTCATCTGTCTCCGTGCCAATTAACTTTAAGATTCGTTCAGTAGTTTTTACGTGAATGATTAACAAATTAACCGTCTATCTACACTTGCAAACATTCGCGTTCTTAAGATTCCCCAATATAACTAGTTAACATAGTACTCGTAGAAGTAATTTGTACTAGGTAAGTAGAATAAGTAATAATTAACTAATGATGGGAAGAAATTTTAAGTATGGGTATACCACACTTCAGCTCGAATACACCAGCTAAAGCATAGTGATACCACGACTTCACAGAAAACTTCCGTGAACCAACGCTGGCATTGTGTTTCATCGTGTGAGTGAAGTTACCGGAGGAACTCTATTCCACCTTATCCCCATACCACCAATCGTCCAATCCCAAAAGGGCCGACAAAGCACTACCTATCCTCTTTTGCTATTAAGTGTATCACATGACGAAAACAAATTGGCAAACATGGACACTCAGAAAAAAAAGGACCCAACCTAATACCTTGCGCACACCAGTCACACAAGCAACCACTCAACCGATAAACAGACAATTTCTATAAGTAATAACAGGAATTAGCGGCCGGCTGACCGGACCATATATCCTAAATGAAACGTTTAAACCAAGGCCAGACTTGCCGACAATAATTTGTATGTTATATAGTCGATTGAAACAATTTATGTTTACAAAGTACTAAGACTATTCACAAGGCTTCTTTATAGATGCGGAATACGCGGGCAAACGAGCAGACGGATAACTTGATAGTAAGCAATCAACGCCACCTATTCGGAACTATTAAAAGAATTACATTAAACAATCCTTCCCCTTTCCCAATCCCTCCTAAATCCCTAAATCTCCAAATCCCTAATCCCTAAAAGGTCGGCAACGCACTCGTAACTCCTCCGTTGCGAGTGTCCATGGGCGGCGCTGATTGCTGGTGCCACCAAGCGAGAAAAAGGAGGAAAGGGCGAAATCAACCAACGCAAAATAGATTTCAAAGCTAGAATAAATTTAAATATCTTTATGTAGAAAGTATTACCGTGCCTCAATCGACAAGCATTAATACATATAATGATTTTATTGAAGCTCGTCGATTACCTTAGAATCGTGTCATTTGGCATTCAATTTACTGCATACCCCAATGGGAGAGGGGGATGTAAATGTAAATGTCTGTGTGTAAATATCTATCAATCGGCCTTTTCTTAAAATCATTAAACTAAATACAATTCAAATTACCATTTGTTGTTACAATTTGTTCTACACTATATAAAGTCTAGACCATTCAAAAATGTAATCTATTAACGGCCTACACTTCAGTCGTTTAAATATATAACATAATGTAGATAAAAAATAAACTTCAACAGAACAAAAAGCCAGAAAAAGAACTTGTTTATTAATAAAGAAAATGTTGATGCTTAAATATATGCTGGTCAGTTTACCCACATGGACGCGTTCGTATCAATAATACAAAAAAAACCACAAGGTAGGCGCGATTTACTTAAACCGGTGCCATTATTTAATCTTCCTCGTAAATAGAATCTAATTAAATAATAAACTAGTACTCTACGCTAAAAATATTTATAAATTCATTCTTTTTCTTTATCATATTCTAACTTTATTACACTTAGAAGGAACTCATCTACTTATCTATGGTGCTAACCTAAGTTATAATTTAAAAGTCAAGGTTATGTTTTTACAAATTAAGGAATACTTTTTGCTTCTTTTAATAAATGCTTGGTTAACTTCTAATCTAAAATCCGCGTGTAATTATGTATGTGAATAAAATAAAGTAGCAATTGTTTTTTGCATTGATTGATGTGTGTGTTTATTTTGACCCGAGTATCTATGTCTTAAAATAAGTCTGATCAAACACGGAGGTACGGACAATAGCCTCCTATAAATGTTCCTCCTCCTGCCAAGCTGTCAAACATGAGTATTTTGCATAAAAGAGCCAATAGACCGCTACAGATGGATCACCAACAGAGTCGATGTTCAGCGCCGGTTACGGAGCAAGCGTAAAAGGATATCGCGGCCTCGGTCTAGAGCAGGAGAAGGAACGAGGTTTTTAGTAGCAGAGTTTGACACTCTTAGACACCTACTTCTGCTACTAGGTCTCACCCTGGGTAAGAAAAGATATTCGATGATTTTCACCTCTCTCAAAAAAACAAGAGCTTGGGAATTTTGGGGAAACCATCAGGGAGATGAAGAAGGGCCTTTTAAAGGCCGATATTGTATGAATTGGAAAGAGGTTTTTGCTTAGCAGATGACGCGACATATAAGTCATGGAACGAATGCGTACGTTTTACAAGTTCGTAATAATTTTGATGTCCATCGGCCCTGCTATCCTATCTCTATAATTATCCCAGTAGATATGCATCTAGCCTATATGACCTTAAAAAATAAATAAATATATTTCTAGGAGAACCTACATAAAGACAATTAAAAATCTAATTATAAAATTACACGATGATTGACTAGAATCTCGGATAAAAATATAGGTAACTACCTAGTTATTATTATCAATTTACTACACTCGTAATGATAAGATAATATTTACTTAGACACATCGATCACTATAAAGAAAGTAACGTTAATTAAAAAAAAATATTCAATTGAAATTATTTTATTAGATACCTACCTTCGGCAAATGTCATCTGTACTTACCTAATCACAAATTAGTAAATTAAATTGACACTGAAGTTATAAATGTTTTGAAAACTTAATTAACTCTTAAGCAGTCCTAATAGAAAATGGCCTTTTTATAATGTATATAAATAGGTAATAATTATGTTATGTCTATTAAAATATATAGCTGGATACGGTGCATTTTCTTAAAAATTAAAAAAAAATGCTAAAAGTAATTTAACTATTCCATATAGGTAAGTACAAATACCCGCATAAGATCTTGTTTGTTATTTACTTATAAACAGTTTTCAATGTGAACGACATAGAATGTTATGAATATTGATTAAAAAAATGCAACTCACCGGCCCAAGGTCCGAACTTCTTGGATAGTGGCTGCACCTCAGTGGGCAGGAAATAAGGCATCAAATACGAAGATATAAGCTCCAACACACTCCATAGGGAATCTATTAGCAAGAAACATAGGGTAATAGACCCGACTAACGCTAATATCAGTAAAAAAAACATGGTCCCTTATATAAATGCACTGATTGGTTCGTAATTTTACTAAATGTCAAATACTACGCGTGTTTTTTTCGAAATTGGAATGTTTATTTTGTTTGGGAGGGCACACGACGTGCCAACATGACGGTGCTAGGCACACTGACGCAGCGAGTGTTGCCTACATTCAAGTTACGTTACCGCGATTGACCTATAAACGGGTCTTATGTCACAGCTTATCACCGTACTCGATGTTAAGCGGAAGATATAAACGAAATGAGCATTTGTCCATTAGTAATCGGTAATATTCAATAAATAAAGTGACATTTAAGATATAAATTAAACATCCTAGTATATAAATAACGAGATAGTGATGATCTACGTAGTGAGAAAATCTCAGAAACAAAACTGAACGTTAATCAATACGCCTGTCCTAATGTTCTGCGCAACAAGTTGTAGCTCAAATTAACTATGCCTCTTTTATCAGGCGCTTATATTGCCAGTGATTTTTATTTTAATGTCAGATTAGTAAAATCTAATTGAAGGAATTTTAAATTATCTTTGTACATTATTTCAATATTGTGTTGTGTTGCCCAATGCAATGCTTATCATATTATTCTTGTGTTCTTGACACATTTGTATCATGTATAATGTGGAATGTACTGGATCCTGTAATACCTATATTTTTTAACTAGTTCAGGAGTCAGGGATTTACTACATAGCAATGTAATTATTATGTCAATAAATAATAGTAATGCCCAATAGGTCGACAACGCACTCGTAACTCCTCTGTCGTTGCGGGTGTTTTGCAGAAAATATCGCCTGATCGAAGGGTCCTCATAATTGTGCATAACCACACAACACCTATTTCCTCGACTCACTATGGGACTCGACTAAAACAACGACTGCACCTACCACGATGACCCAACCCACTGGAGAACCTAACTATCATACAACCACCTTGCATCGCTTTACCCTAATTATTGGTAATTTAGCGTACTGCGCAGTCGACATCAGCTATTCAAATCAATTCATTTTTATTTCTGACATTAAAATTCATACAGTGTTAGTTGTATGATACAAAAAAAAAACAAAAACTTATTGCCTAGTGTTAGTAATTATCAAGTGTCTATTTCGGTAACATTTCAACACATCGAAATTAATCTAGACTGGCTCTAGCACCGCTCATCTATTCTTTTTTATTGGACTTACCAACAGTATTAGTACCTAGTATGCCCATACTAGCAAGTACCTGTTGGTAAGCAATCACCGCTGTACATGGACACCCGCAACGACGGAGGAGTTACGAAGGCGCCGCCGACCTTATTAGGATTTGGGATTTGGAGATTTTAGTATTAAGGAGGAGAAGGATTGGGCCTCCGGTAACCCCACTCACATAAGAAACACAACGCTGTGTTTATTTCACGCCAGTTTTCTGTGAGGCCGTGGTATCACGTGGTATCATAGTCGAGACGACCCATTCGTGTCGAAGCGTGGCTCTCCCACACTTACACCCGGTTTCCAAAAGGCCGATCAACGTTAAAATCAATTTAATCTCTTGTCAAGTCATCTGATTGGTTGACTGAATTATCAACAACCAATCAGATGACTTGACAAGAGATTTAACAGGATATTAGTTAATTTTAGCGTTGACAAGCCTTTCAGAAACCGGGTGTTAGTGTCAGATCTCATAATATTATAAAAATTAACACGGCATTTTCATTTTCTAGGATCTGTATTTTCCGTGAGGCCGTGGTATCACTCCGGTCGACCCGACCTATTCGTGCCGAAGCATGGGTCGCCCACACTTAAGTAGTGTCACATCTAATGTTATTATAACGATTTAAGACCGCAATCGATCCGCGAGGATCTGTATTTTCTGGTCGTAGTAGGTATCCTTCTTTTCCCATCTTCAGAAACATGACTCTCTGTTCCCTGACCTCAAAATATTTTGTTTATCAAGTAGTTACGTCATTAGTTACGTGATTAGTCTCAGTTTCGAATAATTTAGGACAAAAGTATTGCCAATTGCCACTAAAACAGTAATTGCTACATTGTTACGTGTACGAAATATTGCTCGAAATAATTATCTGTTATGACTGCTCTTAATGTTTTACTACCGCATCCGACCTGCATTTGTTTTTTAGTATCTTTATTTTCTACTTATTTTTTTATGATTCTATCATGAACTAGCTTCTCTCGCGCGGTTTCACCCGCTGCTAGGTTAGATTTAATTATAGCGTGATGTTTTATAGCCTATAGCACGCAGAAACATTGTAGTTATCTATCAGTGAAATAATTTTGGCAATCCGACCAGCGGTTTCAAAGATTACCCCCTACAAACTTACAAAAATACAAACTTACAAACATACAAACTTACAAATTTAACCTCTTTATAATTATTTTTTATAATTCTATCAAGATTATACTGTAACTTTTGGGGAGTTTTTCAATTTAACTATGGGAGAGGCCCACGGGCTCTCAGAATATCGACGTGAACCAACACTTACGTTGTTTTTCTCCGTATGAGTGAGATCGCCAGAGGGTACCAGACCAGACCTGGGGTACCAAAGAGTTTACCTCGAATCCTATCCTTAAATCCCTATTAACCATCAAGAGGCCAGCTACGCACTTGCAGTAACTTCTTAGGTGTTGCAAGAGTCGGGCGGCTACGATTGCTTACCATCAGGTAACCCGTCTGCTCGTTTGTCTATGCTAAAAAAGACAAATGCCGTGTGATACGTCTCAGTGTTTTAAGACTGACAGTTACGTTATTAATACCATAGCATAATCAAGATTTAGGCCATTTGAGTTAAGTGACCTATACCTATGCTTATTGAGTCAGTAAATAAGTACACAAGTGTTATACATAAACATTTGTTAGGTATAGACGCTAAAGGTATATAGGTTTCCGGCTCAGACTAGGCTCTGCAGTATAAGCTTTTATACATGGAACACTGATAACTGGGACATAAGGTTCGTTTTATATTGACAGTATTATAAGTATATAATTCAATCAAATCATAATTTCATCAAATCATGGTGCTTACCTAGAAAATCTTATCAAAATATAGGTTCTGTCTGTCTGCACTCCTTCCTGAATTTTTTGCAATTGAAATATTAATATCTACATTAGAATTTCAAGTTTGTAGCTTTTGCAACATGGTTGAAAATCTAAAAAATATACAGTATAGCACATCGTAAATACCTGAATACCGCTATTAACACCGGTATCACCGGTTCGATCTCGAAACAACACGTGCCAAGGTAAATAATAATGGTAATTAGCTATTAAAATTCATAATTATAATACTTATAGCCTCGTTTTTTGCAACTGAATTAGGTACTAAGTATTTTTTTTCAATTGAATAGATTCGTTTTTTATATAAAATTATTCTAAAGGGGGAGGGAGTTATTTTTCGATCAAATGACTCCCCTTGCAGTAGGTAGGATCACACTCTTCAACATCATCATCAGCCAGAAGACGTCCATTGCTCAACAAAAGCCTTATAGTCCTCTACGTTGAAAAGCAAGTTACAACTTGCATCCATTTTCTCCCCGCGACTCTTACGATGTCATCGGTCCACCTAGCGGGTGAATCTGGTCACACGTTATCTGCCGGTGCGTGGTATCTACATAAGCTCATCGAGGTCACATTTGACAGAAATCAGGCATTCCTTTAATCCGTGGCAAATTTTTACGAAATATGTATGCTTTTTGGCAAATAAATGTCATGAAAACACACAACCCCTTTAAAAAATAATCATAGGAAATTGACGATTTTGATAATTAAGTAAATAATATGCTAAAGTTATTGAATTTGACTAGTTACTAAGGACCAAATCATGTCAGTGTCAGCATATTTTTTTGGGATAAAATGATGTTATTATGGCGTTTTCCATCCTAGATGGGAGGGATGAAAGGGAGTGTCAACTTTACTGACTAAAAACCATCAAGTTTCGTCCCCTGCTTCGGGTCAGGGTCGCATTTCATTATAACGCTTGCACCCGCATCCCAGATCACCCCCTTGTTCAGGAGAAACTTATAATCAGGAGATTGGTTGATGAAAAAAAAGCAATTTCTTAAGACTACGTATAATTGAGAATATTGCTTAAATATTAGAGATCAGACGGTCTCTGAAATAGTGGACGGTTTGGTTTCAGTGCTCGGTGGAGACGCCTCTTCCTTCAGGGTCTTCATGCCTTTCAGCTTGTTCTTCACCACGTGGTAGGGAGCTGAAACAAAATTGAGTTTTACTTTAGTTTATAGAAAGAAGAATGTTTGTAAGGTATCAAAAACTCTAGCCTCGAAACAATGCATTTATTTTTACAAATAAGACTTAATAAGGCACTTTTACACTTCAAAATTATATAAGTAAAGCTAGATGAAGCCGGTATTTCCTATCTGACTACTCTGAGCAGAAATGCCGAAACAAACTCAGAGTTTCGTCTCTTTCTTTCTTTCATCTGGCTCGACGAAAGAACTGGTAAAGAAAATAGTTTCTCAATCTCATATGCTAACAGAAAAAAACGCCTAGTATGCCTCCTCTACATATGGAGAATTTGCCATAATTTCTACGTTCGACAGGCTGTTATAAATGGTCGCAGTTTTTAAGTTACGTTTATCAGAAAGAGAGAGCAGTAAGTCGTCTCTTACAACTCTCTGGAACAGTCAGTGTTGCGATTTGCGATAAAGTATCTGTTCTTTCTTCTCCAATATTCTTTGTAATAGTTTTTAGTAGTGTCTGTTGGCTCTTCAAATTCTTAAATTGCCAACAGATTGTCAACGGCTCTCATAATATCTATTTACGTAATGTCAAGATGTGCTCTGCGAATACACAAAACATTCATATTTGACAATACAAGCACCAATTATAATCTCCATAATGTGTGCCTACATACGTATATAATGTGTATTTGTATAACTCATGCTTAATTCTATATTCAAAACGTGCTACGCATAGACAAATAGCATATTTGTATGCCTGTGAATTAATATCTTCCTTGTGTTAAAAACCAATAAAAATATGTTTTGTTTATGAATTAATTCGGTAAGCAAATGAGGAAGTTATTGTGTTTTTTCATCTGGAAATATTTTTATATTTTTTATTTATAATATTTTTTTTTTTCGGAGTCATTTGACGATGACGATGCCTCAACCCCTCCTGGTTGAGGCATCGTCATCGTCAAATGACTTCTCTCGCCCAGGGTATGGCGCAGAGAGTGGCAGACTCTTACTGACTAAAAACCTACATTCTTTCACCTGCTCCAGGCCAAGGCCGTCAGAAATTGTAACATAACCTTATCTAGTTCCTCCCCTGGTGAGGCGTTCCTTCAATCATTCAATCAAACAGCTGGTCATTTAGGCCAATGATTAAATGACTAGTTACTACGCAGCTACGCGTCTGCGAAGCATATCTTAATATTATTTTATTTGGTTTAACGTCATCAATGCTCCTCCAATATAAAGCGATTAATAAGTCAGATTGCATGCATGTATCTACTTTAAAACAATATAAATAGTACGACGAATTGAAAAGGAGTTAGAAGTGCTCTAGATTGACTAAATCACGCGTGCAAGACCGCGGGAAAAATCTAGCGGCTAAGTATAAATATTACAAACATAAGAAAAGCAATATAACCTACTCCACCTTGCGGTAGACAAAAACTTAAGAAGGATGGTGTAAGTGAAAGTGTTTAAGAAAGGAAGTTGTGACCTCTAAAGAAAATAGGTAGATACATTCAATGCAATAGCAATGAGAAAATCAACTAAAGATTTTACAAATTTGCCTGTGGATGGAATTTTCCACAAGGAGGCTTAACTAAACTGCATAGAATACCTCCCAAAGATACAATGCCAAGGACACTCCATTTCCTCTTCAACTGCTTACTAAGCGTGACAATTTCTTTTGTCTCAGATTCGTCTCCATTTTTTTACTTGCCTTGCAACCTACTACGTAATGTTACAAAAACAGTCAATAGAGTTTTTCTTTACACACCGTATTTCCTAAGAAAAACTACATCAAACGATACAACTACTGATATAAACTGAATGAAAATACTTTATGTGAGAAAGAGGTTCTAAAAGTGTAGCGTAAGCAATGCGTATTTTCAAAATGGCGTCCTTTTTGGCGCCTTTTGCAGTCATTTTTGTATTGGCCCATACTTACCAAAGCATAGTTCCTAACACAATGTATTTATGCTCTTCACCTTTTAACAAATTTGCCACTTTTACATACACACATTCGCTGGCTATTCAACAAAAGGTCAACTTATAGATACAATAATTTTGAATCGACACTTCGGCAATGTTGTACAATTTAATTACAAAATAAATATTACTAGATATGTATATTAACAAATCCGATTGCATCACGATAAATTTTAGGCGCCAAAACTCTCTGTCGCAATGACAGTTAGCGTTCGTATGACGTACACTTAACTCTAACCTTATAAACCGCGAAAAACACTCTTACTTGCTTGAAATAAAATCTATTAACCCACCTTAAATATTTTATCTAACTTATAAATACTATTCAAGGTTTTCTCTCACAATATAATTTAGTAATTCTCTCAGGTATTATTCGTTGCTTTGTTTTGTTTTCTTTTTCGACTAATTACCTACCTAGTTTTATATTAGACTAATTTTATGTATACTTGTCTGGGTCAGTGGCCAGACTGCAGACAAGTTATTGTCCTAGTTTTTGTTTTATATGCAATTTTAAGTAGTTAATTAAAAATAAAATAACGCAGTAAACGAGTCTGTAGGTGCGTTACATACGTTCTTATTTTATAAATATAATACATTAAATATTAGAGACAAAATACTAAATCAGGTCTACTGTGTATAACAATAATTGCTAGATACATGTCGAGCTCTCACTCCGAGACTCGCACATTCTTGCATGTTGCAACGTGCCCGATTCTAGGTCATCTGAGTTCACGGATAGTAAGTAGGTATGTACCTATCTCCCTCACCTTATAATCCCATGCAAAATGTAACATAGAACTCTGCGATAGGTATCGCATACGTTCTTATTGTTGTACCTACAGAACAACATTAAAACCTCGTTCGATTCTTGAGTGATAAACAATTAAAAACCTGAACCGGTTTTATGGGGAAGACTATAATACAAATAGGTCTTAAACAGTCCAAAAAAGAACTAAGACTTTTTTCTTTTTATCGCTACTAATAACCTTGCTGGCTGCAAATGCATTTTGTTTATTTAAATTGACTATAGTTACTGTAGCCAAGAAACAAAAAAAAACAAAAATCTGTTGAATGTACAAAGCTCCTTGCGAATTATGTTGAAACGATGTCAAGAAACTTATAGGTACAGTGAGAAGCATGAATTCGCATAAGAACAATTAAATTAAAATAACAATGTCCCAATAAGTACTTACCCAATCGTAGTGCGTGATCGTAAAAGTATAGTTTTTATTGCTCACATTTACTGATTGTTACCTAGGCTACATAGATTTTACATCCTAGAATGCATATACCTGATACGAAATGTAATTTTGATGAAAACATTTTAGGACCTAGGATTGCACCCTGTGGAAACCGAATTTGTAAACAGTACCAATGCGAAAAAAATAAATGGTTTTACTTTTTCAGTAGTAAGTAGGTAGTTTGCATTGTGTTTCGGCGTGTGAGTGGGTTATCGAAAGTCCAATCCTCCCGATGCTTCCCAATCCCCGATTCCCAAAATCCTAACACTCAAAAGACCGGCAAAGGACTGGTGTCGCGTGTCTATTGCAAGGGCTTCGCCGGTTGCTTACCATCAGGTAATTCTTTAGCTATATGCTATGCTATGCTAGCTGCTAATTCTTTAGCTATATGCTATAAAAGGTATTCTATTTACCTACTATTTATTTGCAATGCCCTCGCCTACGTCTCGTGCTCTAGGAGACATGAGAGAAGGCAAAACGATATTTTTACTGGTTAATCGTTAAAAAACTGTTATCACGTACAAGAACTAAGTCACGTACGACTTGCCACAGTTATCCAATTTTTATTCTCCATCTTGATCGAACTTTAATAGGTATTTTAGAATTTTGAAAATTCAAAACTCTATGTAAGTCTAGATATTTATTATATACGTAAGTACTAACACTGTTCAAGTAGAACACTATCACTAGCTGTTTAATTAGGAAAATAGCTTAAAAATGGTTTTTTAACCTGAACCCAAATTAATGTTGTGGAAAAGTACGTGTTGAACTTACCTATTGGATCTAACATTGCATGCAAATTAATTAACTGTCCATAGATACAAACGGAGTAAAACTGGTTAATGCTGCTCTCGATGTGGCTAGACTTGTTTCTTTCTAGTCTCTCTCTAATTTATTTATTAAATTAGATGTTATACAACAATATCAAATGCCACGTTTCTATCTAAATTAATTTTAGTCCAAAAGTCTATTTCACTATCGTAGACTCGTCTTAAGCTTTAGTTCCCTGATTGAACCTTGAGGTACACCCTCAATATAAACATTAGATTGAAACACTCTTATACAGCTACAAAACAATAAAAATATGGGTTTGGAGTTTACACAAGTGTTTGTCTATCACTGTCTGGAAATTCATATTTCTGTTGCAAGGAACTATTATTTATTTTGTTTCTTTTGAATAAATTATATATAATGTGCAGACGTAAATGAACACTGCAGAAATACTTACGTAGGTATCTATTAACATTTTATGTTTGTTGTTTATTTACTTTGGTACTTAGTTTGGTGTAGCTAATTATTCTATTTTACAGTATCAACACAAGCCATAAAAGTACTTGCTGTATTTACTCACAAAAAAAAGTTGACGCGCAAATCGCTGTATTTAGTAAAGTGTATATTAATAAAACAAAAACATATTTACATACCCGAAAAGATTCTCAGTCTTCTTTTGGAATTCTCATTTCCGTAAGCGCATAGTCTGATTATGTCAAATACAGCTAGACATGTTAGGAAGATCAGTAAACTGTACACGATTAGCTGTAGCATGGCAACTGCTTCACACAACGGCACGAGTTGCCCCGTCAACGATACTAATACAACTAAAAACACAAGGTTTCGTAGGATCAGGTTTTTCAAGAACAAAAGATACGTCAACTTGAACTTGAAAACTTTAGGGTTCAACTGTGTACTATGTATCTACTTTACTGTGAAAAATATTCTATAGTATGTGTATGTGATTCTCTTATAAGATTTTAGACTTTGAGTATTTTAAATATCAATACCGAAATAGTATAAGCTGTCTTTCGAGCTTCGGTTAAAATCATGACGTCAAAGTTCTTAGACTAATAATAATGAATGTATTGGTAGCTGGTTAGTAGGTAAATCTTTTTCTTAATCGTGTTTTTACCCTTTACAATAAACGAGTTATATTAGTTAATTGACCTTTCTTATTATGAAGGTATTGCAACAAGACGGGCAACGATCAAGATGTGCTAATTTCTAGACTAGAGTAAGAAAAAGTTTGATTATTGCTTATTAGCCGAAATGTATGCCAATGTCAATCGTATAAAACGGTTAATGTAAGGTTATCGTTCATAAGTGTAATAATGGGATTCGGACACTGCGACCTTGCCAATGTAACGACTAACGACCACCCATACAACATTTTTGGATTTCACGTTTCAAAAGTACTATATTTCTTAATTAATCTGATTCTGTCTTATGTGATGCAGAAAGTTTCTGGTATACTTAGAATGTGTTTCTTGCATTAACTATGAAATAGAATTATATAATCCTGCCACATTGTCCGAAAAAAATGTTAAATATTTATTTCTGAACGTATCCGCTCAGTCACCTACAATGACAACTTGTAATGATGTACTGACAGACAGACAGACTGACAGTGACAGCTGACAGGAGTCTTTCTAACAGAAGTCCAACGACTGTTTTCTTTCCTTCGTTTTATAAACAGAATTTTTACCTATCGTTGTTGTAACGCACATACTCAATAATCATGGAAAAGGAATTAGATAAAGTAGTAGAGGAGATCATGTCGACTCCTAATGTGAGTGGGTGTTTAGTAGCGGACCACCAAGGATTATGTTTGGCTGCGAAAGGTACAGCGCATGTTGACTCAGCGGGTATTGTAGTGGCGATATCGGAGCAGGCGTGTAAAATACAACCGAATTTGAAGCCTCCCACTGTGTGCTTAGAGACAGACAAGAAACAGTGCTTGATTCAGCGACACGGAACCATCACGGGAGCTATAATCAAACAAAAATCGTAGCTTGGCCGTTACTTGGGAGGTAGGTACGGGCCTTAATAGTCTGTTTTTAGAACCTGGAGCCGTTTCTTGCTGGCGATAATGGCTTTAGTGAGGCAAAATAAAAGTCTCCTTAGATTAAAAGCGGAAATAATCTTTGTCTGTAAAGGTGAAGGCTCTTTAGAAGGCTTTTCTATCATTGTTTTTTTTAAAAAGCCATATCAAAACACAACATACCCTATCTTCAATACAAAGAAAAGGACAATCATAACTTTATTAGAGGCAGAGTTAAGTTTTAAACTCAATATTATATTATATGTACTATGTAAATTTTAATCAGTAAGTTTTATGTTGCAGGAAATAAGCAAGAAGCAACTGGACCGAGTATAAGATTGAATGACTAGATGTTATCCTTGTTAAACGAGAAAGGATTGATTCTAACCATCAAGCCTATGAGATAACTAATTACTATACATGTTTAAAATATAAATAACCATATTATAATAAATGTAACTTGTTTAACTCTGTAAATAAAAGTATTTTATATTGACTGTTCTTTAGTTTTGTTTTACTTATAAGTACGAAGCCACACAATAACTGATGGTTTGAAGCTTCCCTGAAAGGACAGGGATGGTGCATTACCCATATTATTATCTTCTTATCAAGTTATCATTCATTTATTGTGAAATGTATATGATAATTTAATCAATGAGGCTAACCATAATCAATGTTACCATAATTGCATCCAAAAATTCGAACATACCAAAATGTTTATGATATTCCTGAATTTGGGTCACTTATTTGAGAGAGCCAGCCTAGGAAAACCAATGAAAAGCAATACTAAATTTGAGATCCTTTTGCTGTGTGCCTAGGGATACTATTAGTTCTTTTTTATTTTGTATCATGTTGGAAAGTCCTCATGGAGACCACTTAGGGAAGGCCGAAGGGTACTGTCAGACTTACTAACTAAAAACCAAACTTTTGTTTCTCCAATTACCAGCATTCGTCACACAGTCACACCCCCCGACGGGGTAAGGGTTGGGTCTCTGTTAACATACAATATCAATAGCATTATCCCCATACAGACTGGGTCTCTAGTAACTGCTTCCCTTCTAATGTAAAATTCTTAAACCCATAATTCCCAAAAGGATCGGCAATGTTGCCGACCTTTTATTAACTCCTTGAAACTGCATGTATCCATGGAGGGCGTTGTTTCCTTAGTTTCATGTAAACTATCTGCGATGCTGTATGACTGTCCCTTAAAGTCATCGTCCAATTACTCTTGTATGATTATTGCACTGAACCAGCTGAACTAGCTTTAATTATGGATATAGTATGACAATCGCTCCTGCCAATTGACATAAAGTTTTTAACTCAAGTACCTACATAAGAAATCCATAAGTATATGGACTTCAAATAACTTTCGAGAATACCTAGTTTGTTATAAATGTAGTTACTACTCTACAGATTGAGACTTTATTATTAGGTATTTATTTGACTGCTCCTTGTCAAGTCATGGACGGCAAACAAGCAGACTGATTACCTACCTGATGGTAAGCAATCAGCGCCGCCCATAGACACTCGTTTTACCTACCAAAGAAGTTACTACAAGTGCGTTGTCGGATTCAAGGATAGGACATTTAAAGCTTAAGGGGGAGATTGAACCAACGGTAACCTTACTAACACGGCAAAACACTAATTTGTCTAACAGGAAGGTAGGTAGTGGTAGAAGTTTTGAACATATTCTAGTAAATTGTCAATTTAATAAGGTAAAAAATAAAACAAAACATCAATATACACACATTTATTACAGATATGCTTTCCTAAATATAACATTAACTTGACAAGAAACAACTGCAACCACTTACACTATACAACTATGTATACTTATTGTAATTTTACAAACAACTTTTACTATTCATTACCTGAGTTACAGTGCAGGGACAATTAATTATTGCAAAAAACCGTACGCAACTATTTGAAAAATTTGGTTACATTTTTGGCGGGAAACAACAATACATACCGCCATTTTGAAATGTCATTTACGATAGGTTTTCTACTGTTTGAAAAATCACTGGAAGTAATTTCAATGAGCCTAGGTTGTTTATCAAAGTGATTTATTTTTTTTATCCATGCACTAACTCTAAGTATACAAGCAACGTAACTATTAACGATCTTGGATAACATGTCTAACTGAACATTAAACAAAGTTGCAAGTGTTTAGGCTAAGCAAGAATGTATCTCAACTTATTAATTTAATCATAGCATATACTATATACAATCTCAACGTAAATTCTTATTTTAACAATTAATTCGCTTAATATACATAAATTAATCGATGCATGTAAAAATTATGATGTATCAATTTAAAAAGTAAAACAATGTAAATAAGGAAGCACAAGACACATAATCAAACATTCCATTGTGTTGCAGGTTAAAATTTATTCTAAATATTGCCGCAACACCATACATTAAATTCAAATAAAAATTCTTCCACTAAAATATTGGCTGTGTGAGCAAAAATGTTAAAACTAGCAAAATATTACCTAAGACTAGGGCCTTTCTTATACACAATAATACTTACGCAGTCACTGTGGCGTTCTATATTGTTATTTTACAAAAATATCTTGCAATTGCAGTAACAGTTATAATTTTATCTATTCAAATTTGTTGCAGAACAATTTCTATGTCTAATGTGTTCAATATTTTATTAAATGTGACTATTAAAAGTTAATACAACTATTTTAGTAGTTTTTCATCACTTGAGGTTGGCAACACTTTCCAAATTCGAGCGGTCGACATTCAAATGTTTATCCAGTTATCACGCTAGACAATTATCGACCTTTTACACGAGATCATAAGATCGCAAAATAATTAAACAGCTCAAAGGTGTTGCCAGTCAAGGAAATCATCACTACAGAATTAGTTGGCAACTGTCCAAATCGAGTAGTATTCGTCTAATATAATGTATTACAAGATTTCATTGGATATATCTATACTATCTCGACCATACATCTGGCTGGGGTTATTTATTAGACATTACCATCGTGAAGAACTTAAGTGCGACCCCCACACTACACTAAATACAATAAATTACTTAAAAACATGTTCCAAGAAGTTGACACTGCCGTGACAATTCAATGAGGAACTACGTACTAGAGGCATGCAAGATATACATATATAATATAGAATACATAGGGAAACATTGAAAAGAAAAGACCCATAAAATTCAGTACGATTTTCGGAATGCATACAATTGATATATGGATTCTAATGGCGACACATTGATTATAGCCTTTTTCAAAGGCTTCGTCGGAATATAAAAACGTTATGAAAACGCAAAAGAATCCTTGTCTTAACATCTTCAACAAGCTTTTAACGAAATGCTGCCGAAATCACACAATCAAAAGAAATTATGAAAGAAGACGTCGCTATACGATAATAGACTCTATAGTAAACACTTTACACCAATGTCAAGAAAAATTTCGCTAACTATGTATTATGCTATAATAATTATAATATTATGATTTCATTTGGAATAAATCGTCTGCACATGACCGCATTGCCATTTAAAAATTTAAATAAGAATTATGACAAAAATATGAGCAATAATAATTTTGTTATATTTTATAATAAGAAATTATATTTTTCTAATTAAAATAAATATCTGTTTACAAGCTAGTTTAAAGGATATGTATGAATGTTAGACGCTTAACTTTATAAGGACGAAAAATAAATTGCAATTAAATAATGGAAAAATAATAAAGAACACCAAAAATGTCGTGTACCATTAGAGGCGCTGGTATAAATTAACGATCAATAAGAACCGATGATGAGACTAAAAGGATCATAATCGACAGAAGCGCCATCTGCATCACCAAAGAACTATTTAAAATTATTCATTATTCTCTGCCTTTATGTAATCCCTACATCATTTTCATCCTCTGAAATATTAGATATGACGCCATAAAACTCCAAACAAGTGCCACGCGGCACTGTTTACCAAATAAATTAAAATTAAACAATATAATTATACTATTAACAGCCCTAGAGTACGTCCACAAATCGCTTCCTTACAAAAAATAATAAATATGATAATTAGGATTTAAGGATCTTGGAACGACGCACACCTTCATCATCTCTCTCTCATCTAGTATAAATTGACCTCTTAAGGTTTGAAACAATCACACAACGCGAGGTCAGATTAAACTAGAAAAGAAATCCAAAACGCAGTTGTTTACAGTAATAGGTCTCCTCATTACTTTACTATTACAATATAACACTGACTTCAAAATTGACGTAGCGATTAACATGAATTCCATTACAATTATGAGACATATCTCTCTAACAATTATGTATATTTTCCCATAATACTTTAGTTTCGAAGCCACTCCATAATATCTTGATCAGCCATTATTAAGATCATATAAATAAATAATTCTCCTAAAAAAACTTTCATCATTTTGAGGTTCATATTTAATAGATTTCAAATGCATTGGTCCTTTATTATGAACATGTTATTACAAAGACCACTTATTGGAAAACAGCCTCTATTGCAACCGATATAATATCTATTTTAGTTTTAAACTCCTCTTAAGGGCCAAGCGATATGGTACAATATGTCTATAATACGTGCTTATTCCATAAACCTCTATAATATAACAAATAACTGGATATCATACATATTGAATGTTATCATAGACAAAAATATTAACTATCTACAAGCAGACTCAAATCATGTAGTTGGCAATACTATTATTTTGTATGGAGGACACTATTTTTTATTGGCAACACTAAACTAAGGAGTTTTTACTGTAAATATTGCTATAAATCCCGAGTGGAGAAGTTTGTATCAACTTGCACCGTGGAGAGACATGGATAGTCTTTCTGGGGTTTAATATGCGCTCCACTGTACTAAGAACGAACGAACAATAACTATATATGAAAACATGATCAGTATATTTCAGCTAGAAAATATAAATAGGTATAAAAGAAGCACTCAGTCACAACAACGATAAAAATATTGATCAAGTGAAAAATTCACATCTTAACAACCCACCATGAACTCCTCCAACTTTCAAATGCAATCGCTAATGGATAATGCACCTTATTTTTACGTTAATAAATTACCAATTAGTAGGAAAGTCAAGATCTCGGTAGATTTTGTAGCAGTCGACATAACGCAACTGTCTTTTAGGAAAATAAGTGAAATACAGTATAGACATACTGTTCGTTCAACCGATTTTGAATTGTATTACGTAGGTGAAATGAAAAACTTTTTGCTTTTAGTACCATCCTTAAGCGTATGGCATAGAAGTTAAAATCGGTAGAACAGACAGTAAATAAGTTGTGTTGTATGTTATGAAAGAATTCATGGTGTGTTCGGGAGTACCAGGAGCGCATAAGGAAGTAGGAGACTCACGGGGTACGAGGACTATAAGGTCAGTTGCGCACGGGGACGCCGGTGAAGCTGACGGGCTGTTCGTTCGTCACGAGGTTGGCACGCGGAGCGCTCGTCGGCTGCCGACCCGCCTCCAAGTTCACCGCCGACGTCCTCATGTCTTCTATTGATCCTCTGTTATATAGAAACAAACATTAATCGAGGTACCAAATTCAAGAAACACTGGAGTGCAAGTGAAATACTTAAAAAAATCTGGCATAATATTGTAGGTACTCAAATAATTTAGTGATACAAAAATACTAGCTAGCTTCGTAAAAAAAGCGTAATAAAAAAACAGAGAAGACAAAACGAAACTGTGCACCCGATAGCTGAAAACAAGAAAATAAAGAAAACCTGTGCTTGATAACAAAACAAAGACAAAACGAGACAAGCGAAGAATATGTGACAATCATTTGTTTTAATAAAATCTTTCTTTCTAAGCCAAACCACCTAAGATAGCATTTTGACATTTCATATAAGGTTACAGTACGGCCGACGTATCTTGGCGAGTCTGAAGTTAGCCGATTACCTGCGCAGTACACAATTTTGTTCCTAAAAGATCCATTGCGTAAACAAACGGCTAACTTCAGACTCGCCAAGATACATTGATGGTATTGTAGCGTCCTTATAATATGTGAGGTGTGGACTGGTAATCAATATTACTGAGAGTAATAAGTGTAATAAAAATTTACAACAGAATACATACATTTTGTTTTCTCTTTTGTAAGTATTTCAATCAAAACTAAAAATTGCATTAGTCAAAACACCCCCTCTCCCCAAGTGAGATTAGATGAGATTTGCCATCACCTCACATAATTTATGGACGCTTCCTTAACTTACCAAAATAAATAAGAGTCTAGAATCTTCTAAAAAAAATTGGCTTTAACGAAAAATTTTATCAAAACAAAACCCCAAACAGCAGGCAATGAGAAAGCATGCGTCAGACGGTACATGTTAGGAGTGATGCGTGCCTCGTTTAATTGGGGCGCCACACGTCGGGGTCCTCCATGAGGGTGACGTTGTGGTCGTGCGAGGCCGACAGCGGAGCGCCCGGGGGCGTAGTGCCGCCCGCCGCCATCGCCGCCATGTCGTCGCGAGACCCCCTGTGACCCCCACACGCACACACACACATCGTTTTAGTTACACACTACACGGCTTAGTTAATTACAATAAGCTTTATTGACACGTAATATTTTATTAGTGTAAATTTTAATCCATTTTGATATACGATTAAACAAACAATTTATGTGATACTTATTTTATTAATATTATGATAGGTTATGGTCAAAACAAATAGTACTAAACCTTTAGGTATTTAGTATTTCCACCATTCATTAGTTCATTCATCATTAACAGGCATAATTTATATGACCAAGTTAAATATTTCTTAATAAAACATAAGTACTACGATCGTCCAAAAATTATTCTCTTGTAAGTAGGAAGACCTTATGCCTACCTATATAAAGTCTAATTCAAGCGAAAAGACTGCACAGACCAGACCCACTGAAGCAAGTACTCGTGTTAGAGACCCACGCCCAATCACAGTTAGTTACATAACTTACGACTCGATTTAATTTCGGAAGGGTACTTTGACATTACCAGATTTTTAGTGGCACAACGTGAAATATAGACTTTATCCTTCAGACAATTCAATTGATATTTTAATACAATTGTATCACAACTCGAATATCTTTAAGTCAAAGTAGCCTTTTGAAAAAAATCGAGTTTAGAAGATAGGTTATGAAGGGGTTATACTGACTTTTTGCCCAGCGCCATCATTCCGTAGATAATGCCGGTGGCGAAGATCAGACCGCTACCGAACCACGTGCTCAGGCTTATGAAGCACATGAAGAATGGTGGGATTGAAAGCCTGAAAGCAAAAGGATAACAAATGATTATTAATATGTGTATGGAATACAATAACATGTCATGTAAGGCTGATTGCTTGAGTAGGCCGGCTCAGATGAGTTCTCCCGCCCAGGGCCGGGCTCGAGGGAGTGTCAGACTCTTACTGACTAAAAACTCCCCCGTTCCTTCTCCGGCTCTGGGTACGGTGCCTCATTGCAGTTACCCCGCAACCCCGGCTGAGGGAGTAGGCCGGCTCACCCAGCTGTTAGTAGGCTGACACAGCAGAGCCATCGATAAATGTAATATAAATTAGACTGTATTATTGTAGATATATTATTTATATTTATTTAAATGTTTACTGGACACTGTTTGACAAGGATACGGCCCCTGATTCCGTGGAGATTGTGAATCATCAATAAACAAAAAAACATGGCATGTGATAATGTGCCGACTGAGGTCGGCCTGCTTCTCAAGCAAGAGGATTCGAAACCTGGTATGGACCAATATAAGATTTTTCAAGGTATACTTTCAAAATGTGAAGGAAATAATCGTGACGAAATCTAGACTTAAGTTCCAAGTATAAGTTGGAAATCGCCAATCCACCTTGAGCAAGCGTAGTGACTAATGCTTCACGTGAATCTACTTCTTCGTGTGAGAAGACGTCTTTGCTCAACAGTGGGCAATTATAGGCTGATAGGATGATGATGACTTGCTGACTAAAGCTGGACACGCCGTCTGTTTAGAATCGGATTGCCAAAACCAAAACATAAGAGTCTTCATTCCAGGATATGTCAAATCATTGGATAATTTTCCCTTCAAAAAAGGGAAACACAACACAAGCTGTTAAATATTGCCTCTTTCATTATTAAATGGTTATAAACGCCAGGTCAGCCTCAGCAAAGACTATGCCGTGTAATCGTGAACAGGAAAACAATAGATTTGTCACCACGAAGGATTTTTTTTTTTTTTTGTGAGGGGAAAATCATCAAATGACTTCTCCCGCCCAGGGCCGGGCAGGAGGGAGTGTCAGACTCTTACTGACTAAAAACCCCCCTGTTCCTTCTCCTGCTCTGTGCCGAGGTCGCGGTACCTCATTGCGCTTACCCCGCAACCCCGGCTGGACATCAGCCCTTGAGGGCCCCGTCTGTGGTGGTCGAATGGCTCTTTGAGGCGCGCGCGGAACGCTACGCGCCGTACGCTCGGGCCTGGTTCTGGTCGGGCGGCGAGCTGCCCTTACTCGCCGACCGCAGGCCCGTGCTTACGGTGGCCGGAGATCGTCCCTCGATCCCCGACGCCCGTAGTGTCGCCAGTTGCGGCTGCTGGGGCGTGAGGAGGAGGATTGCTCCCTCACGCGGGCCGCCTCTCTCTTTGCGAGCATGACTGCTTCACAAAAGGAGGAGACGGCGTCCCAGTTCCTCTCACTCCGCACCATGGCCTCGACTAAGGCCGGGCGCGAGAGGTCGCCGCCGCCGATCACTTCCCTGAGGATACGGCGGTGCTCAGCCCAGGCAGGGCATACCGCTACCGTATGCTCCACCGTATCCTCTAGGTGGTCCTCACAAACCACGAAGGATGGATTGTTCTTTATGGATGGATGGGCATAAAATCATTCTGTGACTCCTCCCGCCATATGGGACCGAGTGTCACTTTTCCCTGGTCCATACCGAGGCCCTGGTACATACACTGGCTGAGGCCAATAAACCCTTGGCACGCTTTTTAACCGTTGATTTTACAAAACAACAACTAGCAATAAATCCTATAACTATAGCTATATTATAGACACAAATATCCAGACTCCATGACTAAAAACCATTGAAATAAAAGACCTAATCATATTTCTTCAATTTTTTACCCATACATGTGGCCTTTGTCCTAAATAAAAGCTACAATTTCTTGTCTCTTAGGGCATGTCAAATGTCCAAGTTATCAAAATGTTGACTAAGCATTAGCGTTATGATAAGAGCGACTTAAAAAGCAACATGTGTGCACCTGATATGATTTTATCAGCTGACTCATAAAACACAACACAAATGTATTTCAATTAGGATATTACAGTTATGTCATCAATCCATCAACTTATTAATGTTGCAAAATTCTATGTAATTAGCGTTATCTGACGCAAAAATTTTTAATGACACATAAGTAATTTTGGTCTAACAACTTGCGTCTCCTAGATATAAAAAAACAAAAGCAGTTATCGTAGTCTTAAAATATTTATAACGAAAAAACAATTAGAATATTTTGCTTTTTAAGCTAGCTAGGTTTGATTCCACTCGACACACAGATACATAAGTTCTTCGCAAGCTACCTACGCGAAAAAGTCAATTGACTCTTTTACTGTCTACGGCAAAGATTTTTTTTTGTTTATGTGATACGACGGCAAACGGGCAGACGGATTACCTGATGGTAAGCAATCGGCATCGCCCATGGACACCCGCAACAAAGAAGGAGTTACGAGTGCGTTGCCGACCTTATAAGGATTGGAATTTTGGGGATTTAGGGATTGGGAAGGGATTGGGGTAGGGGAAGGATTGGGCCTCCGGTAACCTCACTCACACGGCGAAACACAGCGTTGTGGTTGTTTCACGCCGGTTTTCTGTGAGGCCGTGGTATTACTCAGGTCGAGCCGACCCATTCGTGCCGAAGCATGGTGGACCAGGTGAATAATTTAGGGCCGCTCCTTTATATTCTCATGGTTAATGATTTATTGTTAGAACTCTTTGCTGGCAATCTTAAACTGACTCCAAAGCGATTAGGACAAGGACCATCTTTGCTGTGTTTGATATTGTGAATATAGCTTCTCTATCACATTAGGTCAACCTGTAAGGACAGATGTAAAGGTAAAATGAAATAAAAAAGAGTACTCACCCAACATAACAAGCAGCCTTGTTCCAATAAGGCCTCGTCTCCATCTTATCGCTGAGGGTCTGGACATAGTCTATGAAGAAGCAGCAGCACGGAGCCTCGCACACAATTACTATGAACCCGGCTAACATCTGCCAGATACCGGCTATCAGACAAGATGGATTCAAAAGCAGGATACTGATGCAGTTAATCAGGCCGAGCATTATGGCAACTAGAACAAAAAGTTTTTTGTTATTTATTTTTTTATACATGAAAGGTATTGGCTGTATGCAAATGCGAGTAGTGGCGGACAGGTAACGATCGCAGCGCACAATACGGCGGAAATGGAAACAAATGCGGATGATTAGCTGTCGGTTTTTATTACTATATTAATTTTACAGTAAAACTAATGAATAAATTGTACTTAAATAATGTTAACAATACTATTTTATTCTTTGGTTTTATTTATATTTGCAAAAATTATAATGTTTACATTGTTATTATTTGACAGCGTTCGCATATGTTGTAAACGCTACGCGTCGCCACCGTCACGAACATAGCCAATAGTATTATACCGATTTACGAATTTCTCAAATTTATAATTATTTGTTTAACACAAGAGAAAAAAAGATCTTGTGAGTTGTGAATATAAAAATTACATCATTAAGAATAATTATTAAAGAAATAAATTTGCAAAAAAAAGCAGCACCCTCTAAAAGAAGCTTGAAAATTATAATATTTATATTATAGGCTTTTTGAATTAGAAAGTTCTTTATTTTTTCTAAAATAAATTATTATTTAGTCGTCTAATGTGTAATTGAATGTGAATGAATATCTTTCGCGCCATGCATAACACACCTTTATGCATCATTGCCGTATTGGACCTTCTTACACAAAAGTCAGCACAATATTTTATTTTATTGAAACATCGAATTAATTTATTTTTGACCTAGGAAACTACCTAATTCTGCCAAGCTGCACAAACGTTTGCATTTGCTAAAATATTTAGTTGATAGGATGTGTGTGGTCGCCGTTCGTTGTGTCCAATTGTAGCGTGTGTAGGATGGTCGTTAGCAAAAACGGTAACGGCTCATATAAAGCCATATTAAATAGATAGCTAACTGTTTTCGTAACACGTCAATACATATCTAAAATTTTGGGGAACAGAAAAAATAATTGCTCCTAACTCTAGACTAGAAATATCTTCGTTGAAAACTGTAGCAATTAATAGGTATTGATTTTGTCGCGAGTCACTTAGACTTCCATATCTTTTGATTAAACCTTCGTGTTATAGCATAATAATTGAGCCCCACTCCCTGCGCCCCTCGTTCAATTTTCATGTAATTCAATAAAATATATTGTACATCTTTATTGCGATAATTGGTAGTAGGTGTAGGTACTATAATAATAGGGAAACTATAGAATAGTAGGCCCATTTAATGTCATTTACTAATCTTAGGTACTAGAGCCAACGTATTAAAAACAAGACTCGATTTATCGATTCCTTGTTAAGTAGTTCATTTCGTCGACAAATGTAAGTCTCGGCTCAGGAATGGCGGGAAAGTATTGACTACCAGTGTTGCCCGATGTAAAATTTGAGGGCGTCAATACGAGTATATCTTCCAATTTAGGTCACACGTGGGTTCGTATTTTTAAGGTGTGGGTGTAATACTTTTATTCATCGATTGATTGATACACTGAATTTCAGATATTTTTTAAAAAATAAGTAAGCTATTTGACTCAAAAAAACTATGACGTCTTAACTCAGTTTTTCATACAAATTTCATAGAAAAGTATCGTTTTTGACGTTTGGATAAAAGTATTGAATTTGACTAGTTGGAAACTACCGTATTCACGCGAAAACATACAATAATATGGCATAAAGATAGATCAGGATTATGTAGATGAAATCTCAAAGATATTTTCGAATGCTACAAGTGGTTCACATAATGGTACCATTATTTCTATAACATAACAATCCGATTTGTATTAATTAAATTTGTAAAGGGCTTATCCTATAGGATTATCCTGTCCTCGATGCATGTGCGAAGATTATAATGCAAAACAGTAGCATTGGTCTTTAGTACCGTTTTCATCATATATCATTGTTTTTACAGTAGAAGTAACAGATTCTATAATTTTGTTTATTAGCTTGTTTCAGCCTAATTATCTGGGAAGGCCTCGAGTCTTTAATTTCTCCATGTCTGATAAACGAACCTTGACCTTAATCCACGTTACACAAGGTTTTTTATCACTTCCCGGGTCATTGACAAGAAAAACGTTGATCTATTGTTGTACACTTAAATCATTGATCCAATTTGATAGGACGGTAGACATTGTAGAAGGTCTAAGTATGCTGCTTTGATATTTTTAAACCACTTTAAAAAGCTGACAGCCCATATTTACATTTAAATTGAGCAAACCATTTAATAATATTTAACCACAGATTATTCAAGCAGTTAATGTAAACATTTACAGCTGACAGCTTGGCTGGTAAATAATATTTTAGCGTTTGAGATAAAGATCTGATAATGAGGTTTTATTTAGGTTACTTAATGTTCGTATGTACCTGCATATTTATTTGCTGAATTATTTAGGTTCTGTATGACACACACACATTTGCATTTGAAGTGGGGTAAAAAGGTTTTAGCACACCTTCAAATGCAGGTATAGGGTAATACTGTAGTTTCTAACTAGTCAAATTCAATTCTTTTAACCAAATGTCAAAAACGATACTTTTCTATAAAACTTGTATGAAAAACTGAGTTATGACGACATAGTAATTTTTGCGTCACATAGCGTAGGTACCCATTTCTTAAAAATTAGCTTAAAAATATCGAAATGTTGTGTATCAATTGATCGATGAATAAAAGTAAGTATAGTTATTTTTCGATAATTTATTGTATTGAAACGTCGAATTAATTTATTTTTCACATAGGAAACTACCCAATTAATACGGTTTTTAATGTATGGTTTTTTATGGCGTATGTTGGCCAATTAGCTGACTGATAACCTAATGGTAAGCAATCGAATCACAAACCAAAGGAGTCACAAGTGCATTGCCGGCCTTTTTTTAGGTTGTTAGGGATTTAAGGATAGGGGGATTTGGGGATTAATGATGAGGAGAGGGATTTTTTTTATTCTTTTCGGTAACCTCACTCACACGCCGAAAGTAAATATGTTTGACGCCAGTTTTCTGTGTGTGACGCCGTGGTCAAGCCGACCTATCCGTGTGTAAGCATGGCTGTACCACGCTTACATAATATATGGTAGCAAGAAATTTGAGGAATGAATTTGAGACATCGTCGTTGGGTACGACTGACACGAGTCCGGTCACTGGTCTACCTCTAAAGATCGATTATATTAATATACAGCATAACACATTATATGTAGTTCTATAATAATATACACTACGATTACGATTACTAAGCCTTCGCTGTTGGTCTTTCTGTCACAACCTGTATGTCAATAATTGTGATAGCTAGAGAGTTGAAGTCGGACCGATGCTGTTTTTCTGTTGCCGCGAAAACAACAAATAAAGAAGAAAAATCAAAATAAAAAAGGCGGCGTACATGTGATTTTAGTGGGCGAGCCAAAATTCTGGCGGTTTTTAAAAAAAATATCGATGTTTGCAATGTTACGGTGATGGTGCGATGGTAATTGGGATGAAGCACACCGTAGTAAATGGTGTGTGTGAAGCAATGTTTTAAGTTTGTTTTTAAGTTCAGACGTTAGAGCATTCTAGGCAGCAGAGGTTTGAGGGAATAATCTCAGTTGTATAATAAACTTTGAGATATTACTATTACTTAGCTACCAAGTGATATTAAAAATGGAAAGGCAATTTTTTTTTTTTTGGTCGGCTGTTAAGACACTGCAATTTGATATACTAGGCCACTTTTTTAGGGAAACTTTATAACTAAGACTCCGTCTACCTCACATGAACCGCGGTAGCTAGACAGATGGTAACGAACCCTTCGTGCTCGAGCCCAACTTGCACTTGACTGATTCTGATTACTATTAGACCGAGCGAATATATCGCTTTTTATAAGTAAAAACATTTAGTGCAAATGCTAATCTATTATCAGACAAGTTGGAAATTTGATATTATCACTTAAACATGGTTTAAAAAACTGGTTCCTACATAGATTCGATATTTCTGTTTCAAACAGTTTAAATGTTAATTTTATATTATACGGGAAACTCGTTCATTGAAGTTCACGCATATTAATTACTAGCTGATCCGAATGAAATTTGGCATACCAATAGATTATAGTCTGAGGTAATACAACATAGAGAAACGTAGGGGAGTCTTTCCCTTGTAATGCCATAGTAAAAGTTTTGGGGTTGTATATTTTTTTCTATCAACGATAATTTTCGTATTTTCTCTAGGCAAAGTGCCCAGCCTACACCCTTTTTGAAATTATAATTACTATAACACATCATATATTTCAGGGATGAGCCATATCTACATAAATGGCTCAAAATACACCCTAATTTACAATCTGTTACATAACATAAGAGGTACGGTAATGTATACAAAATGTATTAGCCATTAGTGAAATTGTAAAACAAATAATAATTTTTAAAAAGATTGAGTTTCTTGCTTATTCAAATCAAATCAATCAAATCAAATCAAATTCTTTATTTCAAATAGACCAAAAAAGGCACTTTTGAACGTCAAGCAAAAAAGATATCATAAGGTTTAACTTTATGTGTCAGTCTGTCCGTCTGTCCTCTAGTGAAGCTATTTGCTCGTTCCAAAGTGTAGATTCCTATGGAGAAGAACGAGCAAGAAACTCCATGGTTACTCTTTTTCAATCACTTTTTACAATGCATTGTTACATAATTTAGATAGTTCCATTATGTGAGAACAGTATAACACTAGTGTTTAACCAAAGTATCCGAAAAAGAAATAACCCTCAGGGACAGCAACTTTAGACAGTCTCGAGTTGACCAGTCCCAATAGGCGGCGTCCGTTCACGAACATGACACGTACACCAGCACCGCCCAACTCAACCATATTATAGGGAACCGAGCGGTCCAGTGCCCGTGCCACCGCCAATGAGACTCTTGAGTGAGCATGACAACTCCCAACTGACACTAGTACCAATATACTATAAGTCTATAAGTCTAACTCAATTATAATAGGTATTATAATAGGTATAATTCAAATCTACAATTTGGAAAGAGCACCTAGCTGCACTGACGAGCAGACTGACAGACTACTATTCTATTTTGATCTTTTAAAAGTACCTATTTATGGTTTAGTTGGAATAAATGATTTTGATTTGATTTGATTTGAACCAGAGATCATTTTATCGACAATTATATCATTATAAAAGCAAATTAGCTTGGTGTCAAATACCTATTTTTTCTGCTAAATCTAGTCGTCCAGAAACTTAATAATTTAAGTGTTTAATTATTCAACACATATCATATACTTTAATTAGCATGTAAATCCATGTTTCATTGTTCTCAAATGATTTAACCTGCTTAAGTATTTATCTCTATCTATGTACAGTGTAGTAGGTACTAAAAGTAATTTGAACAGGTAATTTGTTTTGTTAGTGAGTCTTCTCCATTCACTAAGGGTCTGGCTGACATAAAGACACCTTATGTTCCAATAATTGAAATAAATATTAGACTTTAAAAGGAAATGGCTACTAAGTAAAAGTTTTTCTATGCCATTTCCCAAAAACTATGGGTCAGGTACTGTAGCTCACTTAGTAATAAAATTTAATATTCTTTTCATAAGCTGAGACGGTTCCCTATCCATTCTCATACTGTCTGCATTTTTTGTAAATAATTTATTTATAAAGGTAGGTACAATGGATAATAATATAACTTATAGTTCAACAATATGCATATTGTAAAACCAGCTGTACTGGATACTAAAGAACTAATTTTAACTGTAATGTTTTTTCATTCTTTCTATTCTTTGCAGTTACTATGCCAATTGAAAAAGGTTTATTTTTAATTTTAATTCATAAAAAAATAATTGGATTTTTTTAACTAGTTAAATAAAAAACATGTAAAAATTATATGAGTATAACTTATGAGCTTGCTTCACTATTAATAAAAATATGGATTGGTAAATCAATTTTTAAAATTGGAATTTAAAGATTTTTTTTTTCATTCATAATTTGTATGGCTTACTGGTTAATTTTTGAATAGACAGATGTAAATGAAAAGGGCTTGGTTGGCTAAAGACTATATGATAAGACTTTATAATTAACTGGGTGATTGAACTAGTGACCTAATAAAATTATTGAGTTTGTTTTCAATTACATTGCAGACAATAAACATTGGTCTACTTCAGGTTCACTTATTTTTGATTGGACAACAAATTAAACTAAATAGAGAACAGTCAAACCAGACTAATACTTAAAAAAATACAAGATAGACCAACTGCTTATATTTTTTCTAAGATGAATAAAATTCTAAAATTTTTGTGAATGCATTCCTAATAATGTAGGTACTCATTAAAATGTTAATTGTGTTTATTTAATGCCCCAATTATCTTAAAGAACACTTTCTAACTAAACATGTAACAGTAATTATCCCTTTGTAACGCAAATTAAGACGCAATTTATTGCAACACGTACATGTTTATTATTTCAGGCTCATTGTCTCAAGTCAAGGGTGGAACTGTAGATTTCGGTTTGAAAGATAAGATAATAATGTTGATTTATTGATCAACTATCCTCAAATCTTCGCGTACACCTAATACCGTATTCGCCATATTTAGAGACATGTGTATTATATATAATATAAGGTGAAATAATACGAACTGAAGCCGCCAACTGTTCCAACTCCCCGACCAGCGTAGCGCATCCACCAAGGCACGTCATCTTTCTGGGCATTGTCGCCGCCCGGCCGGGCCATAAGCATAGAAAGTTTGTCTGTTAACGACTGAAACAATTATTAACATCGTTATCAAGTTTCTCTCACGTTACTACAGCGAATTATTTAATATTTACGAATAAATCTTACCATTTTCGAAAAAATCAATTCACTGCCCTGTCACCTGTCAAGTCAACTAAGATATGAATTGTTTTCCTTGCTTGCTCTGGTTTTCTCGTATCTGGAATCGATATTTTGCTAGATTTAAAAACTGAATTTTAAAATCCAAAAATATATGGTTTGTTACTGCTTATTACCAATATTTATATAAATTATTAATTTATTTATTATTTCAAACAAAAACGATGATCTTATTATTAAAAATAGGCTCGTACTTAGTGATGTACCCCGGCTTTCGAAATATGATAAAAGCTGTTTAGCTATGACCGTTAGGATTTACAATAAAGTACCTAGACAATTCAAACTGTTAAATTTAAGTAGGTTTAAAAATAAAATGTATAGTTGGTTGAATACTCATAATTTTTATAGTATTAAGGAATATATGGATCTCAAACTCTGAACCTTTATAGTTATGATCTCAATTTATCAAGGTGTAAATTAAATTTGCATTATCCTAAGTGTTTTGTAAATAATGTTTAAGTGATTTATATAGGCAATTAATTTGAGTTAGTCAAAGTAAAATTTCTTCAATTAACCTAGATTGTATAATATGTAACAAATATTTGCATGCTATGTAATGGCTAAACATGCTGAACTTTAATAATTGTAACATCTTATTCCACCATGTATTAATGCAAATAAAGATTATTATTATTAAAAACTTGTAAATGAAAACAGGCTACATTCTTAACATTACGTTTTGTTTTCTCACGATCACATCCTTCCAATGTTTTATTTTAATTCTTACTTTTAGAATATACTGAACCTGCTAACTGATCAAATGATTTTCAACACATTGAAATACTGAAACTACCTATATTCAAATAATCTTATAAACAATAAAAAATATTTTTTTATATAATTAATTTCACAATCAAAATCTAAACATGAAAGATCTCTAATTTTCGAATCTGAAAACAAAACGTATTCTCATGTCGGTCGGCATCAGCGGTTTGCTGTTGTAATATTTGCATGAGTTTTTGCAGTTACGATTCTATTGTGATTTTGCATCGAAGTTTTTTGAAATTCATGTGGAAAGTAGAAGAGTAGAACAACTATGGCACCGACAACCATGCTTCCGAAGCTATCGGATGCCACTCAGACAATGTAAGTGACAATATTCTGAAACTGAATTTCGCTTATGATTTATCGCTTACGCAAATAAATATTAACAACTAAGTGTTTCCTGTGTTGTACAAGGTTAAATTTGGCGGTGGTATTAAGTGATTTTGCATTAATGTGCTAGAAAACTGCGTAACCTATTCCGTAAACATCGAACTCACAATGTCAAACATGCCTGATTAACACGAAGTCTATCAGTGCCTATTCGGCTTTCCCGATTCTTCTAGATGCACGGTCCAGTAGTAATCGATGACAAAATCTGTATGGAATTGTTTTATCTCCACTTACAACTTGTAAATGAGGGGGTAACTTTGAATTTCTGTGAATATGTTGCATTACATGGTAATTTCACTTGGGTAGTTCTAAATTTGCAGTTAGGCTGTTTGATGTGGTACCGTACTTGGTTATTAAGGAGTTATCTTTATATGAATATTAATGAAAGAACCTTTACAATATGAGTCATACTGCTATGCACTTGTTGGGTGCATTCCAAATCCAAAAATGGAGTTTTGCACCTTAGTAATTTGCCAAAATAATACCATGATCATTTATTTAGGTACTATTAGGTCCTACTCCTCGCTTGCTACTTAAATGTTGTATTTTTCTTTTCAAAATGAGACTCCTTCATAGCACACTTATTATAAGCATTACATCTTTAGACAATTATACTGTTAATGTCTTGTTTAATAGTCTTATCTTCACACAAAAATCTAGCTTTCATTATAAATAACAAGTCTTACAAAGATTCTTATTATAAATGAAAAAGAGAGGGTATCCACATTCATATATTTCTTTGTTTACCGATATCTGATTGTATGACAATAAGCCCACCCTCAATTTAAATGGGTCTCAACCACCACGAAGGAAACTAACACTAAAACAAAAATGATGGTAGAATAATAAGCATAAATGTATTATCCTCCAGGGTCTGTAAGCTTGTACATTCATTTCAGATCATTCTCGGACGGAGATGGAGTGTGCAGTGCCGAAGTGTTCTCCACCAATGTTATGGTGAATACCAATGCTGGGAACCATGACCATGGTAGCTCAAAGGTGAAGCTTAAGAACCTGGTGGACTACAACTGGGAGCCTAAGTTCTACTCTGGACAACTGCTGGCTATTCATACCAGCGGGAAGTATCTGGCTTATTGTATTAAAGGTATGATATTGTGTACCATAAAAGTTTATATTTCAAAATAGTAAAATGGATATGTAGATTGGTAAAAACCAGTTAAATTTGTCCAATGATTCTTGACTTATTCCACAAATGAAAGACATATAAACTCATGTATGGTGATTCTTATTTTATACATAGTGTACACATCTTGTCATCAAATTACTCATTTATTTCCTGCCAATATTAGGCAGTAACTATATTTCTAACCAATCAACAAATGCAATACCAGACTTTTTATTCAACGTTATTACACCAAGAAGACACAAGACCACCACACAAGACATACTGATGTTCATTCAACAAGGATGACTAAGTGCCTTCCCTCAGCACTTCTTGTCGAAAACTAAAGATCAAAACCTAAATCAAAATAATCTTAGCAATCGCTATTAGGCTTGAAAGAACATTTACAGCCTGTGCAACAAATTGTGTATTTGATATTTTTATATACAGGATGCTATAAAGGGTAACTTGAGCTGGTTGAATGGGCTAAGTAAGAGTTTATTTTTTGCTAGCTTTAATTTAAGCACAATTTTGATTCACAAATTTAGTGCTTACTACCTAAGGCTTACAATTGACAAAAGCCTAAGTTCTTTTTCTTTTTTGAATTATAAAATAAAGCAGTATAAAAGAACATAAAATACCATATATTATTATACATTTTTGTAAAAGATCTTTTGTCCATACCATTTTGCGATTCTACATTTAATACTTAATACTTTTTTGTCGATCAGCTCCGAATCCCGTAAACCCCGGAACATGGAGTGGAATGGTGCGTGTTGTGTACACGCCGGAGCCCGGCACTGACCGCCGCGCGCTCATCAAGGGTATGAAAGGAGAGGTGAGTTTAAAAAAATGTTTTTTTTAAACATATAAACTAGTGCTTGACCACATTCTCACCTGATAGTAAGCAGTGATGCAATTGTTGATAGTAGGGCACAGACACTAGTTTATTACGAGGATATTCACTGTGATCGCCTTGAAGACACCTAAATCATAACTGGATGGAAAGAATGTTGCAGACTAGCTATTACAATCCTTAGATGTGTGTAATGTAAACGACGAAGCTAAATTCTTAGACCGGATGATAGAAGTCTTATTAAGAGTATAAGGATGAATACCCCCTTATCGGGTTGTCCGATGGTAGAAAAGTGATGGGGGCAACTCACTGGTTTCTATTGAAAAGACAGCTCCACGCTAAAATCTTCTCCTGTGCTGTAAGTGCAGCCAATACAGATTAGATTTAAGATAATATGAAGAGTTATTCTTTATTCCTAAAATTCAGGACGCGATGCGTAATGCGTACTAGCCACTATACTTCGTCCAGTATTTAAAAATAATACGAGGTTCTGCAAATCTTAAAATCAGAATAGCAATGAAGCATGGTTTAACATCAGTTAACTCAGCACACGCAATTAATGGTTATCAGGTTTTTATAACCTGAAAATTAATAATACTTTCACCATTTCATATAGTAAACAACAATCATGCCATCAATAAGTAAATCTCTAATTAAAAAGATTTTTATAACAACCTAAAGTGGTGCTAAACCCCATACTGGTTTTGCGTCATAAAAATGATAAAAATAAATATGTTATTATATATGTTTTTAGGTACAAGACCTGGCGTTTGCCCACATCCAAAACCAGGTGGTACTGGCATGTATTGACGAACAGGGCAACTTTTATGTCCATGAGATTGAAGTAACTGACAGCGGCTTGAGGTGAGTTACAGATTATATTATTTAACTTTGTTACACTATTATAGGCATTAAATCTATAGAAATAAATACCAAAATTGGTTATTTAGTAGAACTCCCATGTCTCATCATCATGTTAAGGTCTAACTAGAAATAAAAGGCAAGTTATTTTAAAATGTTTCATTTATTAGGTTGTAGTAAGGAGGTAAGTCATAAAGGATAATATTTTTGTCATGAGACCTTAACTCACCTTACCAAAGAAATTTCAATATTGAAATGTATCCAATGTATTATATCCAAAGAATTAAAACAAGCATGTTTTAATTCTTTTATATATAATCATTTTCAATGTAGGATATTGTTCTATCAATCATAATATATTACACATTTTCTCTTCTATTCTAAAAAGTGATAAATCTGCCTTTTAGATGCACTCTACTAGCGGAGGTCCGCGAAGATACGGGTGCAGTGGGTACCTGCCACCGCGTGGTGTGGTGTCCCTACATCCCTGACGATGAAGACGAGGGTTCTGATGATGACGTGGCTCGACTGCTGCTTACTACCCATGACAATATCGGTATGCTGTTGTTTATGATCTAGCACCAATGAACCAAGTAGCTCGAAATGGTAAGCAATCGGTTTCGCCCATTCAGTCGCAACATCAGAGGATTTACAAATGCATGGTCGCCTTTTGAGAATCGGGCAGGGTTGGAGGCAGGATTGTAACCGCATCTAATGACCCTAATAGTCTTTGTTCGTACCAAAATATATCTTATTACTTTCATCCTATAAGTGCCCACTGCTGAACAAAAGTTTCTTCTCATTGACCATTAATCAGTATGTTGTTTAAGTTTTAAACTTTAATTAGAAATTATAAGTCCACGTTTCCTCACGAAGTTTTCCTTCACCATATGTCAGTGGTGTCTAAATAATCATAGATAGTACCTAGATATAACTCGGAAAAAGTCACATTGGTAAGAAGTGGATGCCTATCTTAACCTTCAAGGTTATCAAAACCTGCGCATATACCATTATTACACCTCTTATACAACCACCACAGACGGGGCCCTAAAGGGCTGATGTTCAGCCGGAGTTGCGTGGTAAGAGCAATGAGGCACCGCGACCCCGGCCCAGAGCAGAAGGAACAGGGGGGTTTTAGTCAGTCAGAGTCTGACACTCCCTCCCGCTCGGCCCAGGGCAGGAAAAGTCATTTGATGATTTTTCCCTCACAAAAAAAACACCTCTTATACAACACAGCTCGCCTAATACGGTAGTTTCCAACTAGTCTATATAAATAATGTTAAGGAAACCATGGAGTTTCTTGCTCGTTCTTCTCCATCGCAATCTACACTTTGGAATGAGCAAATAGCTTCACTAAGAGGACTGACCGACAGACTGACACTCTATATCTTCAAAATTTTGTTTGACATTCAAAGTTGCCTGTAAGGGTCTAATTGAAATAAATGATTTTTGACTTTAATTAAAAGGCAAATTCAAATTCCAAATTATGATGTCATGTAGCGTCAAATAGCTTACTTATTTGTTAAAAAACATCTAAAATAGTGTGTTTAAAATGGTGTGTCGTGTCGCGCAGCACGTATGTGGAACACGCGCGCGCTGTCGGGCAGCGTGGCGGCGTCAGCGCGCGTGGGGGGCGCGGGCGCGCTGTGCGCCGCCGAGCACGTGGCCTGCATCCTGGACGCCGCCTTCTCCCCCGACGGCAGCGCGCTCGCCACCGCCTCCGCCGACGGATACGTCATGTTCTTTCAGGTATACAACTCTTCCATCTAACGTTCCCTCTCAATAACATTGACCTCGTGTAGCCGGTATATGACAAACAATAGAAAATACATTGTGTCTCGCCTGGATCTGCGCACCGACATATCACGGGTTAATAGTAAAAGTCTCTGATCTGTCTGACCAAAAATTGATTAGAGACACGAAAGAGCGAGGGAATGCAAGCGATGCCCTTTAATAGTGGACTGATTTATTGGACATTAAAGTAACCAATTGTTTTTTAAGCAGTCGAATCAGATGATGGTAAGCAAACGTCGACGGCCTTGGACCAACTTCTTATGGTTAGGCTTATTTGAAGGTTTTTGATTGGTCCACGCACATCGACGTCGCCGCGATGAGCCATTGCTCATGAATAAGAGTCCCGTTGTGACTTGAGACTAGTAAAACTTTTCTCAGTTATTATATTAAAAGTAAGTAAAGTAAATAATTCTGACTTATAAAATAGTTTGTCTTTATAACCTAATAAAGACAAGCAAATGATACGTAGAGTATGTCTGCAGGTGTACATGCACGCAGACAGTAGCCCGCGCTGCCTGCATAAGTGGCAGCCCCACGGGGGGAAGCCACTCAGCTGTCTCTTCTTCTTGGACAACCACAAGAACTACAACACGGAGTGAGTACTTCTACTATTTACTTCCAACCCTACAAACTTTTTTAATTCATCAAACCCCAAGCGAACGCGTTTGCGCACGTATTGTATCTTGAAATACCAAAATTCAAAGGTTAATGCCATTCCCATAACCCTATTTTGTGCATAATTTTGATATCTGTTTGGGTACTACAATACTAAATCAAAATAATTGTTTAAAGAGGCACAATCTTACGAAATAAGATTGAAAATAAATAATTTGCAACACATGATTGGCACAATTATTTGCGTATGGATTCTTCCCAAGTGTTAAACTATATATTTCAATTTGAAAAGATATTTAGAGCTAGATTGTTGCTTGGACTTGTATTTTGTCCACCACTACCAAGATACTTTATAATACAGTACATACTTTACAGCGTCCAATTCTGGAAATTCGCGGTTACCGGTGCGGAGAACAATACGACAATTAAGATCTGGTCGTGCAAGTCCTGGACCTGTCTGCAGACAATCTCATTTACACCCGGCCTGGGCACTGAGGCCAGTCTAGGCCTGAAGGCTATGTTGGACACAAGTGCCAGCTACTTGCTTCTCTCAGATTTCAAGTCCCGAAGTCTATATGTGCTGCATATGGCCCGTGACCCTGAAGATACTATGGCCTACTGTAAGAGCATCTCGGAGTTCCTGTTGCCATACCCTGTGTTAAGCTTTTGCATTGTTGATGCTGGTGAGTTTTAACTTCTAAATATTTAGATAATATTAATATATAATCGTCGTATTTTCTCCTGGGATACTGTGCCCCTAATTCGCACTAACCACTTGATTTCTCTGCACCACCTCATGGTTGACTGTTAGAGAGTCCGCTATTTATTTTGTGATTTGAGAAAAAGAGGATTAATAAGTAATAACTTAAGTCGCTTTCGATAATAACTGAAGCAGCCATTTATAATCTCTTTCCAACTTATTGTGATATGATTGTCAGTATTTTAACGGCTAAACGTGAACCACCAAACCACCACCGAACACCAAACAAACCACCTACACGATTTATTAATTCAAAGCGATTTAAACTTAAAATTGTATAAAGGCAATCTTAACACTGCAAATAAATGACTATGAATATTTTACTAATCGACCCTTGTGTGATGCAAAGATCCGAAAACACAACACCTTATTTAAATCCAATATCAGATTTTTAAGACTACACATATATACAGCAGATTGTTTTCCAAGATGGGATAAAAAGTATTAAAAATAAATGTGATACTAATTAATAAAATATTTATATATTATTAAAATATATATGATACTAATTATACTATACGTTACACAGAGGAAGTGCAAACAAAATGCGAGCCAAGCTGTGAAGAGAACTTGTATCGTAATGGATCGAGCGGGGACGCGGACTCGCCGGTACATTACGAGCTACATCATGATGTAAGTCTACACCATTCTTTAGTAGATAGATGAATCCATTCTATGCAATTATTCATATTCATAGTTTCTCAATATTCTAACTTCAAATGAGTAGTGAGCAAATAGACTCAGTTGACAGTCCTTTGAAATGAAAATTATTGCTGTTATGTGGCCCTTGACCACTAGGTGTCTAACTTTATGAACTTTCAAGTTTTATATATAACTGTAACTGCTTAGGCTTTACATTGATTAGTAAATATCGTGAGACATATTAAATTTAATGTCTATTTCGCAAATGAGTAGTGAGCAAATAGACTCAGTTGACAGTCCTTTGAAATAAAAATTGCTTCTGCTATGTGGCCCATGACCACTAGGTCTAACTAAGAATTTTGAAACAGTTTTACAACTGTAACAGGCTTAGGCTTTACATTTTCAAATAGTAACTATTGTGAGACTAAAATTAATTGCAAATAACAACTTAAACATGTGAATTAATTAAGAATACTCTCACGCTGCTCGTGAATCAGTTCCTTTGTGATTAATTTTAATTAAAAATCATACTAAAAATGTTATTAATAATTCCTAAAACATTAAAAATGTTGCCAATGTAAGAAGTTTGAATGGACAGGAGAGAAAAGAAGAGAGAGGGAGTCGTTTAGTTGTGTACAGCTTGCACAATTTCAATGTGTATGGGGTTGCGTGGCAGGAGGAGGGCTCGGGCGGAGAGTGCAGCGCGGAGTGCCGGCGCGTCTGCGTGCGCCTGTATATCGTGCAGCCCAAGGGCCTGCAGGAGGGACGCCTCGTCTACACCCCACCGCGCCCCCCTCTTCATGCTGATCTTATGCACGGTAACTCACACATAACACTTTTAACCCTCTTAACTTAATGAACACGGTATCCATAGAGATAGTTTGGCTAAGGTAAGTAAGACTGCGGATAAAGCAGAAGGTGGATTTTAATTTTAATCAGTGTCTGACATTCCACATTTCCCCTGCAATAGAAGGTTAGTATGACTACATGTTTTCCGAGGTAAGGTGGTGAAAATCCCTGATATGCTAAACTGTAGGCTAAAAAATTTAACCTCTATGTTGAACCATATGTTACCAAAAAGCAACATCCGAGTGACTGCAAGAACAACACAAAATCATGCATATGCAGTGACGTGTTTACAGGGTATGATGACTGACAAATGCCATAAACTAACCTAACCTAACCCAAAATGAAAATAAGATACTACTCATTATTAGGTTTGAAATAATGGGCTTTACTTATGCCATTGAATAATTTATGCATTTTACCCAATCTAAAAATAAAATATTTCGATTTATCAACATAACAAAGGGCCTTAAGAAACATCACATATTTATTGTTTCTTTTTAAAATATCGTATTAAAAAAAACGAGTATATTCCATTTCACGCGAAAACACGGCCTCATTGCTCTAACATTTCTTTGTCTTATCCACATTTATTTGTTCTGGGTCTGGGTGTAATTTGTTTATGGATTCATTATAATTATGTTTCTCAACGCACCCACGACACAAGAGAAGGCTATTGAAGCGTACGGTTAAAAGTAATAATTTGTTATTTGAAGTATTTCATTCAAAATTAACATCCTTTCGCCACGAGATTTTGACATGTCTGATCTATCTGTGTTGGCGGAAAGGTGACACAAAATGAAATATTTTTTCAAAAATTATAGTCTGGTCACTATTATAGGCCACTTGTTTATGGGTTTCATTGTATACTCATTAGTTTTTTATACTACTGGTACAGAAATAATTGAAAAATAAACCTAAAATCAAATGACTTCAGTTTACAATGTAGTTTACATGGATTACATCTACTGCGATTACATCGACTGCGATCTTGAATATTCAATTTAAATATATTATATAAATCGAAAATCAAAGGATATTTACCTGAAAATTTTAACAATTATTCATACAAGTGAAGCACAAAGAACACTGTTCAACTTTCACAATGTTTCGTGCGCCATTGTTTCACAAAAATGGTCCGGTTGTGACCGTTTTTAATGGCAGTCAAAAATCGCAGGTACTGCAGGTAGAAACCGCATTATATAGGTGTAAAAATGAAATACACCTTTACCTTTGTGGTATTTTTTTTTGTAATTATTTGTTCATACAAAATAATGAAATCATTACATACAATTATATACTATAGCACATTAAATGTGTATACAACAATATACGGGGGGGAAGAAATATGTATATTTTTTTACCAGACTACGCCGAAGCGAAAAATAGAGTATTGATTTTGACATGTATGTATGTGGGCACGGATATTCAATAATGTGAACTTCGAACCAAGTTATCATTATTGGACTAATTAAGTGTCGTCGGAATACCCTTAATCATTAAATACTAAATGACGTCACGTTAAATGGACTACAGCGCCCTCTAAGCGATTTAAACAAAAAAAAGATTATAGAACTACGAAGGATGAATAAAAATCAGGCTTGGCTCAAATAGAAAATCTGAGCATCTCAGGTTTTTGCTAAGGATCTGTTATAAAATACCACGAACAATTTTAGAAAAAAAATGTTTAGTAGCAGGATTAACGTTCAGGCATACCAAATATAAAATGACTATAATTACTTCACACCAAGAAAACGCTTTACTAGCCCAGTTTCTTGCGACTTCATATTTACATCAAAAATAATTGAGTCAATAAGTTGCAATAAAGGGTAGGCGTCCCCATCGTTGGTCGATCATTTACCAAAAATACCAAATTACCACCAGTCGAGGTAGTGGACAAACGCCGACCCGATGCGAACAAAAAAATGGTCGAAAGGAAATAGAGTTCCTACTTTGAACAAAATGGCCGATGCGCACACGCATAGTGACTTGTAAATTATCTATCTCAGTCCCTCACTCATAAAGCTTGAATTTTAAACGTCTGAATACAAGCTGTAGTGATGCGCAAGAAGAATACTTACTAATTATCATATGTATATAAGAAAAAAACGAAAGACACAATACGTGCGCGAACGCCGGCGAATGCTTGGGGTTTGATGAATTAAACAGAAAAACTATTAGTTTCAGTACGGCCGACGTATCCTGGCGAGTCTTTAGTTAGCCGATTAGCTGCGCAGTACACAATTTTGTTCCTAAAAGATCCATTGCGCAGACAAACGGCTAACTTCAGACTCACCAAGATGCGTCGGCCGTACTGTAAAAATAATTCGAGCTGCTAAACAAATAGCAGCTTTTTAAATTTTACTATCCGAGTTGATGGTGTAGTATTTCGATCCACATTTTGACGACAAAAAAATACAAACATACCATTTGGGCGAAGCTCAGTTTTTTGTATTGTCCTTTCTGTGGACATTTTGAATATAGCTCCAAGCCAACGATAGTTTTGAAGTACGTAAGATTGCTATGGAGAAAAATATAATTTTTGATATTTAAGTTCAAAGATTGAATTTGACTACTTTCAAAAGACAGTGCTTGAAATCTATTTCTTAAATAAGTAGTGCTTGAAATCTGTAGTTTATTAATCGAATATTTATGCTTTTAAAATATAAAACAATAGTGCAGTATTCCAATGATAAAGAAAATCAGTTTAGAAATACTTTGAGTAATGTCACTTATGTAGGTTCTCTTTTACTTATTCCTCAATATTAAAATTTGGAATGTATGTAAAAGCAAATACCAAATTTTAGTGCTAAGGATATTTCTAGATTTTTATTAAACTAATAAGATGCGTGGGAGTTTTTATCTTGGAGGCTATCGATTTCGTATCTGTCAAAAAGTAACGTCCAATGTTGTGACACTCAGCATATTCAGTAGTCAACTTAAGACCAGATTACCACACTAGCGCCACCTGCTGCCCAAAAATGCAAACCTCCTTAAAATCAAGAGGGTCGTCGTTTTTAGGTGAAATAAAATTAAAGGCATTAAAATGATTTGAACAAAATGGGACACTTTACTTCATAGAGAGAAATTGCTAGGAAAAAACGAAATTTAGATTGTTTCTATCCTACTATATGAGTAATTTTTTCTAAAGATTGTAATAGAAACATTCTCAAATTTATGTATATTTTTAGTTATATTAAAAATTCGAAATAAATTATTTTAGTTTATAAAATTACCCGACGACGGGGAGAATTTTTTCAATTTGTTGCAATTTCGTTGTTGTGACCTTGTAACACTGACACTTTGGTCTATTCTCTATGCTCGGTTTGCACTGTGCATCTCTGTGTGCATCGTTGCATTGTTGTTTGTTTACGCGTCCCGTGCGAACCTCCCCGTGGTGTTTTGCGAAACGATTCTTTCTTTGTCCTTGAAGATAATTCCATATTTTTGTAAATATGGATTATGAACTGGAAGAGTGGGAGATGATGGAGGAATGGAGTTCAGGTAATTTCGTAATTATTTTAATGCACTTTTTATCCCGTGTTTATTTATAAATCTTTTATTTGTTTTTCACTTAATTTTTAGATTTTGTTGTTAAAGTAATTCGCCTATAACTTTTGGTATAATGATTATACATATTAGTGTAGTCTTCCGTAATAGTTTTACTTTAATTTTATTACTTAGATACGTGTTATATAAATCAGCTGTTGCTGAAAGGCAGCGCCACGGGTTGACAGCCATTTTGAGCTGTTATTTTTTTTATCACTGTTTGTATTTTTATAAGTCACGACCGAAATTACATTTCTTTCATTTGTTTATCATAAGGGGTTTTGGCGTAGTTTGATATTTTCATCTGTATATTAAAAATACCATACATCGGTACTACATAGTTAAATAGAGATCTGGCTGAAATTAATTCATCACCAACAGTAGAACAGCCTATATTCTACTATAGAATGAATCTACAGGCAGGTAGTTTAAAAGTATAGTTTAAAAGGTTCAGGTTTATTAGGAAGAACAGCTGCCCCATCTCTGTTAAAAGTCTCTTTGTCAAGACTCGGTAAGATATTAAGTCATACTAAGCTACTCCTGAAAAGCTGGTGAAACTCCCACGCAGTTACATCTACTCTTCAGCTACTATATTATTGTATCATCACTTCTATACTAATATTATAAATGCGAAAGTAACTCTGTCTGCCTGTCTGTCTGTCTTTTCTGCACGCCTAAACTACTGAGCCGATTTCTGTGATATTTAGTACAGACATAGTTTGGAACTCGCGAAAGGACATAGGATAGTTTTTATATCATAAATCTGCAAGATGTCACTTTTCCATGCAAACGGAGTTGCGGGCGAAAGCTAGTAGTGTTATATAGCTAAGCTAACTAGTCCACGACCAAGCCCGCATTACCAGGGTAAAGATTAAGATTGCTCACAGTGAGATAGAGGCAGAGGATTCGAGACCTATTTATGACATACCAACTAGTTTTCAAGATCGGAAAAGTACCCTAAATATCGTTCTAGACTATAACCTATCTCTGTCCTAAATTTCATTCTGATCCGTTCAGTAGTTTATACGTAAAAAGGGTTACAAACATCCGACAACTTTGCGTTTATTATATGGGAGACAAAAGAATACTCAAATCGTCCCCGTTCATACAGAATGAGTTCGTTCAAACAAAGTCATTAAATTAATTTGTATAGATAAAGTATTCAAATCTTACTAATTTAATAAATTCTAAAGTTACGATGTTTGTATGTTTGTTACTTAATCACGCCAAAACGACTGGACAGATCTGGATAAAATTGGACATAGGCATAGGATACACTCCAGAATAGGACATAGGCTATCAACATACCACGAAAAGCTAGTTGAATAATCGTTGTTGTTTCAGGATTATCTGAATTGGCTCTAGAGGACAGCTCCTCGGAGTCTGCGCCTGCGACCATCGCGTCTAGCATCTTGCAGCAGCAGAGCCAACAACTCAAGAACTTGCTCATGCGGTCTCAGGTAAATAAAATTACACCACAAACTACATATAATAAATACGGTAGTTTCCATCAACACCGAATTCAACTCTTTTATTGAATCACCAAAAACTACTCTATTAATTTCGTATGAAATCGTACCACATGACCTGTATTGTTATACGACAAAAAGAATATTTATAATTGAAAAAAATATTATTAAATGAATAAAATATGATTATTTATTGTATTGAACGGGACAATAATTTAATTTAGACCTAGTAAATTTTGTATAAGAACTCGTAAACCATATGAAATGAATACTTTACGACTTACTCCTGGAACTAACTGTTTGTGCCCCTTTTGTAGTTTTAAACTAGTCTATTCTCCTCGTCAAATTGCAAAAACATTTCAACAAAACCATATGCAAGTACTTTTTAATATGTCAAAAGTAGAGTCAGTCAGCGAATCTAGGCGCAGATCCAAAATGTAGATCTATAAAAAAAAGGAACCATCTCACTGTGGAAATAATCTGACAATAAAAAAAAACGAATAACAAAATTAGGCTCAGAGCAAAAAGAAATGATAGGTATGTCAATAAAAAACATATTATGATTTGTTTATCGTCGATTAATCACATTTTAATGATTTAATTTAAAAGTATATAAATTAATGGATGTCATTTTGAAGAAATGCAAATGTCATCGAAAACCTTTTGTCCACAGATAACACAGTAATTAGTATTTGTAATGCTTGTGGCAACATGCCAGTGATTATGACTTTAATGACCTCTTTTGTATATTATGTAACAGATAAATTTGAACAAAGAAAATAATTTGTATGTGCGACATAAGTTTATCCGAGATTTTTATTTATTTGGTATGTATATCGAGGCCGGGAAATAGACTCGGAAATTTAAAACGAATCACAAAGTAATTTTGATAAAAGGAAGGTAGTGTTTCATAATTATAGATGTATCGTTTTCAACATTAAAATAAAAAAGTAGTATATTTGCCTTCGTCGTTACCTTTGAAATATAAGTTAAATAATATTTTTCTTACAGACTCAGCCCGGTAGTCTGATCGGCACTCGTCCAGAGTCGCCGTCTTTGGCGCCGCAGCTGAATCTCATGACGCCAGACGCTTTCAGGTAAATTTATAGATTTAATATATGTTTTATACTTGTATGATAAAAAATTGTCTTCTACAAGAGTTGGCATTACCTCGTAACATATCAATGTTACAAACTTTAATATAAACATATGTCATATAATACCACATAGGCCGACTGTTCAGTAGACACGATGACTAGACTCGCAACGTGTTGCGGGTTGGATTCTCACACGGAATTACTCTTTGTGTGATTCACAAGCTATTTAATTATATATTTGTAAATGAGCCTACGAAACAGAAGAGTTACAGTCATAGTCTTATGTGTGCACCTCTCTACGTGTCTGTCGGTTGTCGAATGACACAACAGAAATTCCGCTCTCTATATATATATTTATTAACTAGCGACCCACCCAACTTCGCACGGGTGACATGCTGATACTTAATTTCTCCATATTTCAATGGATGTTAATATACGTATAAACCTTCGTCTTCAATCACTGACACTACAAAACCGTATCAAATTCCCTCGTGTAGTTTTAAAGATTTAAGCATACATGGATATAGGGGCAGAGAAAACGACTTTGTGCTTTCTCTGTCCCTATATGAGCATTTTGATTTGTTAATTTCCAATAGTACATATTTCTAAAATACAATTTGTTTGACTTGAACATTAACTTCCACCGTCTTGCCTTTATTGTAATACAATGTCATATTGTATAGCCATGAAGTTATCAACAAAATGGAAGTGCAAAATATACTTGCAACTAACTTCATTACCATTATTAAGTTAGTTGCAAGTATATTTGTTTGTTTGTTTGCTTGTCTAAAGTTTTATGTTCTTCTTTAGTTCGCCAGGCAAGCGCGAGGAAGATGACCCCCCACTGTCCGCTACACCAGATGTCAACAAGCCGCGCAGCTCCACTGGAGGTAATAAACATATAACATACATATGTATATACATATTACATAATTATCTAGGTAGACTGGAAAAAGTTCTTTTGGCATTTAATACGTTATTTTTTATAATAAATAATTTATTTCTTATAAAAAAATGACGTATTTTTTATCAGGTGTTATAACATTGTACTATTATGTGCAAAAATATTTAAATAAATAAATAGTTAATTCTTGTAATCATTATCAAGTGTTTCGACTCCTAACTCATAATTCAGCAAGTAAGTATAAGTAACAATATATTTTCTCCAGGTCCCTGTGAGGAGTCGTTAGTCGAGACAGCTGGAAAGCTGGCCTCGGCAGGCTCCAGCCCCAGTAGAGAGGTGCAGCAGATCATGTCGCACAACGACCATCCCTTCTTCAAGGTATCATACATACACATCATATCATCAGTCTATAAGTGCCCACTGTTCAGCAAAGGCCTCTTCTCACACAGAGAAGGTTTGAGCATTAACCGTCTGCTCGTTTGTCTCCTATTATACTATATCTATGCCACCACATTTTTCAAGGCAATCATTATAAATTATAAGTCCAGGTTTCCTTCCGATGATTTCCTGCATTGTATGTTCAATGGGCATAACAAGTACATATAACTTGGAAAAAGTCACATTGGTAATTGCCAGGTTTCGAAAAGGCTCATCCTCATACATGAGAAGCAGGCGTCTTAACCTTGGGTTACCACGACGTCCATTATACATACGTAGCAACTTATTTAACTGGTAAATAGTGATGCCCGAATTGGTGACTTGACTTAGTCAAATAAAAATAATCGCGATAATTTATATGACAAGACCTGTTTTCTGCGTTTATAGACATTTTTGTGACTTTAACTAAGGCGATCCATCACATGAGAATTGCTGCTTAAAGAACTGGTATGAATTATAGTCCATTGCTCTATGGAGAAATTACCAATCTGTTTAATTTTGTTAGATATAATGATTGGAAAAATATAACTTTATACAAACACTGGTACAAGAACAATAGTCCTTATTATGAACATATCTCGTAGAAAAGTTGGTTAACTGTGGTCCGTTACTAGGAGGAGGAGGTAGAAGAGCCGGAGGGAGTAGAGGGCGACGTAGCGAACGGGTCGGCGGAGCTGTACGGGGCGGAGGCGCTGTACGTGGCGGACGACGTGTTTGCGGCGCCCGAGCCTGCGCAGGCGCAGCCTGCCCCGCCACTGCCCGCGCTGCCCGCGCTACCCGCGTTACCCGCGTTACCCGCCTTGCCCGCCAAACTCGTGCACACCAGTACGTATCACCTAAATTTTAAATATTAATAAATGAATAAAAATACTTATTGATATTTACGTATAGCCCCACAATTTCTCTATTGCCATATTATAAAAAAACTTAAACGTTATGAGGATGTGAAATAGGTCAGAGATACAATACAGTAAAAATTCTTACGCAATCATTAAAATCTATCAATATAGGCTATTGCAATACGATATTGCATTTAAACTAACTGTCTATTTTGATTTATCGCTTCATAATGCATTTGAACACTATTTTATCTAAATCACTGTTCAAATTATGTTCAAGTAGCTTTTAAAAGTAGCCTATCTATATTCCTAATTTTAACCAAATCGGTCCTTCCGTATTTGCGTGAAAGAATATCAAATACACATCCATACATTCTCACAAACTTTCACATTTATTATATTAGTTAGTTAAATTCAATACAAATATTAACACAAAGTACATTTTGCAGACAGCGACACATGGCCGCAAATATCGGTGCCACAGATTTCGGAGGGCGGCGGGCGCAAGGCGTCCAGCGACAAGTCGGGCAGCCAGTCGGCCAACGCGTCGCTCAACCTGTCGGGCGACCGCAACGAAGAAGTTCGCTGTGCCGGACTCTCTCCCGCTGACAAAAGTCGCCTTGAAGCACTCGAGCATAAGCTTGACAAACTCACTGGTAATTACATCCTTATAAAATTGAATCGAAAAATGTGTTGGTAAGCGCGTAACTCAATAACGCCTAAACCAATTTTGCCAAGGTTCTTATGAAAAAACATATGAAAGAAGTAGAGGGGGGTAAAATTGGGGGCAAAGTGACCCTTTTGTTGTTTCTTGTATAACTTTTTTAGTTCAATGCCAATAGTAAAAAGTCAAATTATTTCAATAATAACAAATTGTTAACCACGTTAAAGTGATTGCGATCATAAATGTGGATTATATTAAAAGTTTAATTTGAGTTGTATAAATTATGCTTTGTACTTCCAAGTTTTTTTGTATATTTAGATATTTATTTTTGTTTCTATAGAAATGTTGACTGTCCAAACTCGTGAACTTCGTTCGTTGCGCGGCGCGGTGGTGTCCCCCCGCGATATAATCGATGAAGCTCTACATGCGCATACGCAACGTACCACGCAAGCCGTCGAGAGTGCGCTGTCTGACGGGTATGTACCTATAATTAGTTCTTTTTTAGCTATAGAGTTTTGGTAATTTGTATGTAAAAATATGATAATTTTATAGTATAAATAATGTTTTAAATTCATTTTGTGTTGTTTTCGACGTTTCGAAATGGGAATATAGTTATTTCTTATCTAGCTATTATTGTTATGGATAGAAAATTTAAATTATGTTTTGGTAATTTGTATGCCTTTTGATGTAAAATTATGGTGTTGTTTGGCTAATATTTGAAATTAATTTCGTTTCGTTTTTGATATTTCGATATGGGGTTTGAATTTGGCTAGTAGTCTAGATACAAAATTTTATTCTACATTAAGATTTGCTTTTGTATCGTGGGTGAGTTTACAAGCACAGAACAGAAAATTAAGTAGAAGTGCCCCTACACTCTTTCAAAAGGAAAACCAGTGTCGCCAAAATCACACATTCGCAAATCAAATTGTCCATTACACACATAAAAAAATACTATATAATTGGGTAAAAAGTTGAAACGCAACTTTAGCAAAATATCTTCTAAATGTTGTTAAAAATTGAGCCTTATAACAATGAGCGAAAGTTGTTATGATTTCACATGTCACAATCAATAAAGGCGTCTATCGTGTAAAAAACTTAAATAAAACAATTTACAAACGGGTTCAGCCACTCAATGCTAGATGGCGCTATAACAAATTAATTCTTTTCAAAACGCTAATTTCTTTGAAATAGATGTCATATTTGTATGCACTTGTACCAATAGACATTACTATTTTGCTACTCAGATAAGGCAGGGTATCCCAATATATCGATGTTTTTGTATTCGTGTGAGCAATATAATTTATCGACACGATACACCTACAAATGATCAGTAATGAAAAAGGTTCTAATAGAAAAAAAAAGAAAAATATTAACATATTTTTTGAAGATTTAATGTTTTTTGGAGATGGTCAAGTTATTATTAAAGATTTCGATATTAACATATAAAAGCACTACGCGCTTCTACAAGTTTTATTTCCTTTCCAACAAAAATAGAATCATTAAAATCGGTTCGTAAATAACGGAGACGAACGAACAAAAAAAACATGTTACGGTCGAATTGAGAGTCACTCTCCTTTTTGGAACTCTGATAAAAATCATGTACAACATTTTAAAATAAAAATGGTGATTAACCACCCGCACCTAGGTACCACAGACGGATGCACGCTGTGTGTGGTTAAAACGTTGATGTGTCTATGCAATCTTAGTTAAACATTTATGAATTATACACAAAAATTGTCAAAAACAATTTTCTGAACGATGATGATGAAAAATTATCGATATGAACCTATTTTACGAATATGTCGCATCCCTAAATGAGTAGCGTCGAAACTACTAGAATGTATTGTATATAACGTCACATATTGAACAAGTAGATTTAAACTTAATTGTAATGAAAATAAGGCCCTTTATAGTTTGCATTAAAGTAATGAAATGTGATATTTACATTAAAACCAAATATATTTAAAATTAACAAAGGTAAATACTCAAAGATGATACGATACACCACCACAAGACACATTTATTTTTCTGCTTACTTTTTTGCAGTTGAATACCGCACAACAAGGCATAATTTCTAATATATTTCGTGTTTCTTAGAGACAACCATGACAACCAATCATGACAACGGATCGAACGATTCTGACAACAAATGTGCTAAAATGTTGTATTTCTACACATCATGTTGGTTAGCGCGCGATGTCTGAGCGGCACTTCCACTGTATTTTCTATTCCGTGTTTACAAGTATACAATTTCACATACACCTTCTCGGAACAACAATTAGTGGATTACACAAAGAATTCTTTTTTGTTTCGTGTGGGAATTGAACCTGCAACACATTGCGCGGCATCTATTTGCTTAGCCACTACGCCAATCGTGTGGCAGTAGCTTTAGAAATGGACGCTTTAAGAATGGTAGTTAAGACATGGTATCGTTGGGCAGGTGGGAGCGCATAGCGCGCGTGGGCGAGGCGGCGTCGGCGCGCGCGGCGGCGGCGGCGGGCGTGGGCGCGGCGCGCGCGCTGGAGCCGCTGGCGGGCGCGCTGCAGGCCGAGCTCGCCTGCAAGCTCTCCGCCACCGACGCGCTGCTGCGGGACAACATCGAGAAGCTCGCCACCAGCAAGGTACCCGCCGACAACTTACACACGCATAGCGCTACAAACTACACTATATGACAAAAATATCAACACTAGCGTCATGTCCTTACTGTATCTTAGTTTACACACTTCAATTTTAATGCTGTTGCTAAGTCACTTTACACAACTTTTTTCACGTTGTGCGTATAGCATACGTGTATGTTCAAAAAAAATATCTGTGACATATTAAAAGAAGCAATACAAACTATAAGCAATAGCAACTCTTAAGCCCACTAGATAAACACAACCTCTACAAAACTAGGCATAACATAATTAACTATTTCAACAATTTATCAGCAATAAAATTATTTAACGAATTGTGTAAATGTCAAATTACAATTACTTACATACTCTTTGTAAAATTATGTATATATATTTCCCAATAAAACACAAATATTTATTTCGAACAGCAATTAAATCCAATTATACAATTTCACAGACAATAATGGAACGTCTAAGCACATCAATAGCCAAGTCTCTATCGGACATGGTTCGCGATTCGTTCCGCGACGCTCTCTTCGACAGCGTCATACCCGTCATGGAGAAGACTCACGCGCAAATATTCAAGCAGATCAACCAAGCTTTCCAGAATGGTACCAAAGAATGTAAGTAATCAATATCACACTTTTCTGAAAAAACAATCTAATGACTTCTTTCGCCCAAGGTGAGGACAGTGTCAGATTTTTACTGACTAAAGTCCTCGTACTCCTGCTCCTCCTCTAACAGGTCCTCGTCTTACAGGGACAACGGTATTTCCATTAAATATTTATAGAATACTAGCTTCTGTCGCGCGGTATCACTCGCTGCTCGGCTCCTACAAATCGTAGCGTGATATTTTACAGCGTAACCTAAAGCCTTCCTCAATATATAATGAACTAACAAACACAAAAATTATTCAATTCGAACCAGTAGTTCTAGAGATTAGGGCGTTCAAACAAACTCTCCATCTTTATAATATTAGTATAGATTAGATGATTAGCTTAGGTACCCGGTAGATTAATATACGGCGTACAACGGGAATAAAGAGTCCTGTTAGCTTTACATTTTATGAATTCTGAGACAAGATAAAACTGCGTATATTGGTAGTATAGTATGGTACAAGTGTACAATGTCCCCCCAGTCGCCGCCAACACGGAGGCTGCGGCCCGCGCGGCGGCGGAGCGCGGGGGCGCGGCGGCGGCCGCAGGGCTCCGCGCGGCGCTCGACCGACACACCGAGGCCCTCGCCGCCGCGCACTCCTCCAACCAGCATCTACATATTGCTGACATCATCCGAGAGACCACGCACAGGTAACATACATCCTCACTCTAAACTAACTAACTTTAATATCTACGAAGTATATATCATGTAAACAGATCACACAAAATCAGCCAATAGTGATTTTGATGGGTGATAGTACAGGAGTAAACAAGCGGGATATAACTGATGGTATCAACACCTTATTAAGACTAAACACAGGGAATATAATGTTATGTGCATTCCCATATGCTGACACTTTGTCAGAAAGTGAAAATAGTAGAATCCATCATCTGAACAATTTAATATTTTTTTTGACTTCTTGTCATAGTGACAAATTATCATTTTTTGACACTAACAAATTTGTTAGTGGTTTTAAGTTGACTCGGGATTATATGTATATTCCCAGGAAATGTAAATTATTAATTGCTAGTTTGCTAGCAAATAGTATTAATTTATTAATAAGTAGTTTTAGTGACAAAACTATATTGTTTAGACAATCTAACAATATAGAGATTAATTGTACATACAATAGTACGAAGGAGGCTCCAGATTTATTGACAAATGTGGATAGTACTCTGGATAATATTCTTTTAAACTGACTTCCACGACAACAGAAGATAACCAATTAAATTACTCAAAAACCACATTCATTGAAAAGGTTTCTTCTGGCAATAATATTAAGCATCAATTTGAATTAAAACATAAAACTAAATTAGATAACTTGTTGTCATTGTACAGTCAAAATATTCAGGGCTTATCATCAAAATTCTTAGAAATTGAATTGTTTTTAGAGAAATTCCAATATGATATTATTTGTTTAACTGAACATTGGTTAAAAGATTATCAAGTAGAAACAATTAACTTCAATAACTATTGTGTTGGCAGCAATTATAGCCGCCAAGCAATGATACATGGTGGTAGCCTGATTTTAGTAAAGAACTCAATAAAATATAAAGAAAGACAAGACATTGCCCTGCTGTCAATTGAACATACAATAGAGTTGTCCTGTGTTGAGCTGGATAGGCATATTGTAGTATGTGTTTATAGGCCTCCTAACATACAGAATCTAAATATTTTTCGCTCTGTAATGGAAGATGTACTGCGGAAAACATGTTCTAGTAGTAAATGTACAATAGTATGTGGCGATTTTAATGTTGATCTCTTAGAAAACAATTCTCATTGTACAAACTTGTTAAGTCTCTTTCAATCATTTGATTTGTCTAATGTTTTCCTTGAGCCCACCCGAGTAACATCCACCTCGGCAACTTGTATAGATAATATTTTCTGTAACTGTGATTATTTACAAAGTGAAATTGTAAATAGATTACCATCTGATCACAGTGGGCTCACAGTTAACTTTAATACTATAACAACTGTGCCAAAAAAGGAAATATTGTTTAGACAAATTACGTACAAAAAAATTTATTCATTAAATAATAAGCTAAAACATGAATTATGCAGCCAAGTACAAGACAATAATTGCCCGAGTGAGATATATGCTAATTTATTATCCCTTATAAAAATACAATTCGATAAACTATTTCCTTTAAAACGTAAAAATGTTCAGTGTAAATTTGTATTCTGTGACTGGGCTACACCAGGTATTCGTATAAGTAGAGACAGGTTATTTGAGCTATACGGCCTGAAACCATTTAATAGTAGCGAGGCTTTTCGCAGACATGTTTCCAAATATTCAAAAATATTTAAAATAGTATGTAAGCATGCTAAGTCGCTCCACATTAGTAATAAAATCAGGACCGCGGAAAACAAAATAAAAGCTACCTGGAATATAATTAATAAAGAAACAGGTAGAAATAAATCACAAAACACTGAATTTAATTTAAAAACCGAAAAGGGATATACTAGTTCAAATTCGTCAGTTGCCCAGGAATTCGAAAGATTCTTTAAAAATATTCCTCTTAAAACTACGGAAACGTTAAAATCATCTCCAGCACTTTCTGTCGAGCTTCTCAGGGGTAACGTCAAAGAATGTCCTTCTGACTTTAGCTTTCAATACACAACCCCCCAGGCAGTAATAAAGGCGTTCAATGAGATCAAAGTAAAGTCAACTGAAGATCTTTGGGGAATGTCTGTTCGAGTGTGCAGGTCGTTTATAGAGACAATTGCGCCGCACTTAACTTTCATTTTTAATAAAAGTGTAGATCAAGGGGTTTTCCCGGATTTAATGAAACATAGTAAAGTAGTTCCATTATTTAAATCAGGTGATAGTACAGAACCTAATAACTATAGGCCGGTCTCTATTTTGCCAGTGCTCAGTAAAGTGTTCGAAAGGTTGATGCTTACTCAAATGCTGCGTCACTTTAACACGAATTGTATTTTCCATGACCATCAATACGGGTTCACCAAAGGACGTTGCACTACGGACGCAGGAGTATCACTTATAAAACAAGTTCTCAACTCGTGGGAAAAAGCACAGGATGCCATCGGAATATTTTGCGACCTTTCAAAGGCATTCGACTGTGTTGAGCACGAGACGCTGTTACTGAAGCTAGAACACTACGGCATTCGGGGGGTATCCCTAGATTTATTGAAATCATACCTTCAAGAAAGAAAAATTAAAGTACAAGTCAACAAAGTTAACTCACTGGGTGCTAGCGTATCTATGGGCGTACCGCAGGGCTCAATATTAGGTCCTTTTCTATTTTTAGTTTATGTAAATGACCTGCCCCATATGTTCCAAAATGAACCGCATATGGTATTATTCGCTGATGACACTTCATTGATTTTTAAAATAAATAGACGAACAAACAAATATGACGAAGTTAATAATGCCTTAATGAAGGTTCAAAATTGGTTTACAATAAACAACTTATTACTAAATGATAAAAAGACTAAATGCATTAGATTTATTTTACCAAATGTTAAAAATAACGTATGTGATGATATATTATTAAATGATCAGAAACTAGAATTTGTAAAAGAGACTACTTTCCTGGGGATCACTGTAGATGAGAAGTTGCAATGGGGGCCCCACATCAGGTCTCTAGCAGGACGATTGAGCTCTGCAGCTTATGCTGTCTGGAAGATCCGTCAGCTAACCGATGTCGGCACGGCAAGACTAGTGTACTTTAGCTACTTTCACAGCATCATGTCGTATGGAATTCTGTTGTGGGGACAGGCATCTGACGTTGAGTCTATCTTTATCTTGCAAAAGCGTGCCGTCAGAGCTATATATAACTTAGGTCGTCGCGAATCTCTCAGAGAAAAGTTTAAAGAGATCAACATTCTGACCGTACCGAGTCAATTTATTTATGAAAACATTATGTATGTTAGGAAAAACCTACACTTATTTGTAAAGGTATCTGACAAACATGATTATCATACTAGACATAGGAATAGATTGAGTCAGCCTTTATTTAGATTGGCAAAAGTGCATAAGTCATTCCTGGGTTTCTGTGTTAAATGTTATAATAAAATCCCAGTTGAAATTCAAAATTTAAATGAAAGCAAATTTAAATTATGTATAAAGAAACATTTATGTAAACTAGCATACTACAAACTAAATGATTATATACAAGATAAAAATGCTTGGAGGCTAGCTGGTCCTACTCCACAGGATGTTTAGAGTATTATTTTTTTTTTTTAATTATTCAATTGTACACTATGTTGTTAATTGTTGATGAACTTCTAAGATTTTGTAAATGTGAGTGCCCTGTAACCTATTATAATTAAGTAAGACTTGTAGAATATAGGTACTTGTGTCGGCTGGGAGCTGTCATGCTCACTCAGAGGTCTCATTGGCGGTGGCACGGGCACTGGATCGTCCAATTCCCTATAATATGGTTGAGTTGGGCGGTGCTGGTGTACGTGTCATGTTCGTGAACGGGCGCCGCCTATTGGGACTGGTCATCTCCAGGCTGTCTAAATATGTTGTCCTTGAGGTTCACTTCTTTTTCGTACTTTTTGCCTGAACATTAGTGTTACATTGTTCTCACATATCAGAACCGACTAAATGATGTAACAAAGAAATGTATTGTAAAACTGATTGAAAAAGAGTAACCATGGAGTTTCTTGCTCGTTCTTCTCCATAGGAATCTACACTTTGGAACGAGCAAATAGCTTCACTAGAGGACAGACGGACAGACTGACACGCTTAATTTTAAAGCTCTTGTTATATATACTTTTTTGCCTTTTTTGCTTGCTTGACGTTCAAAAGTGCCTACTGTGGTCTAATTGAAATAAATGATTTTTGACTTTTTGACTATCTCTACAATGAAGACGAAACACGAAAGATTTGACGTATCTCGTTAATGAACTGATAATTAAAAACTATAATCATGTTTTGGGATTTGTCTTAAGCATTTGTTCAGCTTACTTATCATAGTTTAGTTATAAATGTTACTGGTATAAACTGTAACAATTTCCAAAGAATCTTAAATCGCATTTTATTTATAAATTATATAAAGGTGATATTTTAACATAGTTGCCATTCTTTCATGGTTTATCAAATCTGTAATCCTAATGAGTGTTCCACAGGGTTCAGTTCTTGGCCCATTTTTATTTATATACACTACAGCGCGAATGATAGGCCGCGTTTTTACAAGCAGCGTTGATTAATACTGCTTTGTTTTTCGTCAGCGTACTGGAAAAGGAGCTATGCTGGTGGAGGGAACAGGCCCGTGGCGTAGCCCTGGCCTCAAGGGCGCACTCCCCATCAACACCACATTCACACCATGCCCACGATCGCCAGGTACTTACACTTATGACGTACCTAACAGTTATTTTGTCTTCTTGTTATAATCTTTTATGTGAATCAAGTCCGTCTAGTTTCGAGTCGCATTTGACCCCAAATTACTATTTACACGCGCAGGCATATAATGTGTTATTTTTATATGCTTGAAAATACATATTTATATTGTTGTAGGATTAGCCCTTAATAAGATAAAAACAGTATCTTATTCATTCTTACAGAGACCACATCGTAATGTGACAAGAAATTGCGTACAGGAATCTTTGCCTTTTCTCCTACAAGTATCATAACCTCCTTTTTGTTTATAGTTTGTTTATTGTATCAAATAATATAACTCATACTAAATATTTTACAGTAATATCATTCGTTATTTGTGTAATTATAATGTTGAGTTTGTGCATTTTTTAAAACAACACAGCAATACATTGTTTTCATACATAGTTTGTTATGTTTCTGTACAATAACTTTTATGCCATATTACATTCATAATACTTTTGTAATGCCATTTGTACGTCATACGTCTCGGAGGGGCCTGATTAATTTCGACGCTCTTAATTAATAATTCAGATTGGATTTGAAAGTAGTTCAGTACACATTAGCTCTAAATTGCAACATAAATAACAAATAGCAATGTTGTACGCAGATGCAGGTAGCGCAGATCCAGTCGCTGATAGCGAGCGGGGACGTGAACGGCGCGTTCCAGCAGGCCCTGTCGGCGTCGGACCTGGCGCTGGTGGTGATGGCGTGCCGCGCCGCCGAGCCCGCGCAGGTCTTCGGCCCGCCCTGCAAGCTCAAGCAGCACGTACTGCTCTCCCTCGTACAGCAGCTCGCCGCAGACATGGCCAGGGACACCCCGCTCAAACACAGGTACGTTTATTTACTCTCTTTTTTAGGGCTGTTTGTTTCCTGCCTTTACTTCATGATCCCTCAGGTTCCTTCGATTTGACGCAATGTTTATTTTTTGGCTTCTTGTTGCATACTTAAATTAAATTTTAATATATGAATATAGCGTAAGTAGATAATATTTGGCTTCTTTTTGATTTGAAATACTTAAATTAATTTGCAATAAATTTGATCATACTGTTTGATTTCCCTAAGTAAAGTATTTGGATTCCTTTCTAGTTACTTTTATTTCCACATTTACTTTAACGTGATTTGTAAATATTGCAATTTAACTAAGAAATAAAAATCGCAAATAGTCACTTTCCGGTACTTAAAATTTTATGTTTCGGACACATGACTTAACAATTAACGTTTCCCTCGTCAGGTACCTGGAGGAAGCAGTGATGAACCTGGACACGTCGAACCCGGTGACGCGGGAGCACCTGCCGGCCGTGGTCCGCGAGCTGCAGAAGCAGCTGGTGTCGTTCCTGGCGGCCGCCCCCCACCACGCGCTGGCGCGACAGCTGCGCATGCTGCTCATGGCCACCGAGGCGCTCGTCAAGGTCGCCGCCTGACCGCGCCGACATGCGCCACACCATGCTCTCTGAAATATATCTAACACTACACTCTACGGACTCCCTGATGTGATACCTTACTACTGATTCCGTAAGTGAACGTCTACATGTAGGATTTATTTCACTGCGCATTAACTACACTTATTTCTCCCCGAGTTTTAAGTAATTCTTTAGTTGATTCTCTTATGTGTAAGACTAAAATGTTGTTAGCACAGCGTTTTGTGAACTCTATTAGTTATTATTTGTACGGGTTAATTGTACATCACTAACGTTAAAGAGAATTACTTAACACTCGACTCTTATTTAACTTCATTTTATGTTCAGATACACAATGTAATAGGGAAATAATATCAGAAATAACTTTTTTTACAAAGCAGTTTCGAACAATCTAGGTGACAAGGATTTTTCATTCTATTTCACACACATTTCAAATTATTTCATAGTAAATCAATTATCTCCTTTTACATTGTTATCAAAATAAATAATATCGGATTATTTAGTGATGTTACCAAATACCTCACTACAATATTATCTACATCTTGTCTTGAATCATCACTTTTAAGTCCGATTTATTCAAATGAGGTTTTATAAGCTTTATAACATCGATGGCGGCGGCCCATAGACAGCTATATTGTGATATTAAGGAGCTTGAATGTTCCACGAGAGTATTCAAGATTCCTACGTGTTTTTTTTTTTTATATTTGACTATTTGTAAAACGTGATTTTTTAAGTTCGGGAGCGTAATCTCCGGATGATGTTATTTATGGTTGCTGAGAATAATTCTGTTCTTAGACGTAAGTTAGTTGGGTTTCTGTGTAAAATGGGTGGTTTAGTTTGTGGAATGATGCGTGTGACTATGTTTTTAGTATTCAGTCTGATATTGTGTGGAAATATAACATATCTCGTATGAAAAGTGTGTCTTGCATTTTACTAGAGCATCTTTGTTAGTCCCTTTGAGGGTTAAAGGACGTGTTGCTATGTTATTTTATAAAAGCTGAGAATTTCAAGCAAGACTGGGTTCAGTTACATTCATTGTGAGATAATAAAAACTTTTATTATGAAAAAGTTTGGCCGCGACGCCAAACTTGCGATACGAACGCTACTTATTAACCATCTGTTCCGGTATGCAAGACACAAACACTGTGTCTGTATTCCGGGGTTGATAAGAATCCAATTGTTACTTGAACCTAGTCGATCTTTTCTCTTGTAACTCACGTTAGTAAAATGTTATTTTCAACAAAATTTGTATGTCGCAAGATAGCTACTATACAAAATAACACTGCCATGCTACCATAAAATAAAAAATGTATAGACACATGACCATCGAAATATATCGTCCTCTCTTCACAAATATTGTCCATTTTACACAAGGAAAATAACATTTGAATGCCAATCATAATTACATCTTACTGTACAACAAAGCTGTTATGTAGAACTTTGTACTATTCAAAGAACAATTAAAATCAAAGACTGCTGACATTTCACATATGGTATGAACACTCAATGGGATGGTTTTTACCACCAGAATTTAAAAGGAAACTGGGAAGATCAGTGTAAGTGACTTTCTACCAAGACTAGATTATTTTTGGTCATGAACACTAATTTAGTTGACCAGCAACTTGAAGTCTGTTTTTTTGTTTCTATTTATATGTATGTGGGGTAAACTCCCAGCATAAAAGCAGTGTGGTGCTAGTCCAATTTTTATTGAATTGACTGAATGTAAGGAGAAAACAATAGAATAGTAACTTGTTATTTCGTATCCAGATGAAGAAAGGCGTTTACAAATGAATATTATATGAACGATTTGTTTTTGTAAGCTAAACATTCTCTTTCGGTGCCACCTTGTACGTAATTTGTAGTAATACTTAAACAATGTGCTCGATATCTCACAAAATCGCAGCATTTTTCAGCTGTAAGTCTTGAAACTGCGTTAGACGGACACCATCACAATCGCGCTCCTCTGACCTTGACTTCATTATCGGCGATGATCGCTCACCATCAGGTGATCCGTCTGTTCATTTGTTTCCTCGACAAAATTGTGCTACAACAGACTTAGGTTCACGCATTTTCTATTCTTAACCGTGTGTAAGTCTTACTATTATTAATAGCCAAGAAAAGTTGTCAATAAACCACTAAACTACATGTAATTGCTACAGTTAATTAAACAAAGAAACAAGTTTACACTGTTATTCATTCACTAAATACGTAAAGGCTTAAAGGCTGAACCAATCACAAATATCTATCATTTTTATTCTGCAGTAATACCTTCTTTTTAACAAATTTGTTTACGCCTCTTTTCTGACCTATTATTAGAATTTTGTCTATGTTTTTCCAATAGATGTCGATCACTTGTTTAAAAGTAGATTTTGAGTATATATATAAGTGACCTTACCAAGGTCTTCAAATGAGAGTTATACATAATAATATTATATCGTTACTATAGAACGCTTTATTAAACATATATGATATATCAAATACGATTATTATAAAAAAATTGAAAAGAATAATAGTATTGAAAAAATGCATGTTACATAAATTTTAGTTTTGCAGATTATATTTTTTAATAACGAGTTGAATAATGAGAAATATAAATAAAAATTTAACGTTAACTGCTCTTAGATAGATTTAGAGAGATAATTAAATTTAACTTTTTTTTTAATAAATATAAAAACTCATTTATACCACCCGCCTACATTTGGCTTGGTTAGCGAGAGTACAAGCGGTGGGATGACAATTGTGATACTCCTAGTTTAAACTACTTCTTTTAACTATGACGATCTGCATGCAAGTAAAAAAACCAACGTAAAGTAATTTTCGCGTAAAACCTTAGTCTTGGTCTGAAACAGACATAATTTTTGACGTTAAGTTGTAAATGTCAAAATTTCCCGCCAATTTCCCAAAACATTTTATAATCTGTAAAACTAAACAATGATTGGAAAACCATTACAAAATAGTCTATGAATAATGAGTATTTAATGATTGTCATTGTCATGTAAGACTGCAGCAATATGTTGATTGCCTATAATTACTCAGTAATGTTATATACGTGTACAAATGCGGGAACCTCATTGTATAGATTAATTAAGTAGTAGGCATGTAGGCTATGAATAAGTACTGAGTTAGCCGGTAGACATTTGGTTTCATATGAACGACAATATGAACAAATTATAGAAAAAAAATCTAAAATGTTAATGAATGTCAATGAAACATGAGACCTCTTCTCATCCCTAACCTGCCAATGGTATATTCTGGCCTCTTGAAATTGTAGATTGTAGTCTGGGTTAAGTTAAGGTTTTTCAACTACATTTCTTGTGCCATTTCACCAGTTATATAGTTCCAAGCATCAAAGCAAAACAAGATTTTGAATATATTTGAATATCCATTAAAAGGGTGTTAAGTTGATGCCTAATTTTAAGCCTTAGTCGTATCCTGCTAAACAGGATCCTCCAACTTTAGGCCGTGAACAATAAGAATCGCAGATGTATTTGAGTTGGTTAGGGCTAGAAGGTTTAGACAAGCAAACTAGTGGAAATCTATATGTTATACATCCCCTTTAAGGAAATAAAGACGCGTTAAGGTACTATGAAACCATATGAATGTCTGAATTGCTATAGATTTAGACTATCAGGCTTTGAAACTGCCAATTACAACGTTTCGGAGATAAATGAAGAATTATCAAACTCGGTATATCTCCCACGAATTGTACTGGACTGTAAGATATTTATACTTAAACATATGCTAGTCTAGTTTTGTATGAGTGAAATGTTAAATGTATGGAGATTATCGCGTTGAGTATGTATGGTTAAATGTATGTGTGTGAGTCATGCATGATCTTGGGTCTAAGTCTATAGCATGCCGGCGATCAAATGCAGCCTTATCGCTTATTGTTAATACTATTTAATATCCGTAATGTGCGTAGACTTGTGTATGGACGGACTTGTCACACTCCCAACTAATCAAATGAAACTCAACCAAAATGGCGCTAAAAAGGAGTCCCGTTTGAGTATTTGGGAGTTTATTTCTCATAAAATGTTGAACGTTTTATGAGAAGTTGCGCGTTATATTTACATCTTTATAATGTTTTTGTCATGTCTTTCTTAATTTGTGTATATTACTTATTACAATCGGCTTTAGAGCTGTTTTCCCTGCTTATGTTTAGACTCTTGACTATATTATAATTGAGACTATATATCACATTGATGCAAGTGTAAATATTTAGTTTGTAGTTTTAATGTTCCGTACTTGATTATTGTGGTTGCCAGACCAATATAACTTGATTGCAATTAGCTATAATTATTATTTCTTTCTATCTAATTAACTAGGGTGGTATGACTCTTAACCAGATTTGGTTAATCGATACTCAATAAAACTTATATTAGGTACTGATTACTTTAAAATTTCTTGATTTCAATTCTTATTATGCTCTTGACTATTGTTTTTATTAGTGTTTATGTATTGCCTGCACGCGAGTGATGAGTCCCGTGTTGTTTTTTTTTTATATAAAATTATATTTGTCGACGCTTTAGGTAACCCTGACATTGATAGTATTACTCTAAGAAATACATTTTATCAATAAATGTGTATTTGATTTGTATGAACTGGTTTTATTTGTATTTTTATCCCGTTTCTTTAGTAAGTCTAAAATTATGCATAAAAGGAATACAAAAATGGCGGTCTTAACTCAATTCTTACGTGTCAATGACATTAAGAAGTTTTTAGATAACTTACGAATTAGCTATACATAATTATACTGTTCATCGTCCTTTACAGTATTAATATAACCTATTACAAAAATAAGGATCATCTTAGCACTACTTATAATATAAATAACACTGGTCAACACTGGTTTTGCCACACGAACTTTGATAGCTAATTATGTTTTATCAATATACCCTCATTATTAAATCACAGTTGCCATATGTCAATTAGCCTCCTATTTTTTGTGATACGGTAATACTCATTAACTAGTACTACGGCAGTAAATTAACAGAAACGCTTAAAAGTTAATCGTTATAAAAATATTTATCGTTGAATTTGAACACTTTTTTGGGATTTATTAACCCTGTGAGCATGTCAAGGAAGTGTATTAATGATCCTAACTGTTTTTGTTATGTCTACGGCGAACTTACATTCAAAAAACAACGACGAAATTTTACAAATCTTGTGATGGAGTGTTATCACCAATGTTTTGGTTTTTCTGTCGCCCATCAAGACAAATCCTGGGCCCCTCGTGTCTGTTGCATAACGTGTGTGAAAAATTTAACTGACTGGAAAAAAGGTGCACGACCTATGCCGTTTGCTGTACCCATGATATGGACTGAACAGCGAGATCACGTTTCAGATTGCTATTTTTGTCTCACTGACGTAAAAGGTATAAATTAAACACAGACACAGAAACACAGTTATTTACCCTAATTTATCTTCGGCTATAAGACCAGTCTCTCATTGTAAAAAATTGCCAGAACTAATACCAGTTGCAACTACGTCTGTTGAGAACGACAATTCACAACCGTCTACTTCAAGTGTAAGTGATGCAAAGATAAAAGAGGGTATTTTTGTTGGCCCTCAAATTAGGGAGTTAATAAAAGATTCAAGATTTGAAGAAAACTTAAGCGATTTAGAAAAATCAGCATGAAAGTCTTTTAAAAATGTTGTTGCAAATTTTTTGGGTAACCACAAGAGTGACAGCTACAGAGAGTTGGTTAGCGAGCTGTTATTGTCATATCAAGCATTAGGTTGCAACATGTCACTTAAGATCCATTTTTTAGACTCGCACCTGGATTTTTTTCCTGACAATTTAGGGGCTGTCAGTGACGAGCACGGCGAGAGGTTCCATCAGGATATTTCTGAAATGGAAAAGCGGTACCAGGGCAAATGGAGCCAAATATGTTAGCAGATTACTGCTGGACAATTAAAAGGGACCAACCAGAAGCTAAATATTCAAGAAAATCTTAGATTTTCTAAGTCATTTATAAAAAAATAAACTTTTGATTGACGAGATCCGTATTTTCTCTTAATATTTTAAATTACTCAATAGAATAAAATCTTTGTCTAGCAATTTTTTTTAACTGTTTATTTTTTATTACAATCACCAATTAAAGTAAAAAATATCAAAAAAGTCCATGTGGCACGACAAAGTTGAAATTTTGTTGACCAGTGTAATCTATACTTTGAGACCAGCTACTCAATAATTTAGATAAATGAAAAAAATATATAATGTACCGTCTAGTGAAATTTTGTTTCGATTCAATCAAACGAAACTACGACTAGGTACAAAAACAATTGGAAAATGAGGGTGTACTGAAAAAACTATCTGACAACAAAACCCTATATACCTACAATGGACTTACTATCAATCTTAATACACTGAAATCGGCTGTCTTGAGTGCCGCCATGGAACAAAACCAATTTCACAGTAATAATAACATTATCGAACAACCTGGTCGTAGGAGATGTCAGTCCTTAAACTCACTGACAAGTGAAGACAATGGCATAGATCTTACGATATATAAACCTGATGCCGTCCACCGAACTTACAGTGACTCCTCAGTGGAGCTGTGCATGCACTGTGACCATGGGCGTCTCATGGACAGCGGCATATCTGATCGCATGATCGACAACGATATGCTGGCTGTAATGGAGCAGAAAATAGATCGGTTGAGCGGTAAGTATTCATAAATATACTCCCTACTATATTATAATTGAAACGAGTATCAATCGATTCAGATCATTATGAAATGAAAAAGTTCAACCAATTCCCCCAGTGTTATAAAAATTATGTGAATTCATCTGTCCAGCGGTGCAATTGGGGAATAATAATAAAAATGTAGATATTGTTATTCCCAGTGATGGGCAGAGATAATAGTTTAAGTTTTCATTAAAAAAGTCTTTCCAATGTCGACCACGGGGGCTGAAGCAGTTGGCAGGCAGGTGATAACGAATATTGAATGAATTTTGTTTCAGTCTCCACCAATAAATTTAAATAGAATTATGAGCATAATTTTTCTGTATGTAATCATTACCTATGAAACATTGAAGTACTAATAATTTCGTGACGTAAAGTGCATAATTCTTATTAAGAAACTTTCATCAAACTACTGCACTTCATAGAATGCATAAGTAGACAATAGACACTAGCCACTTTTAGGTGTCATGCTTAGAATTTATTCTATTTGGGGACTATAATTTTTATCATCCATACCTTACTCAGCCCAATTTGAGTGCTAAAATCTCGTCTCGAACTACCAGATATGTTCCTGGAACAATGTCGGCTGCTGACCACGATGAAGGAAGAGATCCGTAGCTCTAAGCTGATGCTCGACAAGGCAGAACTCGCCCACAACCAAATATTTGTTGATATACTGAAGAAAGCTATCGAACAAAGGTGCCCCTCTTTTACTTTTAAGTATCTAGATTGCTTAAAATCCCTTGAGCGCCTTAGCCAAGCGCGATGAATGTGATGATTAATGCTCAATCCTTCTCCGTTTGAGAAGAAGCCTTGCTCAGCCATGGGCACTTATAGGCTGATGATGATGTAAAATAATTTGATCAGAAGTGTGCGTCGCCGACATTTTGGGGATTAGGGATTAGGACATTTTAGGATTGGGGAAGTATTGGGCCTCCGGTAACCTCACTGACACGGCGAAACACAACGCTGTGGTTGTTTCACCCTGGTTTTCTATGAGAACGCGGTATCACTCCGGGTGAGCCGACCAGTCCGTGATGTAGCTTGCCTCTCCCAGACTTGAAGCTAAAGCATGAATAGAGCTCTTACCGAACCGTCACGTCAGTCCACACGTGACTTTTTAGCACTCAAGTTCAATAAATAATAAATTTTCATTGGAATGAAAGTAACGGTCCGGTCCGGTCGTCTATTTGTACCTTTAATTATATTATCTAAGTACTTCTTTAACAATTAAGTTCTCCGTATCCTAAAGAGTTGGTGGAGTAAGCCTCGAAGAATGCAGCAAAGATGATGAGAGCACAGTAAACAGTCGCGCGAAGACCTTGCTGGACGCCATCGAAGCGAGGAAGGAGATGTCACTGGACAGCGAGATTAGGGCCAGCCTTATTAACTTTCTGCAGAGTGAGGTAATTACTTCGTACATAACTATTGCTATAGCAAATTTAAAAGCACAAAAAGATTGAAGATTTTTTTTTGTGAAATAGGTCGGCAAATGGGCAGACGGATTGCCGGATGGTAAGCAATCGGCTTTCAAGTGCGTTGTCGGCCTTTTGTGGATTCGGGTTTCAAGTATTTAATTATTGGGGAGGGATGGGTTGAAGGATCGAGTGCCTCACTAACACGGCGAAACATAACGCTGACATTGTTTAAAGCCAGTTTTCGGCAAAATGAACTTTCGGTACCTAAATCCCCACTGTATTCTGAGATCCCCAAATCCTTAACCAACAATCAACAAAAAGATGTCAAGGCGACGACGTCAATTGCTTGACATCAGATGATTTTTCTGCTCTATTGCCGTCCTATAAAAAATAGGGTAATGGCTGACACGCAGCTAAACAATGGTATTATAAACAGGCATGGATTACTGAGAAAACTGTCGTGAAGGTCGATTCCCTCTTTGCCATAAGGATAAGGATTAAGTTACTTCTTATAAACAACTTAAAATTGGCCTATCTTCTTCTAACAGGAGTTGAAAGACCAGATGGTGCGCGCCACTGCGGAGTCAGTCCGTGGTCTTATAGGGGGCTGCTTCAGCCGAGACATGTCCAAGCTATACCTACCCGTACTCGAGAGATCACACCGCCGCCTCATCGCACATATTCATATGATAGTGGAACAAGCGTTTATTGAACGTGAGTGGGTTTTAAATTTTCCATTTTCCAATTAACGCTAAACTGTTAACATTAAAAAATACAACGTGACAATTCCCTGGAGCCACCAGATTACCTCATGGTAGACAATTGACGCCGCGACGGACATTCGCAACACCAGAAGAGTAACGAGTGCGATACCTGCCTATTGGGGGTCATGGATTTGCGTAATAAGGATGGAGATAGTGCCTCCTCTCGCCTAAGGCCCAATGAGGACTTAGCCTCCGGTTAACTTAGCCTGTAACACGGCAGAACAACACTGTTTTTGCTTCACACTCCGTTTCTGCAAACTATTGTTTTACGTTCATTTATCTACAACAGGCGCCGGCGCCACCGATCCTTATCACAATCGCTCTATCGCAGTTTATGAACTGCTACACGACGCCAGTTATTTTACGAGTTTGTTAAATATAAAATGCGTTGGATATCGAGTGAATTTGTTGGTCCGCGTATGAATCATATTAAAAATTAACAATGAATTTTTTGCCATATCTATCAGCCACGAGGCACAAACCCAACAACATCCCAAATGTCGAGTCAGTAAGAACTTACGAAAAAATGTACAAACAAACTTCAGTACAGAACCTAATTAATTTTGTTATTATTTCCATGGCGTAGTGGAAGACAAGTCGTCATCTCTGTTCAAGTCAGTATACAAGACTTCCGGAGCGCTACGCCGTGCGCTGGAGCGCCACCAATGTCTGCTGGAAGCCACCTCAAATCCTGGACACAACCTGATCAACACACTGCAGTGCACCGTTGAGGAGTATGTACCTAATTTAACCTTTCAATCTTGGTAATTTAAGACACAATGGTAATACAATAGGTGCGCGACCAGATAACGTCAACCGTATCATTTACCCTCAAACAGTTAACAGACCACCACAGATTAGGCCCAATAGGCCGATGTTCTGCCGGAGTTGCAGGTAAATGCAATAAGCCTCAGCCAGGACTGGAGCACGAGAACGGGCGGGTTTTAGTCAATCAGAATATAACAATCACTCTCGCCTTACCCTGAGCGAGAGAAGGCATTTGATGATATACCCCTAAAAATTATCATCAATTATCAAAGTAGCTTTAGAATGTCAGTCTTAGAAAAAGAAACTAATTTTAACAGATTACTGCAAAAAGAGCTTAAGGATTGGCGCGTGAAAGTGACAGAGTTGTTGTCAAGCCATTTCCAGCCGGAGCCACTTGAGACTAACCTGTCTGATGGGTTTTCGGAGTCTGTGGATTTCGAGCCAATCACACCACCACAACCGGCTAGCCAAGACGTCTCTGTCGTCGATCAGTTGGTAAGAACATGACAGAGAGACACACACATATACTTCTTACACTGCTCATGACAACAAATTTTCCATTTTTACTTGACTGACTAATGCTAGATTGACTATTTAGCTAATATACTAAACCCCTCACAGAACATCAGTTTGAAGGCGTATTGCTGCCGGAGCGCCTTCGTCTAAGTTGCTAGAGTTTCGAATACCTTAACCATTACATTATAACACCCATTATTTGCAAGTGATGATTTGAAAACCTTAGTAGGTACCTACCCGAAAAAGTAAACATCACTTATTTTCACTAGAGAAAATTATGGTTATTATATAACTCGAAAACGTATACAATCCGCAGCTAAACAAGGCGCCCATCTCTCTCTCATATAAGAGGAATTTGTCACATTTTGTTACTTCTATAATAGATGCAAGCAGCTCTGGTAAATAAACTGATCGAAGATGGCGATGTGAACGGTTCATTCGAGCGAGCACTGTCTGCCGGTGACCTATCGCTGGTGATGGTGGCCTGCCGGGCCGTGGACCCTGGCCAGGTGTTCGCAGCTCCCTGCAGTCTGAAGCAGCATGTCCTAATGTCATTGGTGCAGCAGCTAGCTACAGATATGTTGCATGAAACTCAGCTCAAATGCAGGTAACAGTTATAATTTTTGACCGTTCGATCTAATGAATTCCATTTATAAAGGACAAGCCTATTTAGGTGGAGCACATTTCTACATAACGTAAGTATTTGTTTTTATATAGAATACAATTTGAAACATATGAGAATTCTAATAGTAATTTCTAAGGGCCCAATAATCCAACCTCAGTTAGGTACAGGGACTCGGCAAACAAGCAGAAACGAGCCCAATTTACTTATTTTGAGTATTTTTTGTTACAGATTCTTAGAGGATGCAATAATAAACTTGGATATGGCTAACCAGGACACGCGAACACATCTGCCCCTGGTGGTCGGGGAGGTTCAAAAGCATTTGTCGAAGTTCCTGGTCGCATACCCCAACCATATTGCTAGCAGAAGAATCACGATGATCGTAATGGCAGTTAACAATTTATTAAAATAAACAGCTATGTGCGATAAGAACTATCCATCGTTATATGTCTAAACGTAATTAAAGTACTAGGTAATTAAAATCCGCTTTAGATAGCTAGTGAGAGAGTACCTAATAATACTATGAGTTTGTCTGATGTAATCTAGACTTTTACCGTTTTTTGTGGAAAATTTTAATAAAGGGCAATTTTATTAGCTTCACGTAATCCGCCTTTGTTATCCCTTTAGGGAGTAAAAGGTGTGTTGTTATATGACAGGGAAACGTCTATTTCATTGGTCTTATTAAAACCAGGAGAGTTTTGAGTTAAAAGTAGGTATTGATGTTCGTAACTGCCCTAGTCAATGGGTCAAAACGTTTGGTCTAGCCTATTGCCATATAAAAAGTTTAAAAAAAATCTAGTAGCCTTAGGGATAGTTTCAAATTCTTTATTATTTTCATAATGTAGGTAAATACTACTTAAGTTCGTAGTAAAGTTTAGGTTTTTATGAGTTAAGTTGTACGAAGGTTGTATTTCTTTTACATAGTACATTTTGTATTTAACAAAAATAAATATCTTCAAGATACTTTTTGAGTTATTTTATCCCAAGCGCACGCATGTAATGCGCTCAACTGCCCAATAATAATAGCCATGAAATGGATATCACTCTGTCCATATTACAAAACGTGACAGAACATTGGTAGGTCGGATAATAAACACCCATGAAATCGGAGTATTCTATTACATGGCATTATTAAGCTATATTCAATGGATCATGGATCTTTTCATTCACCACCTTCCAAGGCCAACGGGCAGCATTCCCGATTCATAACGTCGTATAGGTATCCCGATTTTGTGCATAGCGGCATGGCCAATAAAGTCAATTTGCACTTTTAATCAGTACACAGTTACGCACACAAATTTTGTTTAAATAAAAATACTCTTATTTTAATTCATAGGCTGATATTTTGCCAATTATATTTAAAAAAATACACACTTTCCTAACCTCACATGTCTGATGGCAACACCAACTTCAGCATCAACATCAAATTATCAAAGTGTCATGTAATAGTCAAAATTGTGATATCTCTTCGGCTCCGTCAATGTTATTTTTGAAAATAAACAATATATAATGAAAATTTAATAATAATAAGACGAGGTTAAAATTGTAGTACAGTGCATTAAAATGGCTTTAAAATACTTGTTATGTGTTCTTTTGACTTACAACATGTCGTTGTATTGTGCCTCGGCGGCGGTGCATGGGCACAACATCGACAACCTGGAGCGGGAGACGGACGGGAGCTTTCGAGCGAGAGACTACGAGCACTACGGCGACTCCGGACACAACTCTGAATTCGACCACGAGGCTATTCTAGGTTGAATAACTTATTTTACTGCTTTTTTGTGACGTCGACCGGCCGCTAGCTCGTAAGATTTTGCAATAGCTCGCACAGTCGATAAGCAATGCGATAGCAGGAGGCGCGTGCCGCGATGTCGATTAAGAACGCTTTGTTTATATTGGTGCCGCTAGCTTTTGCTCTCACGATTTACTTCTCCATAGGAAGCGTGCGGGAGGCCGAGGAGTTCGACAAGCTTAGCCCCGATGAGTCGAAGCGCAGGCTTGGGCTACTGCTGCCCAAAATGGATTTGAATGGAGATGAACACATAGACCGGTTGGAACTTAAAAAATGGATCTTAAAATCATTCATGTGAGTTTTGTTTTCTTTTTCTTATTTTAAACTTGTAGAATGAACTTGTTTTGATGCACCTTCATAACAAGATGAATAAAACTTGTTGTCTTTAATTTAGAATCAGCATACTCAACCAATTAATGACAATATCGAAAAGAATGAAACCATATACATAAATGTAATGCCAAATAGAAATTCTATTTAAAATACTACAAATAGTATTTTCTTAGTTAATCAATGTGTTAATAAAATTCACCTCTAATGACCAGTGAAGTATACAAACTAAATAAAATTACTTGGATAATGAGTTACTAGTATTTTTTAATTAGCAGTTAATCTAAAGCATCTAAGTAATAATATTTTAATTACTACCCTTTTTCAATGCAAACCAATATTATAAGATGCAAAAGTAACCCTGTCTGTCTGTCTTTTCTTAACACCTAAACTACTGAACTGATTCCTATGAAATTTGGTACAGACATAGTTTGGAACTTGAGAAAGGACATAGGATAGTTTTTACACCAAAAATTTGCAGGAAGTCACTATTCCACTCGAATGGAGTTGCCAGCAAAAGCTAGTTTAAACATATAAAATTATATAAGGGGACAGAATATTCATCATACCATGCTTAAAATTTTTAAGTACAAACTTCTAATTGAGTGTTTTTCAAACAGTTGTTAGCCAATGAAAAGGAGTTTGATCAGCTGAATATACAAATCCATGGACATAATCTTTTTGTAGGCTGTCCATTATGTTACTATACAAATACTTTTAAATTAAAACAGATTGAATAAATATTAGTTAATAACTGGAAAACTATGTATATTGTAGATAATCTGGTAATACTTAAAAATTATCAATTTTGTTTCTTGAGATATTTCTCAAGAAACAAAATTGATAATTTTTTCACTTTTAGCATATAAGTTACACAGCTCCTTTTAAAAAAAAACATGTTGCCCTACCGTTTGATTTCTCCTATGTTATGTTGTATGTGTGTTAACAAACATTCAATATCACATACACATTGTGGTTGTTGTTGCTATGTTTCAAAACATGGAAGAATTTTGGAACATAATGTGCCTGCACATCTCTTTTTTTGGTATTGCCGCATTGTGTAATTGATATTAAAAGAAAAAAAAGTCAAAAATCATTTATTCCAATTAGACCTTCACAGGCACTTTTGAATGTCAAACAAAATTTTGAAGATATAGTGTCAGTTTGTCGGTCAGTCCTCTTAGTGAAGCTATTTGCTCGTTCCAAAGTGTAGATTGCGATGGAATCAAGAAAAAATCCGAGCAAGAAACTCCATGGTTACTCTTTTTAAATCAGTTTCACATACAGATTCCTTTTACAAACAGTTGGTTCCATTATGTAAGAACAGTGTAACACTAATATTTATTCAAATATAAAAATAAAGTAACCTTAAGGACAATAGACAGTCTGGAGCTGACCAGTCCCAACTGACGGCGCCCGTTCACGAACATTAATCTAGAGTAGTCAGTCGATCTCTAATCATTGTACTGAAAACATGTGCAGTATGCTAATTAAAATAACATTGTATAAGCGGCCATTAATTGAAGAGTGCCCAAATCTTCAAAATTGCAAAACCAACCACAATTGCCACCTTATCAAATTAAGTGACACGCTACAACATATTGTTAATGACAAGATATTAAAGTTCGTATTTGCAATTTAATAATAAAGATAAAGTAGCCAGACTATTTCTAGACTAGACTAGCAGATCACCGCCGCATTAAAACACTATCTCTACATAGTATAAAACACAACTCGCTTTCTCTGTACCTATATCGCTAAAATCGCTATGTATGCTTAAATTTTTAAACTACTCAACGCATTTTGCGCGATTTTTTATGTTTTATTTGTATAATATAATAATATACGTTGTTAAATAGTGGAGAAATTGATCATATGCATTGCACGTGTGTGAATCCGGGGCGGGACCTTAGTTTAGATAAATTTTGAACATAAGAACATTTCATCAACACGAAACATTCATACCATTTGATCCAATTTATTACTTAACTAACATCGTAACATACTCAAGATAAACTTTGAATGATCAATCACCTATAGGAATTTAGGACAAGTAAACATATACGAAAAATATAGTAGTCATACGTAGAGAATATAGGTAACCATTGTCTATCGCTTTAGCCTATTAAAAATTCAATGTTAACAATCAATATGTCGTTTTATATAAAAGTTGTCCAAAAATTGTATGTTAAAATGTTTACAAACAGGTATTTACCTAAATCGATTTTAACTAATTAATTAAATGTAAGGAATCTTTGCATGTATTTTATACGACCTCTTTAATAACATACCCTAGGCTAGAGAAGACATAGAAATGACTTCCCTCGCCTAGAGTATGGCGAATAGGAGTGTCAGACTCTTACTGACTAAAAACCCCTCAGTTGCTTCTTCTGCTCTATGCCGAAACTGCTGTAGTACCTTATTGCGCTTAGAGTTACCATATAACAGGCGTTTGCCGCATTTGACAGGCATACAGGCGTGTGGCCGGCATTGGTCTGAGACAGGCAATTTTTCCCAGTGGCAATATTAATTACTCACAAAAATCACAAGACTGTATCTTGTGAAGATGTTTACGTTTATGTATTAGAAAAGAAAGAACTACATATTATTTGACTGCACGATTGGTGCGGTGGCTGGGCAACTGGCTGCCGTGCAACGTGTCGCGGGTTCGAGTCCCGCACGGAACAACACTTTGTGTGATCCACAAATTGTTGTTTGTAAATGCACCCACAACACAGGAGAAAATCCTAAAGTGGGGCAACGTTATTAAAAAGAAACAAAACAAACAAAGAAACGAAACATTAAAAAAATAATGTCCTCTGACAAATATTAGTAATAAATATTATATTTTCAGTATTATCTGTTTGCTTCCCACATCGTTTTGCTTTAGACAGGCATTTTTCAGAAAATTCTGGCAGTTTCGATACCACTCTATTTAAATAATGGTAACCCTAATTGCGCTTGACCGGCGCAGCTCTGGCTAATCTACTAAATATTGTTTAAGTGTTTTTTCTGTGTGTTAGTGTAGTAATTGTTTCGTTTTTATCTATAGACACTAAAGTCACAATAGAGACTTAAATATGTGTATGCTTAAATGTACGCCAATATACTTATGTAGGTACATAGGGCCAGAGAAAGCGACTTTCGAAGCACAGCCAATTATAATAGTAATTTTTCTCTTTCATCAGCAATCTGTCTCGGGAAGAGGCCCAGGAGCGTTTGTTGGAAGCTGATGAGGACAGAGACGGTGCGGTGACGTGGAACGAGTACTTACATGATGCATTCGGAGTGGATTCTGAGGACGAAGTAGGTCCTGAGGATACCGGTGACTCTGGACTGGTATGTGATCATTATCATCATCAGACTATAAGTGCCCACTGCTTAGCAAAAGCCTCTTCTCACATGGAGAAGGTTTGAGCATTAATCACCACACTTGCTCAAGGCAGATTGGTTATTTCAAACTTCTTATTAGATATTACAAAGGCCAGGTTTCCTCACGATGTTTTTCTTTACTGTGTGTGGTCTTAATACAGTTAAATAGTAATATATATATCTTCAAACGACCAGGCTGGTTTTTTGTGGCGTTAAAGACCAGGCACATCACAAATGGTAAGCAATCCGGGCCGACCCACAACCAACTAACTATTAGGGCTTAAGGATTATAGGATTTTTGTCAGTGAAAATCATCAAATGACTTCTTCCGCCCAGAATAGAGCGGAAGAGAGTGTCAGACTCTTACTGACTAAAAAAACCCCCGTTTCTTCTCTTGCTCTGGACCGAGGTCGCGGTGCCTCATTGCGCTTGCCCCGCAACCCCGGCTGAAGGATTTGGGTTGCGAATTTGGGGATTTATGATACGTAACTGATAATGTGTTTGCTTTCAGATATTACAAGAGGAGAAAGCAATGTGGGCTGTGGCGGACGCGAACAGTGACGGCAAACTGGAGCTGAACGAATTCCAGGTGAGTTCTACTCTTAAGGAAAGATCGAAATTATAAAACTTTTTAATGAGTTTCAAAACTTTGCAAAATATATGCATACTTACATTCTATCACGTAGAAATAATTGGGACATTAATAAATGGCACGGTTAGGTCAGTGTGTGTCAACCGGCTGTCGCCTAACGTCTCATGGATTTGATTCTAACAACTCTGCGTTTTTTTTGTACAATTATGTGTTTTAAACGCATTGAAAAATCTAAAGGTGTCCTTTATTTAAATCAAAATAGGATTTTGTGTAATGTTCAGTTAAGCTTTTATTCCCTTCAAGCAAATTACACCGTGACAAAGTTATCAGTGTAATGACATAAACCAACTAAGAAATATTAATGTATTAATATATTAATGTATTAATATTTCATTATATTATGTAATGAAATGTCTTGAAATCGAGAACGGGTGGTCCGATTTGCCAAAATTTTGGTCATGAAAAATTCTAGAAAGTCCAAGGAAGGTTGAGAAGGTGTGATTATTTTTTAAGGCGGAACTAAGTTTCTCGTATCAGCTAGTGTTTAAAAATCAGCATTAATATTTTATCCAGGTATTTACGAACCCGGAGGAGCACAAAGAGATGCACCAGTTCCTCATCAACCAGACGCTGAGGGAGAAGGATCTGAACAAGGATGGCAGTATAGACTTCAACGAGTACATCGGAGAGAGAGGTATGCTTATGTAGTAAATACTTCTTTATTTATTTTCTGGATTTTACTTTTGTCAATCGAATGGTCAACAGAAAGTCTGCTATGTTTTTATAATAACTATCGTGAGACATACTAAATTAACTAAAATTCGCGGGTTACTCACGTGTAAATGTTAAGAAAAGCTCTACTAGTTTCGAACCACAGAGGGGTTCTTCCTCATGAGCAGCGTGCGCGGACGCGGCGACATCGCGAAGTCTGCTAATAATTAGAGTATCAAGGTATTATTAGTTTTTTTAGCACTTTTTTGAATATGAGTCCCGGCGTGACTTGAAACTAGTCGGGCTTCTTTTTTTATAATTTAAATAAGTTAGCCGTTTATTCCAATTCATTATTTTAATTAGGCGACTTTTTATTTCCTGGTACTAGATATTGTGAATTAATTACGTTAGCATTAACTTCCTCTTATGTAATATCTGACAATCTCTACAACATGTCAATGGCACGTTATCTCTGCCCGACAGTGGCATGCACTCATATGCGCTTAACAATTCAGAACTTTATAATCCAAATTCAACCTTAACTAGATTGAAATAAAATTTAAATTAGCTTGCTAATAAATATTTAACCCGTAAAATTACGAAATTCAACTTTAATTACAAGTAGATAAGTTTTATTTTTTATTGTGTTATATATTTTTTGTATCGCGACGCCCACGTTTGAGGTCGAATGTCATTATAAATAGCAGTGATTAAAATTTATAGAATGAACTAATCATTCGCATTATCATAATCACGTTAAACGAATAAAAACTGTTTTTGCATATTGGAGTAAATGATTTGACTTCAATCAAATCAGTTTTACTGAGATTTTTTAAATAATAATTTATCTATACTTTAAAAAAAAATACCAGTCCTGTCTATTAATCGAAGATATACAAGCAAAACGTAAAAGAGGCGCCAAGTAACTTTAAATTAAATGCATTTTAACTTATTTAAAGAAAATCTATTAACAATTAAAAAACTGAGACTCCAATACATAAGCAACGAACAAACAAAGTTTCAGAGATAATATTAATTAAAGATTTAAGACACAAATGTTTTTTCAACAAACTATTAACTTATGTACATATGCGTTGAACACAAAAGATTTCTTTTGTTCTTAATAAAACACAAAGAAACAAAGTACTTTGTATGAACCAAGTATTGTTCTTCGTTTTTTCTCTTTAACCTCTCGAACAATAAATTTTATTAAATAACTAACTTATATCACTTAATCAAACAGCTTCTGCCATCGTCTTCGCCCTCGTTACCCGTTATTTTATTCCAGAACATAATCTACCTCTGTGCCAATTTCCATCAAAATCTATTCAGTAACAAACATCCATCCGTCCTTCTTACAAACTTTCGCGTTAATTTGCATAACAGACATTATTAGTAATTGGGAATTGGGAACATTAATTATTAAAACATAATCATGCTATCCTTCATTGATTCGATGATGTACTTAATTTTGGATTATATCTAGCTAATTTCTTAAATAAAAGTATATTACATTATGATATTTTATGTAGCGATTTCATACAAAATTCATAGAAAAGTATCGTTTTTGATATTTCAATAAAAGTATTGAGTTTGTCTTCTTGGAAACTACCAGGTTGAGTAAAAATGTGTCCCACTCTCCTATGTAGTAAGTGCAGCATACCGTACAATTGCACATACAGCCCGCAATTAAAAAGTTACAAGGGCATTTTGAGCTTAGATTATCGAGGATTGAGGACGGTTCACCAATCTAGGTCTTGGACCTCCAGTAACTTAACTCACTCAGTGAAATAAATAAAAACGCGCTTTGCTTCACACCGGTTTTATTTTGGTATTACAGACACAGGTCAAGCTGGCCCCATTCGTGCCCAACCATGATTCTATAATTCATTAGTGAGTTCCACACAAATCTTCCATTTGCAAGAGGCAAATGAGGCAATACAGATATCTTGTAATACAGTTTGTAGGTCGTTAATTAATTTATCTGTGACACATTTTAAGCGCGTATGATATACTGACACACACATTCAAACTATTCCTCCAGTGATTTAGTCGCGCCAGTTGACACAGTTTTGATATGCATTCGCTAATTGTCCCGATTTAGAACTGACGTGACACAAAATCACTTCTTTTATAGCTTATCTACAAACTCTCAACCTTCAAGGCCTTAATAACCCTTAAAAGACCGGCAACGCACAATAATTCTTTTGGTGGTGGATGTTAATGGATGACACTGATTGCTTACCATCAGATGACCAGAAAGGTCGTCATCCGACACTTAACTATAAAATAAAATTTAATGTGTAGGTTAATGTAAATTTCATATTAGTTAAGGTACAGAGGTCACAATCTTAACTTTCGTAAGTCACCGTAACTGTTCGTAGACTGCTCGTTTAATTTCAAGCTGCAGGGATCCATGATCTAGCTACACCAATAATGTTATAAAAAAGTTTATGCACTAATCTCCACAACTTCTAGTCTAGTTGATTTGTGTCACTAGGCTATAAAACATAACGCTACGAAAAATAGATGGCACAGAGATAGATTGTCATTTAGGCTAGCACTGTGTTACTTTTTAACCTAGTACAGAAGCTAATATCATATAATAATGCATGATATCCTTGTAAACAGGTAACCAGCAGGATAAAGTGTGGCTGATATCAGAGAAGGACAAGTTCGACAACGACCTGGACCTGAACAAAGACGGTGTCATCGACCTCCAGGAGATACACACCTGGATCATACCCGATAATGAGTAAGTAATGTTTACCTTGATACGTGTACACAGTAAATATCGTGAGACTTACATTTTTTTTTTTTGTTAATAATGACTTGTTCACGTCATTGAACTGAAAAAAACTATTAGTTTCAAATTATGAGAGGCGTGCGCCTCATTCTCGTGAGTAAGTCGGTTTTTTCTATAAATTTACTTCTTTACAAATATCAGTTTTTCTCTAATTTTTTTCCCGGCCCGGATGGGGCGAAATTAAGTATCAGACATTTAATGACTAAAAACTATCCCTTCTTCTGTTCCGGACCGAGGCCGCGGCACATTATTGTGCTTGAATCCGCAACCCTGGCTGAACTATCTATGGTGGTCTGATCGCTCTTTGACACGCACGTTGAATGTGATTCGCGGTGCTGGTAGGGCGGCGAGCTACTCTTGCCCACCAGTAGGTGGCCAAAGCTGCGACCATATTAGTAATATAGGAATGCGACGACGCTCATAGAATGTCGACAACCAAAAATCAAAGACAACGACGTCACAAATTGCGTCATAGCGCTAGAAACGTTGTCGCGCGATTGATTGAACATGTACATGAACATCCCAAAGCGAAACTGTACGGGGCAGTAGCCCTGCCAGAGGTTATCACCTCACTTGGTCGAAGGATCCCCTTCTTTTCCGAACTACTATTCCCTGCGTTCTCTATATCCCCAATGACCACCTAACACATTAGTAGGTAGTATTACCAAAACTTACACCCGGTTTCTGAAAGGCTTGTCACCGCTAAAATTAACTAATCTCCTGTTTAATCTCTTGTCAAGTCATCTGATTGGTTGTTGATAATTCAGTCAATCAATCCGATGACTTGACAAGAGATTAAATTGATTTTAAAATTGATCGGCCTTTCGGAAACCAGGTATTAGTTTTCTACAATACTTATCAGCCCGATATTCGAGTACAATTGTAATTTGCAAATTTATATCCACTTCTAATCACGTCTGTTGCCATGTCCAATCGCTGCAACGATTCGATGAAATATTGTTGTAATGCACTTGTCCGTTCCCTTATCAGCAACAAGTATATTTAGAAAACATTATCACTATTTTTTTTTCTTTTAAAAAAAATTCCTCCTCTATAATTTTGTGTGAGTCATGCTTAGTATGAGAGAGCCAAGCTAAGTGTGGAAGAACTATGATTCGGCACTAGTGGGTCGGTTCGACTGGAGTGATATCACGACCTCACAGAAAACCAGCGCGAAACAACAATAGCGTTGTCATCTTTTTTAGCAATCGGCGCCGCTGATGGGCACTCCCCAACAAAGGTGGGGACTAGGGTTAAGGAGTTTTAGAGATTTGGGTAGGACAAGAAGGATTGGACTACCGGTAACTCACTCACTCAAACGGCGAAATAACGCTATGGTTGTTTCGTCGTAAAAAGATACTTATCACAACCAGACAATGTAACTAGCCTTCCATATCACGTCTACTGCTAGACAGGAAATTCATTGGGGAAGACCAATGATTATTTGTCAAGTTAGAAGTCATATATTAAAGCTCATTAATTCTCTCTCCAGTGAAATAGCAGATGAGGAAGTAGATCACCTGTTCGCGTCAGCTGATGATGACCACGACGACCTTCTGTCCTTCGAGGAGATCCTGCAGCATCACGATGTGTTCGTCGGCAGCGAGGCCACGGACTACGGCAGTGACCTGATGGGAGAACACTTCGATGACGAGCTCTGAAGACTTGGTCTACTCTTCCTGTATTTGAGCGTTCGTGTACGTTGAATATAGTGAACATTTTAGCTGCAATTACACTGTAAGACATACTGGTTCACGACTTATATGTGTTCTGTTTGTCAAGGTAACCTGACTAATTTCAAACGAGCGGTAGGTAATATTGTTAAGGACCCGACGCGCCTTGAAACTTGACGAGCTACCCCGACAAACAGTTCAGTGGCCGTGAAATATATTTAATTTAAAATTATAATCTAAAGGGAGTCAAATGCTTTTATTAAAAATGAACTATAACAGATAGCGGAATTGAGCGTAATTCAATTGGTTTTGCCATGCATGGTCGATTACTTTCATGGCGATAAAGCTGCCATCTCTTTGTTGAAACATATCATTAATCTACATCGACTTTTATATCGAAATGCCAATTAAATATTATATTATTCGATATATTGCATCGTACATCCCCTTGGAATACGCTTAAAACCGTTCCATTCTTACGTCAGTTAAATATTTACTATATTCAAAACATGATGCTTTAAGGATACGGCCAGTTCTCACCAAGCTCGCTTGGGTCTAGGTCTAAGGTTTTATAAAGGGATGCCTACCGACTGGGTAACGCGTCCAACTTATTTATTTACTAAGCAATAAGACTTCCCCATTCTTGAGGGGATGGGCGTAAACTATTCAATTGTATTTATATTAAAAAATTTAGAGATAAGTGTGCGATTACCCTTAAAGCCCTGTTCCATTAGGAGACCATGTTCGTGCCTCCAATAAAATCTAGAAAATAATCTAAACATAAAGCTTATTTATATGAACTTCGAGAAAGCTCGACTCGTTTCAAGTCTCGCCGGAATTCATATTAGTGAGCTTGAAATTAGACGAGCTTTACTAGAATAGTTCATTGCAATCAATTTAGTATTTCTCACGGAGCCCGGAGAAGTGGAAACTTCTGATATATTTCGTTCCGGGATCTACAACAGATATTTATGTCCTTGGACTCGCCGGACTTAGCAGTTTCAGTGTTTTCATGGTAATATCTACTGAAGATCCTGGCTTATAGAAGTTGCAACGGTTTCTGGAAGTCGTGGCTGGTTGAATACAATAATAATTGCCTCGTGTCGACTTGTTTCTCAACCAAATGTGTATGCTCTGTGGAGACTATAGTTGTACAAGTGGTCGTGCAACCATGGATACCCTAATGAAAAAGGGCACTTAAATTGTTACTAAATAATAAAAACTAATTATTTTTCTTCTTAACCCGTGAATCGGCTCTTTATATACTACTAACCATTTTGTTTAGTTTGACCATTAATTAATTTATCTGTTTCAAACTATCTCTTAATTTACAATTAATTGTGACACACTTAAGATCTAATAAATTAAATTATTTTTATTATTTATACACTATATTAATACTATGGCCTAATTTTAATGTTGTATTGTTCTCGAATCTTACGTCATACAAACTTAAAACACTGTCAGACAGAAAAAATATTCTTATATCGAGCTGTTACAATTTTATTGTATAAGACGATTATAAATGTGATTTTTAGATCTTCATATGTCTGCATTCAAATAAAAACGAGCGGCAATTTAAAAACTACTTAACTACAAACTAGATAAGGTTGATATTAGCCCAAAGCGTAATGTAAAATATGTAAAAATAGCCACATTTGTACAAAGTTATCAAATTATATGAAATAAATAAGCTTTTATATAATTTTGCACAAACCACGTAATATGTCATGTCATAGACCTAGTCATAAAATGTTAATATTATTTAAGATATTGATTTGCATTGATGGACATTGTTTGAAATATTGTAAGCTATGTTTCACCCGTGTCGTCCTGTGAAAGTATTCAGTTAATACAAACAAATGTTCTATTGTCAAAAAGTGCTTATTAAACGATGTTTATAATATTCTGTGTTTTATTTTTTCAGTACAAACTAATAAAATACCACCGAGGCTATGAGCGCCAACAGGATTAAAAAATATTGAAGTTAATAAGTATTGTATGTTCAACATTCTGTAGGTAATTATTGTTGTAAAGATATGTATGTCTGTAACAACTTTAGTCTGGAAAGGACCCGCTTATAAAACTCAAAGTCAAAATCATTTCAATTAGACCACAGTAGGCACTTTTGAACGTCAAGCAAAAAAGGAAAAAAGTATTTCAAGAGCTTTAAAATTAAGCATGTCAGTCTGTCTGTCTGTCCTCTAGTGAAGCTATTTGCTCGTTCCAAAGTGTAGATTCCTATGGGGAAGAATGAGCAAGAAACTCCATGGTTACTCTTTTTCAATCAGTTTTACAATACATTACTTTATTATATCATTTAGTCGGTTCTGATATGTGAGAACAGTGTAACACTAATGTTTAGGCAAAAAATACGAAAAAGAAGTGAACCTTAAGGACAACATATTTAGACCGCCTGGAGATGACCAGTCCCAATAGGTGGCGCCCGTTCACGAACATGACACGTACACCAGCACCGCCCAACTCAACCATATTATAGGGAATTGGGCGATCCAGTGCCCGTGCCACCGCCAATGAGACCTCTGAGTGAGCATGACAGCTCCCAGCTGATAAAAGTACCCATATTCTACATGTCTATAGAAATAGCTACCTATTGCTAGCCAATTCGTTCGAATTATTGGCTTCAAGCAGCAATTTAGATTTAACTGATCATCTCTCTTCGTCTATTCTAGGTATGATTGAGTAAAATATCATCAGGATGGATTACCTAATCATGAAATGAATAAATGGATAAGTTTTCCAATGGGATTTTCTAAGTGGTTCAAAAGATATACAGTGCCGTGTTCCTTCGGCGTAGTTCCTAGTCTCAAAGGAATTTAGTTATGAAAACTGTAGAATATAGATATAACAATTTCATCCAAATTAGCGCCGAGGTCCCGGGCTTGACCCGCATGGTCCTGATTCCCCCAAGATTTCGTTCGGGATAAAACTTTAGCAAGCCTCAAACAATCGTACTTTTCACTCAAATCGGTTCTGGGATTTTAAAAAGTATACCTATTATTATGATCCTACCACATGCTCTTCGTTCCCATGCGATAGCATAAAACATATTTCAAACAATCATTTTACACAAATAGGTCCAAAAAAACCTGGGTTTTAACCAAAAACCTGTTCTGGATTTCCGGGATCAAATATACTATCAATCGTTTCTGGGATGAATTTGAGTTCGGAATCTTGTCAAGGGCCATAATGGTGGCATTATCACCATTTATTCCATCCGTTTAAGAGAGGCTGGAGAAGACATACTTAGTTGTAGGTGGGCAATTTCTCGAGGGCCAAGGAAAAGTGCAATACGAGCAATCGGCTCATCATATATTCTGAGAGTGTAGTCTTTGGCAATACGAACGTTACGGCATGTTATCTAACATAGATAAATATATAATAATTATTTGTTTCATCAAATATAGTTTATTATGTTGACCTTGCGGAATGTTAGCCTTGAGCCTATAATACCTTATACTAGACACAAGTATAAGGTATTATAGGCATACACACATAAGACCAATTTTCCATGGTGTTTGCGAACGAGCTTCTCTCCCGCCTGCGAGATTCGTATAAAAGGTTTCCTGCGTTAAATTCACCGAAAGTGAAAACTTTTTCTTTTCTTTTCTTCTTTGATAATATCTTCTGGTTTTTTTACTTGTGGGATTCAAAACTATCATTAGTGGTGCAGGATTTTTTTTTGCGTTTTGCGGTATTAAGAGACAGTGGCAGGTTGGTCCCAAAAAAAAATGTTGTTATCTTTTACTTATCAATGTGTATCTTGTAATTTGATGTTTTTTAATTGATCTAAAATAAATAAACAACGAAGCCTCAGTAACTGAGAATAGATAAACCATGGATTTATCTATTATCAAAATTTTTTTTAAATAGGTATTAGTTTGTGTTGTTTCTTATGTTTCGAACATAGGAAATTCTTCAATTTTGACTTCCACAATTAATTTATTTCAATTTAATGTGAATCAGATCTATCAATTCCGCTCGAGAATACTGCAACATGCAAATTGAATTTTAAGACCAAGAAATCACGTTATTTTATACATAGTGAATGTATGAATTTCATGTGGTTCATATGAAACCGTAGCTTCCGAGATCCGCCACGTCACCTGGTAATGTATTGCTTGAATCTATGTAGTAGAGGATATGGGTATAAAATAAATGAAACGCCAAAAAGTCTTCCATTTACAATGTTTTTTTAATCAATATAATAATATTCTTAATAAATCCAAAATATTTACACAATACAAAAAACATACAATACGACCATGATCGGCGTCCGTTGCCAGCCGAGACGGCCAGTGATACTATTACTAACCAATTTCGTGGAACTGCTTGCAACAACTACTCTATTGCGTTTGTTTTAAAGTTCATTATTGATTGCCGCTCCCTTGCTTGAGTTAGGTCTACTAAGAAAACAAGATCTGGCTAGCTACTGAACTTATAGGTAGCTATAAGTATTGGTAGAAGGAAGCGGCGTTTTACAGGCTGTCATAATATTGCAACATTTCATGGTACGCCATGACACTATAAAGACACGTCCGCCATTGCAATGAGACAACGGCATACCACGAAACGGACAGCAAATTTATCTAAAAGCTTTGATTAATATACAACAGTTGATTGACTCAACAATTTCATAGAAAAATTTCTCCCAACTCTACGGTTTGGGCTGATTAACATTACTATACTGACGCGTCAGGACTTGTTCCGTCTTGCAGGTGTTACAGTACAGACCTACCCTCTTATACATAAATAATAAGTTTGCTAAGGAGTGATGCAAGCCCTCGAAGGAAAATAACGTGACATCGTAGTACAAGCGAAAACTGATGGCGTTCACAGCATACGTAACATTGCTGGTACATAGAGCGAGTACAGCGACATTACAAATCTGAAGTTGAATGGGTGTAAGGATGCTACAAGTACTTGCAATATATCGACAAATAGAGGTGCGACAGCTACATCAGAGAAAGGATCGATGTCAAGTGTACAGCCTAATGTTATCGACACAAACTCTCCGGTACTGCCCCACACTAAGTCCTCCCTGTATGGAATGCGATTATAAAAAAGGATTCGATATCAATGACCCACCGTTTACATTTTACTTATAAAATATAAATTATACAAGACAATATACATAATCATTAATAATATGTATAGAACAATTTATCCATCGAATAATTAGTGTTTTAAAAATAACTATATAAACTTCCTAACTGAGAAGTGGTAAATCTATTTCATTAAATAACTACGCCGTATTATATTATTTTGAACTAAAATAATGTATGGATGAATGTACCTAGACATTTCGACGATTGATTTTATTATTATTATTAGTACTATGAATGGATTCGTGTCTTGTTCCCAACCGATCCGTTTCATTGGGAATGTCCCGATCGATACATTGTTAAGGTGTACTTCGCCCGGGATTTAGTGAGGGTGTAAGGACAAAGGTTGAGTGAGTAGGAGACTGGCGGGGGAACGAAACTCCTCACTTATAAATGTTACTCTATATTTATATAAAATTACAATATTATACCAAGCGTAACTGTTTTCGTCATTTTAAAACATTTCCGATTTATAAAACTTAAACAGAAACTATATAATATATATTTAATATGTATATGATAAAAACAATTCACTAAACAGTGCAGATACAAATGATAACATTTATAAGTAAAAGAACATTGAGACATGTAGGGCGAGCTAGTGATGCGCTAGCGACAGGCGACGCGTTCCCAACTGACGAGATGTTACTTTGCGACACTGAGATAGCTTGGGAACGGCCTGCACGATTGTGAAAAGATGAATAAAATAATATAAAATGTATATGTAACGATACACAAATGTAAATGCACCTTCACCAATAATTTTGACAATAAACGCTTGTGCCTCAGTGGGGGACACAATGCTGGGGCGATGTAAATGATTTCTCCTGCCTCGGAGCACTGCACCCCCACTGAGGCACACTCCGCATTGTATTACAGAAACAACACAAGCTCAATTACTGCTAAACGAAGGAATCTCGTTAAGTAACCCTACTGCACAGTGCACTGCTAACTTGATACAAACGAAAGTAAATATAATCATTTTTTATTACATTTTCATTACAGTTACAAATAAGTTTTAAAACTAGTTATCATTTTTTTATAATTAGCTTGTTTTTTTATTAATATTATTATATAATGTTTTTAATGCGGCCCGCGTGGACGTACGACACACTGATTGTGAGGCGAGGCGAGCCAGGGAGGCGAGTCGAGTTTATATTTGATGAATATTGCAGAAGAGGTATAGATATACTAGATGTATGTAGCGGACTGCCTCGCGAGGCGTAGCTCGGTAACAATTAGCTAGTGAGGCGCATGTAACGGATGGGAAGCGAAATAGCTTCAGTACTAACAACGTCGACCCCGCGCATGCTGTGTGTGATACCTAAATCCATTTGTTTGATGAAAGCTGCCCCGAGTGTGTGTATGTCCGTGCGGGTCGGTGCGGGTACTGCAGCGGGGTCGCGGGCCGCGGGGGGCGCAGGCCGGGGCTCCACTGCCGGCAGCTGGATCGTTACCTACTACATACCTCAACCCGCGTGCACGCCCTCACCGTACGGCGGTTATTCTGCAACATTTGAAATGATAATTATAATACGCATCCAATGAGACACATGATTCAAAGAAAATACATAAGAAGCTAAAAAATAGAGTTGATCATGTAACACTCTTGTTTTTGAAAAGTAAAATGAAAAATAAATGACAACAAATCTCGAGATGATTAAATTATGCATAAAGTCAGTTCGGACATTAAACTAGGTTATTTATTTATTTATTTTATTTTTATTTAATAATTTTTGTACACACAGTAAGTTGGACAAGAAAAATAATACAACAATTAGGTACAAAGGCACAGCTTATTTCTTCAGAAATCTCTTCCAGCAGGCCCGTTATGGGAGAGTTAGAATAAAAAGTTGTGTAGACTGACTGACTTATTTGTATAAGACGTTTAAAATATGAGAACGCCATTTAATGTGACCAGTACATTACCATTCTTATATTTTTAGATGGCGCTTTGGTAGCGTTTGGTCTCTACTGAAGTTACTAACTAAGTTTGATTGTTGCAATAATAATTAATTTAAGTGAATATATTAATGGAGAATTTAGTAGGATTTATGGAATCCTAATAATATTATAAACGTGAAAGTTTGTGAGGATGTATGGATGTATGTTTGTTATTCTTAAACGCGAAAACGGTTGGACCGTTTTGGTTAAAATTTAGTATGTAGATAGGTGATGATACCTACCCTGGATTACATATAGGCGAAGTCGCTGGCGAAAGCTAGTAGATAGAATATAATACGTTTTATCCTATCGCATGGGTTTGGAAAGGCCATATGTGGTATGATCCTTGGACTCATATTATCCCCATTTCTCACGCGGTCGAAACCGCAGGATGAAGTTACATAGCAGCATGTTACAACTAGGTTTTAGGTCTAAGGCTTATTCCGGAGTGTATGCTACGCCTGTAACAAGTTTCATCCAGTTCCGACCAGCCGTTTTGGCGTGATTGAGTACCAAACATCGTAACTTTAGCATTTATAATATTACTAAGATGAAGAACGTATATATATGGTACATACCGTGGCGGTACCTATCACTTGCAGCAGGAGGAGGAGCGCGCCTGCTCGGCGTCCCCGAGGCGGCGCGCGCCCCCCGCGCCCGCGCTGCCCGCCCCCTCGCTCTTTGGTAACTTGTTCGCTGGAACATTCACACACACAAATTATACACCATTTATTTACTATTAGTCACACAGTAGAAAAGTTCACTTACATCCAGTAGTACACGAAAATATGAATAATACTGATGACAATTTATATACAAGACCTCAAAGTGACAGAATCCTTAAATACGTCAAAAATGCTAAAATCTTTTAGATTATTCTTTTTTCTGTCTGACTTTGGATAAAATATACTCAAATACAACATTTGTCAGTGGCGTCTCAATAATCATATAACTCGGAAAAGTCACATTGGTACTTGCCAAGTTTCGAACCCCTTATGTATGAGAAGCGGGCGCCTCGACCTCTAGGCCACCACGACGGTGATTACATACCGCCAGTCAATAAAACAATCGTATCACATAGCAAAAAATAAAACATAGAAAGAGGTATAAAAATAATACTACTCACCGATAGCTAGGAATATGTCGTTGACATTCATGGCGGTCTTGGCGCTGGTCTCCATGAAGAGTAGCCCGTTCTCGTCAGCGTAGGCCTGAGCCTCCTCGAACTCGACCATGCGCTTGGCGGCGAGGTCGCTCTTGTTGCCCGCCAGAGCTATCACTATGGAGGGGGATGCTTGCCGCTGTAGCTCCTTTACCCAGTTCTTGGCGCGCCCGAATGTGTCCTGGAACATAAATGGAGAGAGTTTTAGTTTACTATAACTACATACAAGGATTGTTGTTTCTTAGCAAAACATCCTGAAGTTTTATCTTTTCTTTATCTGTAAGTACTTGCTCAATAATCGCACATAATTTATACTGTTCAAACATTTTGTGCATATAGAAGACCGAGGGCCCCATACGTGGCTTGAAACTAGTCTAGTTACATCGAACAGTTACGTAAGTAACACAGCCGTACAACATACTGAATTCAATGTCCTGTCATAGCTATAATACAAAGAATGTGTGTATTATTTCTAGTCAATTATTGCTAACATCAGAGTTACGCATAAATTCCGAGATTATTTGATCTGTTCATGTAATTACTTTGTAAGGAATCGCCCTTACGAAGAACCTACTTTTTTATTTTACTTTGCCAAATGCATGTTATTAAAAAGATTAACTCTGGCCGCCATGGTTGGCTATAGCCGCAAATACTTAATTATGAAGTTTTCTGATCGGCTTTGCTCGACATTGGCGAAATAGCCCATTATTCGTTTGTGAAGATAGCCGACTATGGCGATCGAAAGGTTAACAGAGTGCTAAAACAATACCAATCAGCCACTTTTACAATGACAAGCTATACGTATGGAAATCGATAATAGAATTAAATATAAATATTGATTTCCGGCTGACCGTACATTATGAATGACAGAGTCGTGTGCGAACTTGCGTGGGAAGGTATTTACCATCTACGTAAGTGAGCAACGGATGACACTATACATAAGATTATAAACAGAACACGTCTTCATTAAATAAGCCGTACAACTTAATATATTTATTTAAAGGTTACAAAGAGAAGATACATTTCCTTTTCACTGGAGAATAACATGGAACAATAAATATTTCTTCCTATATAGGTGGTCTGAATGACAGACTCTTACTGACTAAAACCACCACGTTACTTCTTCTGAAACCCCGGAAGAAGACACAGTAACGTTTGAATCTACTTTTAACATAAAAATAAATAATAGACCTCAAACTTTCCCACCTATTTAATTAGTAATCACCGTAGTATTTAGTTAGACAGAAGTGCCTTCTGACAAATCCAGTCTCAGTGGTTTTCAGAGGGGGTCGCGGGGTAAGCGCAATAAGGCTCGCGGCCTCGGCCTAGAGCAGGAGAAGGAATGGGAGGAGGGGGAGGTTAGTCAGTAAGAGTCTGACACTTCAAGGGTAAACCATTGGATGATTTTTCTCTTCCAAAAAAAATTCTCAGCGATTTTACTAAGAAATTACCTTAGGGGTTATTATTGTATATCGTAGGTTTATGTTATGCTGTTACTTTTTCTATGATTTATGTTAGGGATTATTATACATGTCATGTTCCCCAGACCAGGCTCCATTAGGTATCCACACAGCTATTGCTTAATCACTGAACCAGGAGTAAACCACGACCAGTCAAAAGTGAAGTAGCATATATCTGCCTATTGTTTGTGAGCGAAATGATATTGTTATGTTTAATGCTTGTCTGTGTGTACAGTAAATATTTATAGTTTGAATGTGCGACACTTGTCTCTGCCGGGCGGTCGGGACGCCCTTGAACTCGCGAAGACTTACTCGTTAATGCCATTTGCAGAGTTGTATTGACCGTACAACCAAAATACTGAAATATCTGTCTATATATGAACTACGCGAAATTGAATGTATTATCTTCATATACATATGTATATAAAAAACTAGTTTCCACCAACGACATCGCCCACTTGGTATGTTGATAAAAAGTAGCCTATGTCCTATTCCGGAGCGTATCCTATGCCTGTGCCAAATTTCGTCTAGATCCGTCCAGCCGTTTTGGCGTGATTGAGTAACAAACATCCAAACATCGTAACTTTCGCATTTATAATATAAGTAAGAGGTAAGATGAATCGTAGTTCGTTAGTTGTACATTAATTAATGTCAATTAAAATACCAGTATCCGCTCTGCATATCCAGCATATACTATAAGAATGAAGGTGTAATAATTGTCGTATACAATGAGTCAATGCCCATGACACGACAAATAACTACGGGTAATCCCGACACCGAACGATTTCATATGTATTATAATATTGTACATTATGTCCTATAGATAAAACATAGATAGAGTTTGATACAATATCTATACGCCTGCCGATTGTTATTCGTTGAACAGTATTACGGAAAATGTTTTAATACCATAACTAGCTACTCTTCACCCGCTGCTCGGCTTCATTTAATCGTAGCATGATGTTTTATAGCCTGTAGCACTCAGGAACATTGCAGCTATCTATCAGTGAAAGAATTTTGGCAATCCGACCAGCGGTTCCAAAGATTACCCCCTACATACAAACTTACAAATTTAAAAATTTTACCCCTTTACAATACTAATATTGTAAATGGGTAAAATTCAAAGTAAAATAAAAAGGTGGGAAAGTTTCCTTTGAAGGTTTTTTTTGTGAGGGGAAAATCAACAAATGATTCCTCTCACTAACGGGAAGGCGAGAGGCAGTCATTTCACAGGAGTGTCAGACTCTTACTGACTAAAACTCCCCCATCCTGACTCCTGCTCTAGGCCGAGGGTACCTAATTGCGTTTGACCCACAACCCTGATGGTCTATTGGCTGTTTAAGGTTTTTCTCTGAAGGTACAGCCGCGTTCTGGACTCGGAATTTTATTCGTAGTTATAAGTACAATAAGACACAGTTATTTGTGTAACATTTTTATAAATAATATGAACGTTTGTTACTCTTTCACACACTTAAAAAACTAACTGAGTTTCCTGCTCGTTCTTCTCCATAGGAATCTGCACTTTGGAACGAGCAAATAGCTTCACTGGAGGCACGCTTAAAGTAAGCTCTAGAAATACTTTTTTCCTTTTTTTGCTTGGCGTTCAAAAGTGCCTACTGAGGTCTAATAAAAAAAATGATTTTGACTTTGACTTGACTGAATACATGTTTAATAGAATTGGCATAGATTATAGTCCTCTTTTCACAAGAGTACAGATGCTAGCGAAGATGCCTAGATGCCATTGACCTAAAGAAATATGATTACAACGTAAATGTAATAGAAACTTTGTTTATCGAGATATTTCTTAAACTATCCGACCATGGGTGACATGTTATACAATATTATGACTAATGCAGAACTATATAACATTGACAATTGTATAATCGGCCAGCGATTAAAGATAAACTTTGGAACATTCGCGGCTTCACGTATCATGGAGACTATTGTATTGACGTATCATTCCGTTTATAGTGACAGTCGTTTACCACAGTCTGGAGGTACAAATAAAAATGAATCCACAAAATATCAAAATAATACATATATTAGATTTTCAGATTTGCTACACTGCTGAGCAAAAACCACTTCTCACATAAAAGAAGGTTTGAGCATTAATCACCACACTCGCAAGACGGATTGGCGATTTTAAACTTGGTACTTGCCAGTTCGGAACACGCACCTTCATACATGAGAAGCGGGCGCCTTATCATCCGGGCCGCCGCGTCGTTACAACAAAATGAAAAGGTTCTTCATTTTGATGAGTGATGGTGAGTCTGTACGCACTTAACTACAAAACGACTGCACCGAATCAGATAATTTTCGTCGTGTTCGTTTTACAAAGATCAAGAAAAATTATACATGTTAGTGTTCTTGACTTTTCTACAGGGCCTGTCGTTTGTTGTCGATGGAGAGATTAACGATAACTTTTGATGATAGCGATTATCATCACAGATGGCACTGATGATTTTATCGATCTATTAAAGTAAGGTGCAATAAACAAAGTTGCATTATGCGTTTCATTGCTTGTTTATTATTATAGCAAGTATTACAAAGAATTTGGGAGTTGCGTATTTATAGTTTGTTTATACATTCAGACCGCCATCTCGCTTGATAGTGGCGAATGGTTTAATTATTTTTAATTTTGTATAATATTAAAATTTGCTATGAACTAGCGGTCTCAAAAACCTAAGATATTTTGGACAGAGTATTTTTTGGAGTGTGTACCTGATATCTCTTATATGTAGTAAATCTACCGACAGATTAAAGAGGATAACGACAGAAAATGGCCCCAAAGACCTTTCAGTCGGCAGTAAAAGTACTAGGCTGTCATGAAAGCAGGGAGACAGACAAGTGAGGCCCAACGAGGGATCGCGCTGTATAATTGTAACGTTATCTGATAACTAGCTCAATCTCAACGATAGCACTGCATTTCTTCAACTGTGCTGTATATTTGCTCTCCGATTGTGATGTTTTTTTTTTATATTGAAAATAACATTAAAAGTTTAATGCACGTTGATCAGGTTTTTCGTTTTATGAACTTTTTTTATTTACGAGCCTAACTGAAGGGTTTAAATATATTACTTATTGTTTTCTTTTTATAAATACGCAAGTTTCATTTTTGCTCTGTGACTTATTAGTACATGGAAATTGGCAGATACCACGACATGTGAATTTTGAAATGTTTATTTTCTTAATAACCAGTAAACGAGTTTGGACGCCATATTGATTCTTATGACTTAGTATAAGCTCAATGGGCTAGATTTCTGTTGGAATGACAAAAATCAACCTACTAATGTTTCTCACGCAACTATTATAAGTGGCTTAAGTGGCCTGCTAGGAAAAACAATAGCTGTTCTGCTACGTCTTCAGACAACACATCCTAAACCACAACAATAAATTCCACCTCCCATCTCCACCTCTACTATTAGATAAATAAACTTATGTTTATTTCATCAACCCCACCTAATCAGAACGGGTCCACTTAAACTGGTGTGGTTCTTTCCTCAAAAGACCACTACAGGAGGAACTTGCACGGTTCTCTCACATTATGTTATATTACATTGTCTGGACTTGAAAAAAGACTGATCTCTGAGTTTGTTTCGGCATTTCTTCTCAGAGTAGTCGGATAGGAAATGCCGGCTTCATCTAGTTTTTCACATATAATTTGACATGTAAAAGTGCCGTTTTATGGCCTATTTGCAAAAATAAATTCATTGTTTCATTATTAATCTCAAACTCCAACCTCAATTTTCTTTTACAAGTGTACAAAATTGGTCTCAATTACTAAACGTATGTATCACTTACAACTACTTACAAGTTACGGAGAAGGTGAAAAAAATAAAAACCAGTTCGCACATTTACAAAGTACAACACCCTCAAGCAAGACAAAGGTATCCGCCCACTAGTGTGTAGCATTTAATGCGATCGTTTGCTTGTATGTGATATTATATTCGCACATGCATCGTGTGTACAACGATGATGGTTCTAAGCCACGTCATACACTAAGTCTTACTAACTTGGAACTCTTAAGATTAGACGAAGATTGAGTGGGAAAGTGTCAGTTACTTTCGCAATCTATACTAATATTATAAAAAGGTAAAATTTGTATGTAGGGGGTATTGTTTGGAACCGCTGGTCGGATTGCCAAAATTATTTCACTGATAGATAGGTACAATTAATGTTCCTGAATGCTATAGGCTATAAAACATCACGCTACGATTAAATGGAGCCGAGCAGCGGGTGAAACGGCGGACGGCTTACGGATATTTCACGCCTGTTTTACATGAGAGAGAGAAAATCGGATATTTGTATTATCGCGTTAAGAGAAGTAATGTTTTCTTGTTAATAGTTAGCAACAAAACATGATCAAGATATACATTGACAGTAAATAAAACTGTATTTCAATTGACCATACTAATGTCTCGATAGTTTGTTTTTTTCTGTAAAGCTTAGTACATTTTCTTGCATTTTATGCGCATTATGCATCGTAATGGATACCTATAATTATAATTCTTAATAGATAAGTAAATATATTAATAAATAATAGTAGCATGTACTGTGTACAAGTCGTATTAAATATATCATTAATATTATCTTATCATGTACTATTCAAGTTAAATAGAAGTTTTACGATTATAAAAACATTAAACATTTAATCCAGCTAATTTAATTTTAATATTGATAAAATTATTTTGACGCAATTCCGACAACTTTACATTGTTTAGTAGACTGATTGAAAACAAGAATTTTCTTCTTAGATTTTAATCAATGCCTAATCAACTAGACGTTTTATCAGATTTTAGTATGACAGACAGAGAGACAAACAAATAATTTTATTATCAATTCAATGTTAATTCAATGTTAAAGTGCTTTGTCCAACACCAGAATTTTGATCTTTAATGTGTTTAATTTTATACACGTCACAACAAATTTTGGATCACACAAAACAGCCTCACGGGAATCGAAACGCCTGCACATCGTACAGCCGGTACTTCAAACGCTCTGTCACACAAAATGACGAGATGTTGTACTAAGATTTACGTTACTATTTATTCACAGCTCCGCCATTTTTGAACAATTGCAAGTAATATCGCCATTGTTTCAAGTACCTACTCTTAATTATCCGTGACGTGATTGTATTTATGAACGTCTACCTACATTCGTTTGAATAAACCTGATGTAACGCGACATTTTTTAGTTAAGACCCGTTATTTATGTAAATAACAAGGTTTTATTGTAAAGAAGCGATTTTTTGTCTCGAATTATACACAGTATAGTAGTTCAAATTACAATAATTTGATGTAGAGTGTTTTTCATAATTTTTATATAATTGAACCAACTGTTTGTAAAAGGAATCTGTATGTGAAACTGATTTAAAAAGAGTAACCATGGAGTTTCACGCTCGTTCTTCTCCATCGGAATCTACACTTTGGAACGAGCAAATAGCTTTACTAAGAGAACTGACCGACAGACTGACACTATATCTTCAAAATTTTGTTTGACGTTCAAAAGTGCCTGTAAAGTTCTAATTGGAATAAATGATTTTTGACTTTTGACTTTGACTTTTTCAGTAGGAGGTGCGTATGCAAGATCTATTTATTTCCTGCTTTAATCCTAGGTCGGGACAGGAGAAGAAACGGGGTGGAAGGCAGTAAGTAAGAGTCTGGCAAGAGCGATTACACCCAGGATGGAAAACGTAATGTGATTGTCTCAAAACAAAAGAACATACATTTTTAAAGGTTTTGTAACCCACTTCTATTGAATTTATATTATTCATACCAAAGAATAACATTGACGAATGAAAAGAAGACTTTAATCGCAAGTGGCGCCGTCTGGCGAGAACATAAATCAAGCCTTCATTTGTATGATCACGTGACAGGGTACTTAGTAACTAATTAAGTACTTCAGTTGCAATGAAGACAAGCCTCCCCTATACATATATCTTAGTTTTTTTTTAGTATACTTCCGGCGTCATACTGTGACGAAGAGAGTGAACGGACGAATATAAGATGGAACCCTATTTATCAGTAATACTATTAACCATGGTTTATCAATAAGAAAGGGTGCAAGACTAGTGCTATAGTTGAGAATATCCATGTCAAAAACTCATAACGATTCATACGTTTAAGATAATTACTTAACATTTCGTGAGATCTGCGGAAAAATATGATGGAACATGTATGACTACAATTTGTAAATTTGACATTAATTGAGTAACAATAACTCCATTTGTATTGAAATTTCGAAATGTGGCCCGGAGGTTAAGGAGCCCGCTTCTCATGCATGAGGGTGTGGGTTCGAAACCTGGCAAGTACCAATGTGACTTTTTCCGAGTTATATGTACTTTCTATGATTATTAAGACACCACTGACATACGGTGAAGGTAAACATCGTGAGGAAACCTGGACTTATAATTTCTAATTATAAGTTTGAAATCGCCAACCCGCATTGAGCAAGCGTGGTGTTTAACGCTCTAACCTTGTTCTTATGAGAAGAGGCCTTTGCTCAGCAGTGGACACTTATAGGCTGATGATGATATATTGAAATTTAACATAGGTATATATTTTTACATTTCGATTATATTCTGAATAATAACTATATTTGTTATTTAGGCCAAATGACGGTCCTTGGAAACTTACTGACCATCCTGCATGCTACGTACGTATGTAAACCTATATTTTCAACAAATAAAATTTCTTGAATTTTGTAGGACATCAGACAAAAACAAAACTGACAGATCTCCAAAAGTAGCCAGTTTTTGTTACACTCCAGTGTATGAGAACCTTTACTAGCATTAGATGGATGACACTAAACAAAAAATAAATAATGTTCAACCTTTGCCTACTGACCATCAAATATGACCATGTAGGTCACAATCATACAATTACATAACATATGTAGAATCCTCAAGGATGTGTTTTATTTAAAAACATAACTATTTTAAATAAACAAGTTTATATATATATTTTTGATTAATTAAACAAATTCACGATTCTCGTTTAAAATTCTTTTAGGATTTTATATCATTTAATTTTGTAGAGCATAAAATTAACATAATTTGGCGGACGGGTTTTTTAAAAAGCAATTATATGAAACTAATAGGTAGTTGTTAAAAATATGATCTTAATATAAATAGGCCTTTTAAGTCTTCCTAGCTAACTTTCTGAGTATTTTATAAGGCTATCTAAAAACATTGTATTTTTATTTAGAAATAGTCGTACTAATAGATGTTATAAATGTGAAAATTACACAAAAACGACTGAACCGATTTGGTTAAAATTTGATATGTGGATAGATGACTTTATGGATTAACACAGACTACTTTTTATCACCATACCACACGTGCGAAGCCACGGGCGTTGGCTAGTACTTTACGTTTTTTCAGTTTCGATGAAGAGTGAGTGAGTCGAGAAAATATTTTTTTTATCCTATCAATATTTTAGCACAAGTGTTGTGCGATTAATTTACGCGAGCCGTTACGTTTTAACCGTGTCGAATGGACGTTAAACTTGAACTAGATTCGTTCACGGCCGTTTCATTTACGGGATGTTTGGAGTACAAGGTTCTAAGTATGATCTTTTGTAGCTCTAAAAGTTTTTTTTTTTTGTTAGGCTTTGTCTGCTATTTTACAAGGTCTGTAAATGCGACATAAGTTAGTTTCTAATTATTGTAGAGGAACCATCATCTCCTGACTTAACAGAAGATCTTCTAAATGACGACAACGAAAATTCGACAAGACACAAACACAGAAAAAATCTGTTTGGTGCATAGACATCTATCTACTGCTTATTTCCGTGATTAGTCGATAAATAATAATATTATGAAGAGGTAAAATTTGTATGCAGGGGGTAAACTTTGAAATCAGCTACCAAATAATGTATTAAAAAAATATCTTCTATAATAGATAACTGAATATAATTTCGTTCTCACTCAACGTTAGCCACGGAAGTTCGTTCAATTGCCCGATACAATGATCGTATCTAATGAGCAACCGGCCTTACTCCACTTTTCTATACTAAATATTCCAAGTCGTCGTGTGCTGCCGTCACCGTCTTTATTGCTTAAGTAACAAGGGCGAGTTTCGAAATATATTAAAGACGACGGTAGGTTAGATAAACGATTAGTATCATTAACAGTTCCGTTAACTTTATATTTGATAACTGCCAATCTTTAAGTAGTAATAATATTTTTACGGGCAAAAATACCTATAAGGATAACATTTCGTTTTAAAATAATTCCCGTACCTACATTTTAATTCGACTACAATGTCCGAACAATATTATTATTTATCAATTTATACACTTTAATGTACACTGCAAAAGCACGAAAAGGACGAAAACATATGAATTGAGTGTACAATAGGCGCCCTTATCGCACAAGGCGATCTCTTACAGACAACCTTTGGATTTACAGAATAATATTGTTAAAGTTACAAATATTTTATACATAAAAAAATGTGTTGGTAGTCGCTAACTCAACAACTCCTGGACCAATTTTGCCAATTATATTTTTTAGTATTTATTATTTTCAGAACAAGATTCTCATCAAAGAAAATATTAGAAAAGTAGTGGGGATAATTGACATATAAGGGCCGCTAGTATTTTATGCAAGTTAGTAGTAGTTTCGTTTTTAAATGGGTTTTAGTAAGTGTGGTATGAGTTAATTAATATATTTACCTGATTAGTAATATCGTATACGACGATAGCCGCCTGCGCACCTCTGTAGTACATTGGCGCTAAGCTGTGATACCTGCGGGACCAGACATTTTTTTTACAAAAAGCATTCATTAAAATCCTACTAATATTACGAACGGGACGGCCTCCCTAATTCCCAATCTCTAAAACCTCAAATACATAACCCCAAAAAGGAAGGCAATACACTCGCAACTTCTCTGATGTAGCGGGTGAACTTAGGCGGTGCCAATTGTTTACCATCAGGAACCTTGAAATCTTAGTCCCAATATTTTCTTTGTCTCATAAAGCATGTGCAATTAGCTTAATTATAATTCAAGGCTTATTGGTCTCATTTGTGATACATTTTCCTCAAGTGTTGTTCTTTTATATTTTTAAACTCTAGTGTTACAGTAACTACTTACAGACAGTAATCAGTAAAAAATGTACTTAAGTAGACATGCTTGTTATCAGCCAATCTTATCAGTAACAAACATTTTATTTTTCACATTTTCACTTTCATTCATGTTTTCTTTGTTTTTCATTGAGGTAATGGATTCAGTGGGCCAATATCCGATAGTTGGGAGTTGTATTGAAATGATTTTTTTTTCTAATAACATACATATTTTGTTTATAATTTACTACAAATTAATAAAGACCCTTATAGTCTAGACAAAGTATCCAAGGTCATATAGATGATACCTTTCCTGTCCTGCAGTGTCCCATATTTCAAACTTGACAGTGGTGTCATCGAGACAGACTGTCTGAGTTAGAAAAGCGGCGCCGATCGTGCTCTCCTGGTACTCGTGGAACTGTCCCTTGACGAACCGAAGTACTAGGGAAGACTTGCCCACTGCTGACTCGCCGAGCAGTACTAGCTTGAACTGACATACTTTCGTTTGTGGCGCGCCGTTCGGCCGCTGCGCCGCACCGCTCCTGTTGGTCGCCATCGCCTGCAAAAAAAACAAAACTTAGTTTATATTGAATTCAACTTTACAATAATTGCCCTTGAGTGCACTTTCATCTATATTAATATAATAAAGAAGTAAACTTCGTAGTTTGTATGTATGGGGTAATCTTTGGAACCGCTGGTCGGATTGCCAATATTCTTTCACTGATAGATAGCTATAATGTTCCTTAATAGTATAGGCTATAAAACATCACGCTACGATACAAATCAAGCCGAGCAGCAGGTGAAACCGCACGAGTAGTTCATAAAGGGAAAACAGCCGGCTGATGTCCCATCACATCTAAATTAAAGTTGTTCAACGGGCCTCTGCGAGTTGGCTTCGGCCCCTCGTATGCTTTCCAAAGGTCCGGGACCCTATGTTCCCGTGGATGGAAGAGAATATATATAATAATAATAGCCCCACAACCTTAAACTTTCTGAGAAATAAACTCAATCAACTATAATGTACCACAATCTTTAGCACCTGTTAATTAATCAGCCAATAATATTAAACAGACTAAAAAAAAAACGTGACCGGTGAAAATACGAAATAGCTAAAACCTGTGGCACCTTGAAACAGCATATTTTATAGGCTTTAAATAATAACTTTGTCCTTGACGGCACGGCTAACACTGAATAACCTTCAGTTCGCGGGGAAGCGACAGCGGGTCAGTACGGTGAAACAATTTTTCAAGTGCAATTACTTAGGTGTAAGTGTATTGTCTTTATTGTCATTGACTCCATACGGAAGATATGTAAATAAATATTTATCATGTTGACGACAACAAGCTAAGGTTTGTGATGATAAGCTATTTTGATCCTTAAAGTATATTTTTCAGAGAAGAAATGGTTCTACTGTACTACAATTTAGAGAACATTTTCATTTGCCGTTTGAGCGCTTTATAAAAATAATTGTTTTTTAGAGTTTATTAACAAAGAATTCAACAAATTCTATCTATAATGAAGCTGAGAATCTTGAATGAATAAAAAATATTACTATATTTTTTATTCATTCACGATTCACAGCTTTATACCTATTCCGTTTACCCAAGTTGAAGAGGGTATTTAAAGTTTCTACATAGTAAACATTGTGTACATAAACTCAATAATTAAGTTTTCAAAGCATGATAAACTGCGTATGAGAAGGTACCAAGTTTCATTAAAATCGGTTCCGCAGTTTCTATTATTGTACCTAGGTGGGTTTTTATACTAATTTTTAAGTTAGTATGAAAGCCTGTCTCACGTAAATGCTCTTAAATATTTGCGAATGTGTTACTATTTAACCCATTTTCAAAACAAAGCATTTATTTTTATTATAACTTTCGTGAGACATTCTAAATTATTTATTATGTTTTCGGCTTACTCACGTAATAATTTGACGAGATACTCGACTAGTTTCAAGCCATGCTAGAGACCGTCACTAGCATGGCTTGAAACTAGTCGAGTATCTCGTCAAATTATTACGTGAGTAAGCCGAAAACATAATAAATAATAAAGCATTTATTATTTAAATATTTTATCATGAAATTAAGAACGAATTTGACTGCACAGCGCAGTGGCTAGCAGCTGGCTGCTGTGTAACGTGTCACGGGTTCGATTACCGCACGGAACGACACTTTGTGTGTTCCACAAATTGTTGTTTTGGATCTGGGTGGCTTGTGTATGTCAATTTGTATGTTTGCAAACGCACCCACGGCACAGGAGAAAATAAAATAGGGGGCAAGGTTAACAAAAAAAAATTGGGCTTTTTATACGGTCACAAAACACATGACAACAGAAATGGTAATACACGTGGTTCACTACAATTCACTTGTTAAATCCGTTTGTTACTGATAAGAGATAGCGTTAAATTATGGGCGTCAACTGACCTATCATTTTGACGAGTAATACAAATAATAATTTGTAGAAAAAATCGCTACAATCCAATCGTGAGTCATACAGACATAACGTTGATAAACTGATAGTTAGAGAAAAAAAATACAAAGATCATACTTTTTGTATTATCCTATTTTACTTTACATTTTAATATTGATGAGTAAAAGCTATAATGTAGAAGGATTTGTTACAATTTAAGTTATTTTAGTTATTGTTTACCAACACATGTTTGACAGTAAGTAATTGTTTACCAGCCTTTTATGACGACCATAAATTCAATTTATTGGGGAAAATGGTAGTACTTAAAAAGAAGGAGCACTGAAAATTATAAAAACTGAGGAACAGAGAAGAAAAATATCCCCACATTTATGTAGCTACATATTTATGGCAGTAATGATACACAACTTAATAACGAAAGCCACCCTACCACCCTACTTCTTTGGAAAAAAAGGGTTGATGATCATGACATTTAAAAGAACCAATCCAAATAATAAACCTACAGCAGTATGTTAACAACAAATTAAATGGTCATGAAAGGCAGGAAGGAATACAGACTTGCACAGGATATGCAAATGATTGCTAATTATTATAATTTTGTGTTATTTAATAAAAAAACTTTGAAAGAAACATGTGGGAACACAGGCTTGTACAGCCTTTTAGCATTAATGGTAAATATGGACTAAGCTGCATTCATAAAAACAGTTTTATTTTTCTAAAATTTATCCTCTGTTATATTTTCTCTGTCTACCCTATTGCTAGACAGGCGTGAATATATGTAAGCTAAGAAATGGTAGAATGCTGAAATAGTATAATTATGTAAGGTAGGAATGAAAATAAATTATTAATGTGATCACATTTACATGAATATATACTGCACCCAACAACATGAATTCACAATAAAACATTGATTAAAAAAAGAAAGTTCCTTGCTTTGTGTACAAGGTATGAGAAGAAAGGAAAACAGTCAATGACTTCATAATGGCTGTCCTGTTTCTCACAATAACAATAAAAACATACAACTTATAAGATAGTGTATGATTTATCATGCCCTAGTGACATAAATCTTATTATCTAGAAAAAAAAACTGGCTATTGCATATCAGAATTTTCTTTTAGAAAAAATACTTCAATTTGGACTTTCTTTTATACAATTTAAAGTTAAGTTTCCGATATACTAACTGAGAACAATTTGAGTTATTTCCCAACACAGATTATGAAACAAAAGGCAGATTGACTGCAGACCGTGAAGCTGGTTTTTAAGACATTAGTGCATGACAGCTCTATAAAAACACATTTCCTTGGTGTGCATTATGGTTGTCGGATAATAACAAAATTATCCACAATATGTTATTGTCTACCTATCAATATAAATAAAAATCCCCTTTGTTTTGCACCTATTTAGGTAAATCTTTTTTGTTGTGTTTGTAACTGTCCAGACAAGAGTTGTACGAAAGAATTGCTTAAAAATTAAAAAATGGTATTGCAAATCAAGTGGAAATTATTTTATTTTTGTAAATAAGGTTTACTAGTATTTTTTGACTTTATAGTAATGAAGGTTAAATACAGGTAATCAGCAGTCATTAATTTGCACTAACACATATTCTTATAATATTGCAAACTAAGCAAACCTTAGGTTGTAAAATTTCTAGTATGTCCATCAAACTTTGACATACTATAACATAATTTAGTTATGGCTTGTTTTCTGATAAATTATTGGTCAAAAAGTACATAATAACATTAAAATAAAAAGAAACAAACAAAACATTATAATCAAAATAGTTTTGTAAATTGATAACTTATTTCCCATACATACTATGCATACACATATTACCTAACTTAAGGGTAATTTTAAAGTTAACTAGCAACACCAACTCCAACTGATGTTGTTTATATTTGATAAAAGATTTTTAAAGTAAAGTAACAACACTGACTATTTATCAAGGTTTTGTGTTCCAAGATTCACTAAAAATAATTACGTAAAATAATATCTAAATAGATAAACAATATTTATCTATAAAAACATACTTCTTCCTCTTTATTTTTTCTTTGGAAACAAGTTTTACAATATTTGAGAAAACAAGATGGCATTATTTTCAAAAATATAAATATTATTATTATCTACTAACAATGAGAAGGTTTGCTTTGTGACATATTGACTCAAGTTTGAATTTGGAAGAAGAGACTATAGGTAATTTTTTTTTATAAAATTGGTAAGCAAAAGAACTGAAAACTGACTGAATTTTAATTCTGTTAATTTAATAATAAAATATCACCTTAACAGTTTCAATCGGAACATAACACACATTAAATTGTATCGTGCACAATACCATTATCTTTATTACTATAACTAACTAATAAAGATTATTAAACATTTATTAACATTAAAAGTGCCTTGCATCACCTGCCTACCTCTTAGTAGAATATTTGCTAGAAAGGAAAGACTTTTAAATAATTTTAATTTAATAGAAATCTCAAGTAACTAGTTAATGCAAGAAATAGACTAATCAGTGTAATTTATTACTTATTAAATATTGCATAATGTTATGTCTATTCCATGTTATGTAAACATGTTTGAGATGTTTAAACTATTTTTAGAAATATCAATATAATATGTATATTAAGACAAATAATAAGCAATAAAATAAGGTTGTATACTCACAAAAAATTCAGGCCTGTCTTTAAAATAGGACATATTTAACACAGATTATTTATCACTCTAAGCTATAACCAGATCCAAGGTAAAAATTAGACTGAGTGCCTTCAATTGCATTTAAAATAAAGTGAACCCTATGGCAATTACTGTGTTTTTAATAAATTACAGTTTTTTTTAAATGTAAACTTAGCTAAATACCTGATTAAAATTAAATTAATTATGAACTCATTTGACTAATTGGTAACTAGTTTTGACTTTTGATTGATACAAGTTTCAATAGTATTCCTTTTAATCAAATTCCAGGAAGTGGTATTATTGTTTTTATTTTCAAGTCTGTAAGTTCTTGGTATCAAACAAAACTTTGTAGTTTTATCTCAATTGTAAATATGATGACATGCAAACCAATTTAGAAGAAAATTTAGCATTTTTTATCATTTTTAAGATAAACCTACCTACAATATGTGTGAAATCTTCCACAGATAATAATAAGCAAGTGAAGTTAAACAATTATTTATTCAAGAATGATTACTTGTCTACTTTTTGTTGAGTATGATTCATTTTAATACAACTTGTTAATGCCTTGGTCATATAAAAAAAACTTTGTTATACCTACTTAATGACAAATCATTATTTACTTTTATCTACTTTGGTGTAGAAATGTTGAATATGTGTTCAGAAGATAATCTTCCAAGTTTTGGTATTTTATTACAGTACTCACCAGATAATAGTCCTACAAAAACACAGTTGGACACCATTGACAGATCTTGCAATTACAACTTAAACTAATGATCAATCACCCATGCACATTTACAAAGAATCCAATTAGTTTTTTTTAAACCTTGAGACTTGAAATCTACTACTAAAGCGAACGTAATAAAGACTGGCTTAAAACGGTAAACAAGAAATTGTTATCTCCACGTCCGTATCGTCGCGAAATCACAAAGAAACAAAAGGTATTACAATGACACTTATCAGCCACTATTCGGCGCAGTTCGACGGACCTACATAATATAATTTCTCGATCAATTTATCTGTCGCGCACCAAAAACGTGTCTGTTATGATGATGACTAACCGCTTATGCCCGTATCACAGCGTTTCCTTCGACTCGAACGATTAAAAATTACATAGAGACGCCCTCATAGGAATCAGCTGTATGTCATAAAAGCACTCAACGTAGTCATCTACAAGTCCGATCACTTTGTCCAGACGACTTCTTAGAAGAACAATACAACTAATCTTCTCATTATATGAACACTCTTAAACAATATTGGATAAAATGACGCATTTACTTGATTATAAGGATATGAAAGACGTACCCTCCCTGTTATTATACCGCTGTTTTGCACTTTTCCTTGGGCGACAGATCCTCAAGAGGTCGCCGTATCGCCGAAAATATCATTAATTACACACGTTAACGATTAAAATCATTAATTTTAAATGCTAAACTGGAAAATCTAGCACAGAAATGCAAAATGACCACGAACAAACATGGAAGCGAGAGAGCGAGCGAGACGTTTCATTTCACAAAAAACTGTCTATGGATTGGTATACGTCATGTTAAGAAACTATTGTTTATGATTAAGAAAATATTAAACAAAACATTTAACTGTGTAATTATACAATCATTAAATATGTTAAATAAGCATTTGTTGAATTAAGTGAGTATTTAGTAAATAGTGCAGAGATTTTTAGATATACCAAAATAGAAATTCGTGATTTTGTCTATGGCTTGTAATTTTTTAGAAATGTCATTTTCAATCATCAGTTTGACATTAACGATATTGACATTTGCTTTCACGCTCGTGGTGTATTTTGTCGTGGTTTTGCACTGTTGCGTGTTTTCTTCTAAAATTATCCTAACTGCAAGGTTTGTATAATAATTTTGTACAATGAAGATCACGAGGTATAAAAAGGTTCAGAAATATCTGAAGTTCTACTACAACAACTACGGCTTCCACCAACCGTACCAAGTTTTGCTCGACGGCACGTTTTGTTTTGCTGCGTTTAAAGTAAGTCTTCTTATATCTATAAAATAGAAAAGAAGACTTAGTTTTAATTATTGCTTGCAGACTGTACCAAATTTTGCCAATTAAAATTAAACATTTTTGTAACCGAATCTAAATACAACAATATTTGCGCAGAATGGACAGCAAGTACCGCCGTAACGGTCGTCTTATAGACATTGTGGATGAGGAGTGGCGAGCAGAACAGCTCCCTCATGAGGACATCCAGGTTCCGTTGGAAGAGCTTCCGGACCCTGAAGCTGACAGTGCAGACTCTCACCTCACACTCAAAGAACAGAGCCTGCGCTGGCAAGAGAATTTCCCAGAACCAGCTGCAAGCAATATTTAAAACTAGGTATTTCTTTCATCTTCATTTAAATAATAAACACATTTAAATCATCTGTACCATTACTATTACTAAAATTCCTAATAAATTCTTTTTCAGGAGCATATTAACATCAGGGAACAGATCCCGAAATATTTAAACTCTCAAGTAAAATTACTTACTACAAGATGTATAATTATAGAAACAGAAAAAATAGCAAAGAAGACTCATGGAGCCCTAACTATATTGAAGCAATTTGGTATACATGAATGCAATCACAAAGAACCTATCGGTGGATCCAACTGCATACTATCTATGATTGGCAGGAAAAATGACAAACATTACATACTGGCAACACAGGATAGAGATTTACAGGACAAACTAAGAGAAAGGGCTGGTGTTCCACTTTTATACCTCCATAATAAGTCTCCTACCTTAGAAAAGCCTTCACCAGCCACCTATGCTAAGGCCGGGCAAACATTAGAAGGAAATCAATTTATGTTTATAACTGAAACTCAAAATGAAGCACTACAAACTATGAAAAAGGTATTAGGAGTTGAAGAAAAGGATGAAAAGCCTAAGATCCCAATTAAAAAGAAAAAGCCACACAATCCTAATCCTTTGTCTTGTAAGAAGAAAAAGAAGAAGCCAGTTAATAACAATAATAAAAGTAAGCCTGAAAGTGTGAGTGAAGGAAAGGTAAGAAAACGGAAGAAGAAGAAAATACCACAGCATTTGAAAGAACAATTGAAAAGTGCTGTTAGTAATGCTTAATCTTAATATAGTTTTAATTGTAAATATTGCTGTTTTATTTAATGAATATACTTAGTGACCATTAACTAACTTTAACCAGTAGTACAGTATTTTCAATTTTAGTATGTCCCACAAGAGTTACTATACATACACTCAATGTTTACTTTCCGGAAATAGTGATTTCTGTTACTAAAAGCCATCAGTGCATCTAAGATCCTATGACCAAAATAAAACAAGAATATCAATTAACATACATTTACTTCAAATTAGAAATATAAAACAAAATTCAGAATACAAATTCATCATAAACCAGGAGACCTCCCATTAGGTGGGTTAGGGACATTGTCAGTGGGGAGCTATTGGCTGCTAAAGCCATAGAGTTGTCACATGGAAGGCTTAGGGGAAGGTCTTTGTCCTGCAGCGGATGTCTGGCGGCAATTCCGACTGATAATGATTGATGAAGCCATTACTTCTGCATAATTCCATCAGGGTAGTGCTATTTCGATAACTTGAAAGGCCAGATCAGTTTCAGCCTAGTAGTGCCGAAAGTAATAATATGTATCAATGGCATGTTAGCCAAGTATACTGAGTGAAAATGAGTGAGTATATCGTAGCATTCTGGAGCCGTAAACACTTCCTCGCCGTCCGGAGTGTCCTAAAAATCAGGATGTTTTTTATAAACTTTTCATACCTAGGTACTCTAGGATTTTCTTCTGTGTCGTAGTGGTGTACTAACACACAATTGACTTACACCCAGTTTCTGAAAGGCTTGTCAACGCTAAAATTAACTAATCTCCTGTTAAATCTCTTGTCAAGTCATCTGATTGGTTGTTGATAATTCAGTCAACCAATCAGATGACTGGACAAGAGTATAAATTGATTTTAACATTGATCGGCCTTTCGGAAACCGGGTGTTAGATTCATTAAATGCAAAAAATTTGTTATTATATCAGAATCTATACTAATTAATATTTGACTGCGCGAAACGGACTGCACGTTTGGCGCGATGGCTGGGCAACTGGCTGGCGCGCAACGTGTCGCGGATTCGATTCCCGCACGGAACAACTCTTTGTGTGATCCACAGATTATTGTTCCGGGTCTGGGTGAGATGTGCATGTGATATTGTATGTTTGTAAACGCACCCACAACACAGAAGAAAAATTCTAGTGTGGGGAAAAGTTTGTTAAAAAAAAATTATAAAGGGGTTTTATAAGTTTATATGTGGGTGGTAATCTTTGGACCGCTCGCGCGCTCTTCGAATATCAAAAATTCTTTCACAGATAGATAACTACAATATTCCTGAGTTCTATAAGCTATAAAACATCACCAATAGGAGCCGAGAAGCGGGCGAAACCGCGCGGCAGTAGCTAGTCTTATATTAATTCTGTCTCAATACTCAATAGTGCAGCCAGATAACCAACAGGTTTTTGACTGACCAATTTTTTTAAATATATGTTTCGGTTTGGTAAATTTGTCGCCCTTTTTCATTTGTCAACTACTGATAACTGGCAAAAATTTGGAAGTATATGGACCAACCACGTTCAATGATACTAATACCGTCAACTCACCTCAATTGTGTGCCTTATCATTACTTCCTTGAAGTAGTTCCAGAGTGCTGTCGGTGACTGCCAGTAGTACCATTTGAAGTACAGATGCGAGTCCAGGTATATTGTAATGAGCACAGCTAGTTTGAACGCATCAAAGTCCCGCTGTGCTGCATAATCTATGGTCTCCATAATCAGACTAATTAGGAAATTCTTTTCAGGTAAAGCGTAGTTAAGTACCATATTCTTTTCTATTAAGAAATTCCCTAAAAGTGGATATAGGTTCTACTAAATATAAATGAAGGCAAATATAATCCTACTTTTTTGTGTGATGGGATGGCCAATGAGCACATAGATTATTTGATGGTAAGCAATCATCATCAATTTATACGTGGAGGCTTGTAATTAGCAATTTGTCAATATGATACTTTAAAAAATCATTTTCTATGTATTAGTCTGTAAGCCTTCTATAAAATAAATAATCAGCTCATAAACAGTCATAAAAAAGGAGAAGTAATACAAGTGCGTTGGCGACTTTTTGGTGATTTAGGGACTGGGGGACGGTCTACCCAATCCGTCCCATTGGGTAGACCGTTACTCACATGGCGAAACACAAGGCAGTGCTTGGCCCACGTTCACGTTCTGTGAGGCCGTAAGTAGTCTCCAGATTCTCATTTATAAGTGGATAAGGCCTGCCTTTTCTATACATAATTTTAGTCTGTATTTTTAGATACATAAATGAAACGGGACAAACGATGACGATAGTTTACTATCAGGGTGATACTAAGCTGCTGCTTTGTGTGTTAATATTGGTAATCAAATTAAATAATACCTATAAACTTCTTCAACCCATTCTCTTTATCAGCATCAGCAGCTGCGATCATGGCTACCGCTTCCTCCTCATTCATTATCGTGCCTGTTAGTATATGTGGACGTGGCTCTAACTCTGGTTTCGAAAATGGAGGAGATTCGTTCTCTCGTAAGTGATGTAAGTACGAGGGAGCTGACAACTGTGGCCTAAACGACGCCTCTTCCTCATCCTCCGGATTTGGTAACTCAGGAGCTGATACCACCTTCATCTTCGTCAGTTCTTCTGCTGTAGGCGGTTCTAAATAACTAGATTTCGATACATTTGATGAATTCATGTCTATAAACGTTTATGTAACTTGTGACAAAATTTAATTGTGTGATGCCATCTCTAGCTTTTTGACAATGTTGTCAATTTGTGGTATAATGTCATGTATGTATAGGTAATCTATTAATGTGAAGTATAGAAAAAAGTATTTAATCATTAAATAGAGACCTTTAAAGAGAATCGAATGAATCTTACTATTTATGATCATATCGTAATAGCTTTAGTAGTCTACAGTATATAATAGTACTTCATTTGTCCGAATAAAACTCTTCATTTCATTTTAAAATTATGTATTTAATTTGCTAGGATTATCAACAAATATGTATAACATCACTGCACTGTAGTTCTCATGGCGCCGTCACAAGCCTATTATGTATTAGGCATTCACAGCAAACATTGCTTACATCAAATTCAGTCCAAAATTTAATATAGTCCGCGGTACGTAACATGCCGATATTTTGTCGTGATGAGGAATTTTATGGTTGTTGCAATTATTTTAATACAGACTAATTAGAAGAAAGTAAGATTAAGAAAAGGAATTTGTGTGAAAGTGGGAAATAATGAGAAAATTCACATAGCGCAAGTTACACACTGCGAAGATATAACTATGTTACGTGCCGAGAATTATATTTATAAAAGAAACACGACCGCATATCATACATGTCTACCGCTGCGCGTACGCAGACATTTAACGCTAAGACCGCTTTTTGAGGCTAATAGTTTTTTTTGATTCAGCTTTAGTCATTACATCTAAAGTATCCCAGTATCTTTTAGACACCTTTTTATTATCTTCTTCATCTGATGATGATGATGTGGAAGACGAAGACGACGATGATGATGACGACGACGAATCAGAGGATGACGATGACGAGGAATCTTCAGATTCGCTTACTTGTTTCTTCTTTTTCCCTTTTGATTGTTTCTTTTTACTTCCCTTGTCAGGCATTTCCTCTTCGCTACTACTCTCTTCATGTTTTTTACTGCTTTTATTCCTTTTCTTACTTACATTTTCCTCTTTAATATTTTTAATGTTATCTTTATTTACTTCTACTCCGTTTTGATATCTTTGGCTGTTATCTTTTATTTTAGATCTAGATTCGTCTTCATCGTACGTTTCTGTATGTCTATCGTTACGTTTACCTTTCCTTCGCTTGTCGACTTCTTCAAGATCCTCCTGATGAAGTTGTGCGGCTGAATCTTTCTTTTTACTTCTTGACTCATCATCTCTATCTTGTTTCTCTTTTTTACCTTTTCTTACAGCTCTTTCTTCTTCATCTTCACGTCTTCTATTATCGTAATTTTTCTCGTCCTTGCGTGGTCTGTCAATGCTATCATCTTTCTGTCCCTCGTCATCATCTTTACGACTTTTTTCATACGCTTTAAGTCTGTTCTCATCTTGATATCTTCTATCGTCTTCTTTTTCTGCGTCTTGTCGTCCTTTGTATTCATCTCTTTCGTCTCTACGACTTCTTTTGTCATTTCTTTGTTCCTTATCGTATTTACGGCTAGGGTCATCATTTTGCATTTCTTTGTCAACGTTTCTTCGTTCTCTATTGTCATTCCGTTGAGTCCTACTATCATCCTTACGTTGTCTATCATCATCCCTACGTTCTTCTCTGCGTTCTCTTACATCATCTCTACGGTCTTTATCATTATCCCTATGTTCTTTACCATCATCCCTGCGTCCCCTGCCATCACCTCCTCGTGCCCTATCGTCATCTCTTCGTGGCCTGTCATCATTCCTGCGTTCTCTATCATCATCTCTTCGTGGCCTGGCATCATCCCTGCGTTCTCTATCATCATCCCTGCGTTCTCTTCCATCATCCCTGCGTTCTCTATCTTCATCCCTGCGTTCTCTACCATCATCCTTGCGTTCTCTACCATCATCCCTGCGTTCTCTACCATCATCCTTGCGTTCTCTACCATCATCCTTGCGTTCTCTACCATCATTCCTGCGTTCTCTACCATCATCCTTGCGTTCTCTAATATCATCTCTTCGTGGTCTATCGTCATCTCTTCCAGTCCTGCCGTCATCTCGTCGTCGCTTAACATCGTCTTTTCGGCCCTCATCGTCATCTTTCTGATTTCTGAATTCTCTATCATCTTCCCTACGGGTTCGCTCTTCAACATCATCTCTGCGACTTTTGACTTCGTATTTCTGTTTATCATTTTTGCGGTATCTTTCTTCGTTTTGTATCTCTTGATCTTCGACTTTACGATCTTTTCTATCATCCCTTCGTATCCGATCATCATCTTTGCTTCTCTTATCATCGCCACGGTCTCTCTCATCATTTTGACGCTCTCTCTCATCGTCTCTCCGACTACGTTTTTTGTCTTTTTGTATTCTCTCATCGTCTCTGCGGTTTCTGTCATCATCGTTACGCCCCCTATCGTCTCCATTTTGTCTGTCATCGTCTTTTCGACTTCGGCCTTCATCTCGCGGCTTTTCACTATCTTTCCAGTATCGGTCGTGATTTGGTACCCTATCATCATCATCTCGTCCGCCTCTATCCTCATTGCGCCTACTTTCACGATCATTCTTTTCATTGCCATCATACCTCCTTCGTTTATCGTCTCCGTTTCTGTGATCCATTCTATCATCTTTTCTTCTAACGTCCCGAGATCTGGCGTTCCTATTTTCCATTCTCTTAGCGTCTTTGCCGTAGGTGTCGTAGAAACCATCGTGACCCCACCTTTCAACCGGTGGTTCCGATTCCTGTTCAGGCGTTTTAGGTACTTTATCCTTGCTTTTACCCTTTTTAGATTTCTTTTCTTTCTTCTTTTTGCTATTCTTCTCTGACTCGGATTCTGAAAACAATTATGTGAAATTAATAAATTGCGGCAATTGAGAATGGCATTTTTTTAGTATAAAGAACATTTTACAAAAAATTATCTTACCACTAGAACTGTCGCTGGATGAAGAGGAGTCAGAGCTACTGGAACTAGATGAGTCAGAACTAGAATCTGAGCTGGAGTCACTGCCCAGTGTTATATCTGGTATGGGTGCAGGTACATTCTGTAATAAAGTAAGAATATGTTCGACATCAATCAAGTTGGTTTCATAAACTTACATTACTTTCTGATCACCAACTATCACTGGCATCATACTAAAAAAGTATTGCCTTTTTTTTATCAGTTAAGCCTAGTATAATAAATGTCATACCTTAGGCAACTGCTTCAAATGCTCTCTGAGCTCATCCGTCAAGCCTCCAAGACCAATGGATGTGAAGAAGTTGATGGAGAACCTTGTGTTCTTGGGATTATCACGAGGGAAGATACCTGAGAATGCAGTCTGCAGGGTCCTGGAAAAGAAATAATGTTGCTCATTAAAAGGGGGTGCTTAATGTCTGATCTACAAACTACTAACTTACTACTACTAATGTGTAAAGTTTAAAATTCTTTAAAAATTTTCATAATAAAATACTCTCTGCATCACTCTAAAGTTGACTGGAAAGAAAGCCTACAGTATTAAGTCCACCTTAGTAATGTAAACCAATACTAACTTGTAATGTTATGTTGCTAAAAGTTAAAATAAATAAGATAATAACATTTGAAGTAAGGAATTGAATGCCATAACTGGCCAACTAGGATCAACTCAAGTTCAGACTCAAAACAAGCCTGGTCAAGTTAAAATTATGATTTAATTGTGACTTGACCTGTTACATATTCATTGTTATTCTTGTTAATGAATTTGTAGAGCTTTGTTGTAATAAGGACAATATTTAACTTACGGATCCTTAAGGCGATCATTCAGTTTCTTGAGTCCCATATATTCTGCTAATTCTTGGAACAAAATTTTGATATAAATACGACTAGAACTTGTTGTGTCCTCTTCATTTAATTTCACACATTCCAATACCTCCCAACTTATAGAATCTGTAAATAATAAATGTGCGAAGAATTTGCTGACATTCCTTAATCTGTTTGTGTCTAATCTATGGGCTGTTCCATAGGAATCTTTGAATATTTCCTCGAAAGGGCCAATGTATATTCTGTTTATGTTACAAAATCGTTGTGCTAGGAGTCCATAGAACTTCTCGTAAGTTCTCTGTTCTGCACAGCAGTCCAGGAACATGTGACACAACTCAACTTCTTGGCCAGGCTTCAGCTGCATCTTCATTAGCTTATGGGCACATTCCTCAAAGTCTAAACTGGAGTTGATAGTCAAATATATGGTTCTGCGCAAAGCTACAAGGTTTGTTTCCGTATTATCAATGATAGTGACTGGCTTTTGTCCCTCTTCCTCTTCATCATCTTCTGATTCCTCACTACCACTCTCTCCAGAACCATCCTCTTCACCAGACTCAGCATCAGAGCCAAGAATCTCTTTGCTCAAGGTTTTGTACTTTTGTTCATTCTCTTCATACTTATCATCAAACTTGAAAACATCTGAAACATTAAAAATAAAGTGTAACTAAGCTGCTGTTATTTCCAATGCAACTTGAAAGTAACTATTTATTTAAAGATTGTATTATTTCATTGGTGATAAGAAGTCAGTTAGAAATTAATTTTATTTAACACATGATTTAAATATACAGGTGTTAAATACAAAATAACTTACTCAAGATATCTTGTGGGTCAGTGGCTTCATCCAGCATCATAAGATGAGTGAACTGCTCCTCCTCAGGCACTAGCTCCAACTCCTCAATCAGAGCCGGATGGTCTTTGAACCCATCCTTCCACACTTGAAACATAACTTCTATCATGTACTGCACTCTTTTATCCAGCTGTCCTTCATGAAGGATATTCCTTAACATTTCAAATATTGCATTCACACCCTTAGAAGATACTTCAGTCAGTTTTTGGCCACATTCCTTTAGGAAAGCAATGGCAACTTCAACTGAGTCATCAGTAGGGGTCTCTACGAGTAAAGTCAGCAATTCCAATGCAAGAATCTCATGCGCTACTCTCTGGTTTACTAAATGTGCAATGAATGATGCTGACGATATACAAATAGGTTTGTCATTGCGCTTGAAACCTCTTTTGAATTGGATCATCAACCTCTTTAGAAGCAACTCCCCAATATTCGGGAACCGGGAGTTAACAGCAGCAACTAGTGCAGCATACACATTGGTGAATGTAGGGGAAGCAGCTTGTGCTTGTATCACAGACCGGCACAACAAACCTCTTCCACGCACTATGTTCTCTTTCAACAACTCTTTGATAATTATACCAATGTTGCCAACGTTGATTTTGTTGATGTGGCCGTGTATCGACTTCTTTAAAGCTTCCCAAGCTAGCCTTTGATATGCTACTGATGATTTGTCTGTTATTTGCGCCTGCATCATCCTGAGACGTGCTGGAGGTATATAAGCACCTCCTGTTCGTGTATTCAACATATCCGTTTCCTTGACGCGACGTTGAGGCATTTCTTTCTTCACATCGGGGTCCTGTTGTGTGTCTGACCGTTTTTCTTGTTTCACAGGCCCTTCTGGTGAGACCGATCTGGAATGTCTTCGTTTTCTTCTAGAGTCCCTATCACGGTGCTCAGCTGGTGACCTGGATCTCGATCTCGATCGTGCCTTTTTTGACTTCTTTTCCCTACGTCTGTCTTCATCATCACTGTTTCTGTCTTTCTTACGTTTACCATCCCTTTCAGGATCCATTTTAAATGAAATAACTAGTTTATTTAAACAAAAATAAAGAAGTACACGTTCCAATATGTATAACCACTAATGTAGAGTTATTTAAAAGTCTAGTATTATGGATAATCTTGAATTAACAACTGCGCGGCACCAACACACGATGCGCGGCCATTTTTATTTTGACATTTTTGACTTTTTTGAAATGCCATTGAATGACTTGTCTCTAGTTGGAATTCTTGGCTTTTGGGTAATGTCCACCAACACACGAACCCTGCTTTGATTGCAGTGATATGGCAAGCACATTATCCATAGGAGTTCCAACTAATTTTTTTATTAAACAACGTATCTCATCATGCCTTTCTAGGCCCAAATACCACGAACTCAATACCCACGAATATCAAGATCTCAGATTCAATGCTTTGATTCCGGTTCGGGCGGGCATAATATTTGCATAGAACTATCCTTATCAATATCATATTATATGTACAGTTACTAGTCCACTATTGAACTATAGGGCTGCTCTAATCATGATTGATTGGCAAAATGTCCACGCTTTCAAGCCGGGTGGGCACCGTCGCCCAGTGTAGAAGGAATAGGTTTATCAGAGGCCTTTGTACTTTGTAGCCCGATCTCTCTTGCGATAGAACTAAATAGTGAATGAATTTTAGAAAAGGGGGTCCGTTCAAATATCGGGTAAATACTAGGCAAAGAAATATACACTGGACTGTTAATAAACCGAGCCCCTTGCTTGCTTACCTAGGTAGGTACTCAAATTCGATTTTCTCAAAATATAAAATACCTACAGTTATCAAAGTTGTACCTAGAGAAAATGCGTTACATAGTAATTAAAATCAAAGGATCAACATTTCAGTGTTTATTAAGGATTTTACAAAGAAGAGTCGTTTTACAGTCGTGACAATCGTTAGTAAAGATAAAGTGAAAAAAATTAAAGCCAAAAACAAAGATAAAATAATAAAAAAAAACGTTTTTGATCAATATTTCGTATTCCCTCCCCTTGCTGGGATAACTGCCTGCATCCTTGTATTCATTGATCTTACGAGTCTGACAATAAAATCTTGAGGCATTGTATTCCACTCCTCTATAATTGCGATTTGCAGCTCTGGAAGCTTTGTTGGAGCAGGTATCCGGGCTCAGACCCGACGTTTTAGGTCAGCCCATAGGTGTTCTATCGGATTCAAATCCGGGCTTCGAGCTGGCTAGTCCATCGTACGAATGCTGACGTCGCGTAGATACCTGGGTCACCACATGAGCAACATGGGGCCGTGCTGTATCATGCATCAATTGCATAATATCCTGTCCGATATATCCTGCTTGGGGTACCACAAGGTCTGCGAGGATTTCAGTAATGGAGCGATTAAAAGTCAGTCCACGTGTACGGCCCTACGGTTTGATGAAAACTGACGCTGTATGTGCTGTTGACCCTCGGTGCATAACAGATCATCCTCCATAAGCAAGTCTCTATGTAACACTAACACTGAGAATAAAGTTCTCCAGGGCGATGATATACTCTCCGGCGTCGATCACTTCCATGTAGACTCACCCTGGTATCATCAGTGAAGAGGACATTACTGCACTGCTCTTATGTCTAATCCCTACGCTCTCGAGCAAATTCAACTCGTGCTTGACGTTGTGCTTCCATTAATGCTGGGCCTCTTGCAGTTCTTTTTGGGGTCAGGTTCGGTTCAGCAAGTCTCCTTCTGACGGTATCTGGATTTATGACCACTTGGCGTTCGTCACGCAGACTTTGTTGGGCTTGAACTGCGTTGAGGTGGCGATTTCGCAGAATAGTAAGGTGGATATAACGATCATCTGCTGCTGATGTAGCCCTAGGTCTGCCCGTACCTGCCTGCCTGCTCTGGACGGCGATCGAATGCTCCAGTCTTTAGGTATCGTCTGTAAACTCGTCTGCCGACTCGAAGCCATCGAGTGACTTTACGTTGCACAATGCCTGCTTGAAGTAATGTTTCAGCTTGTGATACTTCCCGAGGTGTTTTATCCATTATTAATCGAAAAAATAGTAAAAACACAAGCGTCTGAGCAAACGATGTACTACAAAAACTAAAGAAATGATAAAAAATATCCGACTGTCTTCATTGTAGAGAAAAAATAAATGCTAATTTCAAACTCTGATGATAACAGCAAATCGTTAGCATTGTGTTTCTTGCTTGATTACAATGCGAGTTGATGGTACTTTCGAATTAATTTGTAGTATTTTTTATCACCATAAAACGCACTTTCTGTAAGCACAACTTTGATAATTATTGTGAGTTTTTTTAGTTTTTGAGAAAATCGAGGTATTTGGGTAGCAAGTGGCTCGGTTTATTTGCTGTCCTGTGCATTATCATTTTAACTTTGTCAGGTGGACAAATTTCAAAGTGACCGATCGTCAGCTGTGTCACCATAAGGGCAGACAGGTAAACCATACAGCAATAAGTGCATCTTTCATAAAAATACTTTGTTTGTACACTGGAAGAAGAGGTAAGAACTAGGGGATGAAAAACACAAATTCATTAGTATTTATGACTTTATTTAATACGACAATGAAACTACAAAAGTTGCCTGCACTTCAAACAGCAATTTTCATATACCTCACAAACTGAAGCACATTAATATAATTAATCACATAAAATATAAAAATTAACGATAATAACACCATAATAAGAGATAGGATAGTGACTAACATTACGCAAAAATTACGAAAAACAAAATATAATCATCTGAAAGCTATATGTTGCATCGCTATACATGATTCGTTTCGATCGTGAGAATCTAAAAGGCTACACAATACCCAAGGCAAATTGGTCAGAGGTTTTCACTTCTTCACCGAGAAACAAGCTAGTAACTTACAACTAGTTCCCTTACTCATATCAGCGTTAGTAACATAGTAAAAGCAGGCAAGCAACTCGCCGCCGCCGCCGCCGCGCTCCCGCGCCAAGCTACGATACATCATCTCTTATATTATATACAATTATTATCATATCTTTGACGATAAAACAGACCGACGCTAAATGAATGGCAAAAATATACTATAAAATACAGGAATACTCTCACTACACAGTCGAGCGACAATCCCGCGTCGTACACCTTCCCGTCCCGACGTCTTGCGCAAGTACGGAGCGTCCGTGTCGATATAATTTGTGCCTAACCGAACGATACGATACATAATATCACTAGAGCAAAAACATCACAGAAGCGGTTTGTGTCCAACACACCATTACGTCCGCGGCCCGGCGCCCTCGCCATCTACAATTAAAAAAATATAAAACGCTATGAAGGCAGTTTTATACGTTACACTTTATTGATATTATCCGAGAGCCAATTACCGAATATACTGAGGCACTTCCGCTGGTTAACTATTCAACTAACGATCCAACTATTATGTTTATTGTACCGATTGAGATCATAAAAGGAAGTGAGACGACTTAATTTAAGTTGTAGACTAGATGTTGTGGGGTCGCGCAGACTGGTCGGGCCCCGCCCGTAGCAGTCCGACACTCCAACGACCGACTCGACGCAACAAACGCAGCCACAAACAACCCGCGACACGACAGTCTTCCTAACTCATCGACAACACAACTCAAAATAATGTTAATGGGCAGTTAATAGCGTTACGGCGATACAGTTAAAGAACATGATAAAACTTAAATTTAGATTATACCTCCCTAAAAATACTGTTGCGTATGATAAACATTAAAAATAATGATATAAGTCTATATCTAACGATTAGGGATACTTCTCGCTTCACCATCGAGCTTCGTCCCGCCAGCTTGCTTACAAATCTCATCAATCGATTAATTTGCCAAGGGTTCCGTACTAAAAACAGATAGCTAGCCTCTGCAAAACTGGAGAGTACATCAAATTAAAACGTAGTCATATAAAAATAAAAGGCAAATATGCGGCATTTTAGGTACAGAACCCTGATTGTGAATGGCCAAGTTTTAGTATACCAAGACAGGTGTCAAATTGGAGTAAAATGGATAAAATTCAATTGGAATACTAAAAGTTGGTTCTAAGTGGGATCACGTCTAAGACATATTTAATTAGGTAAATTATCTGAAATAGGCCATAATTATTGTTATTTAAAGTGTACAGCAATGTTGCCATATTATAGTGAAAATAATTTCATAACGTAATTTTTGAATCAAAGATGTCGTAAGCATGATCACGAGGGACATATTTGGTGTCTCAAAGTAAGCGCGTCGGGGGGTGTAACACAAATATTGTGAGGATGCTGTACGGTGTGCAATGTTAGAGAAATAGATTTTTTTATAATTTTATCACAATATTTTTACATGTTACAACACCGACGCAGTATCGGCCATCTAAATGGCGCTTCCACGTTATACACCGAAGTACAAATTTAGCTACTGGACCAGCCAAAAGACCTTAAGTCTATGCCATGAATTACAAACATTGTCAGCAAAAGACGCGTTAGCACTGCAAAAACAAATATCATCAGATGTTCCAACGAAGGTAACTCATCTTTTGAGGAATGTTTAATAATTAACCAAGTCTTCTCAGTCATTATTTGGGCCACGACACTTCATTCCATGGCTTCCGCCAACGCAGACCCTAAAGTTGTAACTGAACGACACCTAACAGAGTACACTACATAAATGCGAATAGAGCGAACAAACGCCCGCTAAGCGACCGCCTTAACGACTTGCAATTTCCGACAACGCTAAAAGATTTTAACACATGGCAACACTAAGATAGTGTCGTCAGATGGCGCTGATAGTTGGGCATGTTTGAGTTGTGGTATGAGTCTTTTGGCTCGTCACGTGGAGGTGTGGTGGTGTGGTGTGGCGGTGTGCAGAGCCCGTCTAGCCGGACGTGGCGGTGCCCGCGCCCGCGCTCTCTACGCGCGCGCTCTTGTTCTGTCGGACCAGCTCCGCGCGTCGCTCCTGTGGAGATATAACAGCGTCAGAATACATTACGACATGTCTTTTAATCTACACTTGCTAAATATTAAATTCTGTCGAACTTAAAATACCATTTGTGTCCTTTATTGAGTAAAAATTTTAACAGAAAATGTATGACAAATCAAACAGTGAGCTAAGAACCTTACCATTAAAAAAAGGAATACTAAAATTATGGACTCCATTTAATTCGATTTTCTAATAGAACGAGCAATTTAACACGATGAAAAGCATATTTCGAAGGACGCCTCACTCGGGTCCCCCGATTGACTTCGGATTGATTGGATCAGGAATACAAGAATGATGCCAATCATGCCACTATTCATTATTTCTTGTACATCGCCGCGATAGGGCTAGGTTAGTTAACAGTTTATATATATAAACGACTCAATTTATAGTCTCGAGTGCTTTTCTTGGTTACCTAAAGATGATTTGGACCTATAAATGTTATACGAAAGTTATGTATTCCTCCAAAAAGCGCAAGTCAGGTGGAAATATTGCTTCATATAAATTCGTGCAAACAGCGCCTCTGTGCTAATTAAAGTCTGAACAGACCTCTTTTTTGACGAAGTCCAGCTTTTTCTGCATTTCCTTCTCTCGGTTCTGTTCGGCAGCGGTCAGTTTGGTCTCGATGTCCTTAGTTATTTCCTCGACCTTCGCGGTAGCGGCAGAACGCACCTCGGCTAGCTTTTGGTTCTGCGTTTACGCATCGAACAAAAAAAAATAAAAGTAAAAAAACAACCATGCATAACACATGCTATGACAATGAAAGATACAAAACAAAATTTGAAATGAAGATGAATAAGGCTGAAACGGTTTGATTTGGTTTTCCTTCTAAAATTTTGCGTGTAAGCCAATTTTATCCCCGAGAAAATAATTGTAAAAGCAGTATTTTTATGACCAATTTAGCAGGTACATTGAAATTTTTGTACTAGGCACACCAATTATGATTTTTCTAGTATTGCCAGAACGAAAAATAATGATTTGAAAGCCCACCCAGCGAAAAGTGAAGAGTATAACTTTGTTTACCTCACAATCCGCTTGAAACCAGTTCGAACCGCCGCAGCCGGCATACAAACAAAACACCTAAGACCTAGGGTCCACATCGAGGTACAACACATGTCCGAAAAGCTTACCACTGAAGCACCAACCAAGTTTTGTGTCAAATAGAACTAGAACTAATTATGATAATTAAAAATATTTTACTTACGAAAACATTTTTTAAGGATGTTCTATTGCTTTTAAACTTGGCTGGTTCCTAAGTTTTTTGTACAGACAGTTATGACAACGACGTACATCCAATCTGAAGTCACATTATGAAAGCTAGCCTGTGTTTGATATATTTTACAGGCTTTTACCAGGAACTTAAAATAGGCAGACCAATAATCTTTCTTAGCATCTGGATACCGTGATATGCAGTCCCTGAATGATTTCAGTGATTGAGTGAGAGAGTGAGTGATTAGGTTGCGGGTATACTTAAGACTAATTTCCATATTATTGTTCATAATGCTCTCTATTGACTAGCTTGCGTATTTTAAGGTTCTTGGTAAGAAGCAGCGTAGGTCAGTTGGTTATGTAAACTTACATGGTTGCGCAGTTTCTCTTTTTGTTCGGCTTCGAGCATGAGGCGGCGGTCAGCGGCCTGCTGCAGCTTCTCCTGAATGGCGCTTTCCAATTGCTGGAAACGCTCATGGTTGCCTGCGCGGACCTTGCGTACTTGCTCCTCCTGGGACAGATGACAGGAGCCATTATAGCTAAAAGCTTAGAAGTTTGAAACAGGCCGAACTGATAAATTAGAAAATAAACAAAATGAGGGAGATGAACTACTCACTACCGTCACTTAAAATATGATCACGCAGTGTAGTACTAAAATATTATGTTCCTCAGTAATTTACTGCAGGAAAGAATGGATAAGATGTTGCTTGTATCTGTTTAAAATATCAAAATCCGTTTTTCTACGTTGGTACGGTATATCTAGTAGTATAAAAGTTGAGCTATTTCGAGCGGCTATTGTGACTTACATGTTCACGAAGGCGTTCAAGCATTTTCTTGATGTTCTCGTCGCGCTTGTCGGCGGCAGTGTTCATTTTCTCTTCGATGGCTTTGTATACCTCCATCGTTTGCTGTTCCAGGGTGAGCCTGCCGGGATGTGAAAAACATACGTTATAAATTGATATTTTTAAAAATATTGTGTTGTAGATAAGTTTCAATTAAATTAGGTATTGTTATCTTCTAAAGTTACAAAGTTAATTATATGGATAGGAAGGTCTCTCACCCTTCCATCCGATGCACTTTGCAATTAGACTCTTATCTAGCTTATGGGCGGGAGGTTCTTTTCCCCATCCAGTCATTGGGGCTGAAATATCTGATATTACCTGGTTTTTTCAACACCCTCGAGATGGTCCTTGAGGCGCGCGCGCAGCTCGTTGATGTAAGCTTCGCGTTTCTCTTCATGTGTCTCCATCTTGGCGTCCAGAGCCTCCTTGGTGTTGACAATGAAGTTATTTGTTTGTTCGCTGCGGATACGGGATGCTTCCTCAATCTTCTGCATTTTCTGTGCAATCGCTGCCATCTTGCTGGCTTCCAAGCTCTGCGGATGATTCAAAGAGTATATTGTAAGTTGTGTTGAGTTCAAACCATTTAAAACAAACAATTTTCTTAAGGATTGTTTTGGACTGACTAAATTTGTTAAGTTTGAAAACCCGATATGTTGAGTAGACCAGTTTTGACGATACATATTTTCTATTTATTGCTAGTTGTAGGTTTAACAAAAACCTAAAATCAATAAACAAAATTCAAGGGCATTTTACTAGAAACTATCATGTTCCACTTACACGTCTCCTCTCCTCAGCAGCCTTCAGCTTCTCCTGAATCTCTTCGACGGAAGGCGTCTTCTCAGGTGAGTCGGCGCGGCGGGGAACTGGCACACCCACTGGCTCTGCCAGGATCACCTCGTACGCGAGACCGCCCTTCGACATCTCTTGGCAGCGGATCTCAGTAGCTGAGAACAATAAATACGGTTGAAATGTAGAAGATGCTTAACCTTCATGAACAGATTTTGAACCATCCACGACACGACTTCTTCGAAGAACACCACTGAATTACACGTAAATCAGCAGCGACAAACTATACTATTTTGTTTCAACACTTTACCTTTTACAATTAGGTTGCGAGTATCTATATATATTTTTATGGAAAATGTCTGCTAACGGGCAGTTGCAGCAGTTTCCAGACTTTTGCAAGTTGTTTTTGGAAGTTGAGTTTAGTTTTACGCCGCCATTCCATGTGCCGAAGCCATGCTCTCCCAGACTTAATAAAATGATATACCAATTCAGAAAAGATCGGCTCTTAAGTTTATGTCCAGTGATTTTGACTTTGTTTTTAGAATAAACTAGTAAATACATAGTTGACAGCTGTCTGAACACTATAGTGATTCAAAGAGGAAGTGAGTGATGCACAGTCGGACGTATTTTGTAAATAAGTGATAGTTTATGGACCGGCGTAACTTAGTATTCTTCAGTTCCTGTAAGCATTGAATTGGAGTACTAGCACACTTGCTCATGTCTAGTAAACTGAGTGCCTGCGTGTATTCCTCACATTGACGCAGTTGAAACACATGTGGTGAAACAAGCCCTCTGATTGGTTCGTTACTATGAGCAAGCCAATCAGAGTACCGAATGTCATAAAGTTGTCGATCGCCATAACGTAATGCGAACTCGCACTAGGTATTCTGTGCACTGTTTACTATTTAACTATGTAGCGTTGTCGTTTTCGTTTCACATTGTAAATATTTTTACCCTGCAAAACTAGGATATTTTGTATCAGTGCTCGGGAGATGAAACATTTCAAACAGCACCGAAACGACATATTTGGACCTTAATTTGAAAACAAGATCCGATTTTCTTGGAAGCTTCGTTATTTAGATGGTTGTTACCTTATTACGAAGATTTACTTTGTTTTACAACAAATAAATACACCTCAGTTGTATATTCGTTCATGTAATAACGGGCTGTTGGAGATATTTTACACATCCTTTCACGAACTGAAAAACCTAGAGGTTTGCTACAAGCAATTCACAAATGGATTCTCATGTATATGTAACCCTTGTAATGACTGCCTACCCTTACAGTAAATCAACACGGTCATAAATACCAGACTAATTACTTGTCAAACAAGTTTAAATTAATGACTCAAAAGATATTACTCATTTCATTTACTTTTGTATGAATAATCCAATTCTAAATATTTTGAAACTATTGCTTAGTTTGTGGAAAGTATTTGAAAAAGCTAATTAGATATATGTATGCTGGAAACCTCTAAATTATCTGAAAACAGCATTCCGTATGAGTTATAACTAGTTACTAAGAATAACAAATGCTGAAGCATAAAACAGTAGGTCATTTTAAATCCCTAATTGGGAAGGAATATATATTTGAGCTGAAGATCCCTTGTAGTAAAAGTAAATTAATAACAACATTTAACAATGTTTTACTAAATATCATAAATTTGTTTATCCGTTTATCCATCATAATTATGACCATTGGCTATTGAGACGGAACGCATCGCTGGCGCCGAATGCAATGATGAGCGTCTGCGCAAATTGAACGAACAATAGATTTGCGTAATATACGCAATTGTTTTACAAATTCTTTAATGAATTCTCTGATGACGTGTAGAAAATGAGGGCAGGTTACTGACGCAATTTATCGATAGCTACATTAAGAGATAAACTCAGTGAAATCAGTCGGTCTATCAAAATTATGCTGTAGATGATACAATCATGATGAATTATATAGACAAAAATAAAAAAAGTTAAATAAAGCCACACCATCTCATTAATACATAATTTAAACTATAATGTCGATTACCGGCTCACACGGCTTCGCATTGGATATCCAACTACCGAATCGCTACAGCAATTAAAGAGCAGTTATTTCTAAAATTTCCTTTTATTAACAATCGTTTTCTGATCTTAGCACAACATACAAATTAACAGAATCGGTGTAGCAGTTCACGATACCATGAGCAAGGGGAATTCAATTTCATATATTTAAATCTCAGAAAGCAAAAATGCAAGCAAAATTTCGTTAAAAACTATAAACGATCGTCTCAAAATTAAAAGTTAATATATTTTAATTCAAAGTGGGTATTTCTAAATGAGGATATAATAATAATATTTGCTTATTATTAGATAAAAACCTCAATTCACCTTCGAAACTAGTTTCCTTCTAACATTAACTAATGTTCTACGCAAGGCGCTGTTTTGGGTCCAAATTGTTTTGTAAATAATCTGGAACACCCTACCACTACTTGTGTACTTAAAACAGCCTTGTTAGGAAAAACTTCGTCTATTTCCATCATTGAACATCTAATTTCGAGTCAAAGTATGTAATTGGAGCTTTAAAACACATTGAGAAGTTCCCAAAACTTCTACAAGTATTCTGCGTAGACAGAATTGAGTTACGTTGGTTTCATGTAAATATTAAGCCGAAGTAAAACACAACACCACATCCATTCTTCGTCGCCTCATTTCATACCCTAATTTCCTTCAAAATATTTCACAAATAAGCTGTAATTTTAAAACCGCCTATTAACGTCTCCATCTGAATACACTCAGTTCATTAAATTACCGCCCCGACGTTTAAGGGAAGAATTCTTAAAACGCAATGGGGGTAAAAGGTAAAATACAATTCAAGGTCGGATAAACTTCGCCTTGGTAAGGTATGTATTGTTTAATTATAGGAAGGGTGTGAGGAGACGCGGGACTCCCGACTCCCTCTTATGAGTCATGCCAATTGCATTTCAGTCGCGTTTCAAAGTATGACTGTGTCCGCAAACTACGTCTGTATGAAAACAGGTGACTCACCCCTGAGGCTCCAGGGGATGGGGTGAATTTCTGATAAGGTCTACGTACTTATATTGAACTAGCTCAACTTGAAAATGTTCGTACTGAATATTCGACAATTGTACCAATAAAACTAAAATAGGCCCATTAAGTTTTAGTTAGATATACCTATCTTCTGCAAGTATGAAAATAGGGAGGGAAACACGGCGATAAGGGTCGTAAATAAGCTTAGGAATTTCACTTGTACATATGAAAAGGGCTTCAAAAAAACAAACACGCGCCACAATACAAAACTAACAATAACTCACTTAAAGGGGGGCGGCGAAAACTCTTGACCCGCCACACAAAGGGGACTCACATCCCCCAGGCTGTGTACACAGTATCTTTTGTAAGGGATCTCACCCTGTATGTGCTCAGCGAGTCAAAGGAAAATTGTGAGCAAATGGAGTGTTAAAGTGCGGTGCAAACCGAGAAGGACGTCTAACTAACACGATTTAAGTTATTGAATTGAGAGTTGTCAGACGTTCTGTGTTTTGTGAAGGAATGTGTGCACTTCATTTACTTTCGTCTAAGTATGTCACTTTGTTTAACTTATAAGTCTATGTTACCGGTTAAGAGAACGGAAGTAACAAATATCGAGATATTCTATCAAACCTTGGCAGCAGTGTGAACAGCTTCTTCATTTTACCATTGTAAGCAGTAAGTGCTAAAGCAAAAGGAGCCAACTTTGTTGGCACCCACATTGAAACATTTCCAAATGGCTGTCTGCTACAATTTACCGTGTTTTGTATCTACGAATAAACAATTTTTAAGAAAACTGATTGATTTTAGGGATTTTACTAAGAAAAATATATAATCCGCTAAGATGATATGCGAAGCTAAATCCTGATCAGGTTTGAAGGATTTGCTCAAAGGTTAATCGCCATAATTCTAATACTAAGCATTTTTCTCTACAGAAATATTACTTACTTATAAACTTGACCTTCTTGGGTTGCTTGGTCCTCGGTTTGCCGACTGGTTTCTTGACGGGCGCCGACCGTCGGTGAGCTAGGAGTAGAAAGAGACAGTCAGCGGAGCCCAAGCCCGCGACGCAGGCCACTCTCATGGAGACAAACAGACCCTACCATTTATAGTTTCAAAATCCTCCAAAATTCATATTTACGATAGACAGGAAGAGAGTTTGCATGTTTCAATGCATAACAAAGCATAGCAAGCAATTCACAAAAATAGCAGACCTCAAAACAACAGTTGATATTTGCAAATAACATCAAGAACCGGGCTTCGATTGCCGACGCAAACTCTCCGAAAACATCACTAAAGGACAATCGAAAAACCATTACATCGGTCGATTCGACCCAACTAATGCGTATTTGAGGAACATTCCGAGTCGGACGTACGTTTTAATGAATCGGTATTGGTTGCGTGACTGGTAGAAAGCATCGATTGTGGTGAACAAACAATCGATACAAATTGTCGCAGTCTACTGAACATGTACCAAGCTAACAGCTAACATGGAATAGTAGGAGAGCTTCCAACTAATTAGTACATGACGTGTTCACACACATTATATCGACGTTTTACGACAATTTTCCTAAATTCCTTTTAATATAGCCTTCAGTTTGTCAGCCTATCTTTAATCGGTTTATTTACGTAATTCAATAGGATTACTTTCATTCGATGAAATAAGCATTTCGCAGCGACAAAGGGTGACCTCACAAGGTCAATTACATTATTTTTAGTAATATCATAAAAGATTAAAAATATTATTGAAAGCATTGAAATTACATTATAACTTTTCAAAGCATTTGCAAAATGGCGTCGAAGTTTTAGACTTGTAAAGTCGAGGTCGCAAATGAATAGTACTTTATTAGATATTTGGGTTCCAACTCATGTTGTTGGGGACGTCTCGGTAATAGTATCGAGGTAATAACGACGACACGACGTCGGGAGATGAGGCCGCTACGTGAGGGGAATGTCGGAGTGTCGACGAAATTCGCCGCAAATACGGATAATCCCTCACGGCAGCGCTAAGTCCCAGTTTACACAGCAGACGATGCGGAGACCATGCTATACAAACAGTTAAGTCGACTTAAAACTTTAATTCGTAGCCAATTCATGGCCAAAGTTTAAACAAGGTAAGACCCATGTTCATTATG